GGTGACCTCTGGTCATCCTACTGATGTTAATTATAAGGTGACCTCTGGTCTCCCTACTTATGTACAATATAAGGTGACCTCTGGTCCCCCTGCTAATGTACAATATAAGATGACCTCTGATCCCCCTTCTGATTTTAAATATACACATGTAAGATGACCCCTGGTCCCCCTGCTGATATACAATATAAGGTGGCCTCTGGTCCTACTACTGATGTACAATATAAAGTGGTGTCTGGTCCCCCTACTGATGTACAATATAAGATGACCTCTGATCCCCCTTCTGATTTTAAATATACACATGTAAGATGACCCCTGGTCCCCCTACTGATATACAATATAAGGTGGCCTCTGGTCCTACTACTGATGTACAATATAAGGTGGCCTCTGGCCTCCCTTCTGATGTAAGATATAAGGTGACCTCTGGTCCCCCTTACTGATGAACCATATAAGGTAGCCTCTGGTCCCCTTACTGATGCACAATATAAGGTGACCTCTGGTCCCCCTTCTGATGTACAATATAAGGTGACCTCTGGTCCCCCTGCTGATGTACAATATAAGGTGACCTCTAGTCCCCCTTCTGGTGTTAAATATAAGGTGTCCTCTGGTCCCGCTACAGATGTACAGTACAATATAAGGTGACCACTAGTCCCCGCACAATATAAGGTGACCTCTGGTCATACTTCTGATGTTTAAATATAAAGTGACCTCTGGTCCTACTACTAATGTACAATATAAGGTGACCTCTGGTTTCTCTACTGATGTACGGTACAATATTAGGTGACCACTAGTGCCCGGACTAACGTAAAATATCGGGTGACCTCTGGTTCCCGTCCTGATGCACAATATAAGGTGTCCTCTGGTCCCTCTACTGATGTACAATATATATAAAGAGCCCTCTGGTCTCCCTACTGATGTACAATATAAGGTGTCCTCTGGTCCCTCTACTGATGTACAGTACAATATTAGGTGACCTGTAGTCCCCCTACTGATGTACAATATAGGGTGACCTTTGGTCCCCCAAATGATGTACGATATAAGGTCCCCCTTATTGTGTGCAATAAAAGATTACCTTTGGACCCCTAATTAATTTAAAATGTAAGATGTCCTATGATCCCTCTGATGATGTACAATATAAGGTGACCACTGGTCTCCCTAATGATGTAAAATATAAGGTGGCCTCTGGTTCCCCTGCTGATACATAATATATGGTGTCTTCTGGTCCCCCTACTGATGTACAATGTAAGGTGATCTCTGGTCCCCCTACTGATGTACAATATTAAGTATGAGGTTACCTCTGGTCACCCTTTATTACTTTCACGTTTCTGTTAATATATATATTCGAAAGTTAATCTTTATAAAGTTATAAATATTATTATTTTGGAGTAAGACAAAGAACATTGTCTATCATATAAAATTCAATTAATATAAGGTGACCTGAGGTCTTCGTATTGATATCGATGAATTTACTTTTGTGCCTTTAATGCCTGAAGAGTTCCTAGAATGTTTTATTACTCCGCAAAATGACGAACTATTTGCGGGGGACCTCAGGTCCTAGTTGAGCGTACGTTTTATCCTTCTGCCTCTGATGTTTCGGAGGTCCTTGTTTGCCCTGCTCCAATATTTTGTATTGTTTAATGAACTTCTGAGCTTGAATGTATACTGTTCATAATCTCCATATATTTTACATTTTTTCAGTTCGTTTAATACACTCTGTTTTCACATGTACTTCAAGATATAAATAATTTCGGCAACAATGCTTTGAATTCAGATATAAAAAGAAATGCTGTTCTTGCTGATTTAGTGATATGATGAGTTTAAATAATGGAATGCTAACATTCATACTCGTATAACAACAAAAGCAATGGGGTTTTTTTTTTTTTGTTCAATACCTCGAGAATTGTTCACATATATGGAGACGACATTGCTTGCAAATGGATGGCTGCAATTATAGTCCTATACTCGGCACTCGGGGCTGTTCTAGGCAAAGAGAGATCTTGCAAGAACAGATACAAGGAGAAAAGGAATTTTATCGTATTTTTTTTAACTGCCTACAATATGAAAATTGTTTTTAAAACTTAAACTTTCGTTCATGTAGTGTAAACCTGCAATCTCATTCTAACTTGTTAACAAGTCCATGATGTTAACAGCTCTATAATTGCATTACCATAAGACTGGCTTAATGTCTGATGCAATATCTCCAAATGTTCAGCTTAACCTAACACATTCGTTATCAGGTAGAGTTGACCCCACACCTGATTTTAACTGTGCAATATGTCTAAAGCCAGAGGAGATGCCTATTATAAGTAAAAAAAATTCAATATCTCTGATTTTTTTTTACTCTGGATTACATTTTAATATTTGTGATGTCAGATTTTCAAAACTTTGTCATACTTAACAATAAAAGATAATAATATATTGTAGAAAACATTGACCTTCTTATTGTTTATTTATTTATTTATTCAAGAAAACAAGATGGAAACGGTAAAGCCCATATTTTGATCTTTATCATATCCATGTTAAATGCGGAATGTCTAATACGGTGACCTTTCAGGTATTTCCAGCAAACTCAGCTCAATCTTTCCATTCGTCGGAAAGACCCCGAGTAAAGGATATTGATAAATGGTGGTTATGAATGATCATCTTCGTATACTATCTACACCTGTAATACTATATCAATATATAGAGAATAATACATACCCTTTTCCATAATCAGCCCTCGGGCGGCTGATATTGGTGTCTCGGGCTGATACAGGATGTGATATGGAAAAGGGTATGTATTATTCTCTATATATCTGTACTTTTGAAGATTGAAAACAGGGTCTGTGGGTACCAAATTTTATAGTTTTCACCCCAAACTTTGTAAGATGATTTTAAAACAAATACTCAATAATAAGAGGAAACTTCTCTTGAAATTCATTTTTATCAAGCAACATCAATGGAAGGCTGCAAATTTAAGTCCTGTACTCGGCACTCCGGGCTGAGAGGCATTTTGCCAGCAAAAACACAATGTGAAAATATTCAAAACGTAACTGCCTCCTATATGAAAAATGTTTTTAAATTACACTTTCATTCATGAAGTGTAAACCTGCAATTATGTTCTATTCGAAACTGAGTTAGTTGCATTACCATAAACACACAGATAAAGGCTTGTTCAATGTTGAATGCTAAATTGTCTCTTAATTTTTACTTTGAAAATTAAACATCATCCATTATTGGGTAGAGGTGACCTCACACCTGGTTTTATCCGTGCAGTATGTCTAAAGCCAGAAGAGATGTCTAATATTATAAGTAAAAAAAATTCAATAGCTCTGAAATTTGATTCTGGGTTACATTCGAATATTTGTGACGTCAAATTTTCAAAACTTCGTCATACTAAATGAAAAATATAATATATCGCAGAAAACATTGACTTTCTTATTTATTTATTTATTTATTTGTCTATTTATTTATTTGTCTATTTATTTGTCTATTTATTTATTTATTTATTCAAGTAAACAAGATCGAAACGGTAAAGCCCATATTTCGATCTTTATCATATCCCTGTCAAATGCTGGAATATGACACAGTGTGACCTTTCAGGTATTTCCAGCAAACTCAGCACAATTTTTCCACTCGTCGGAAAGGCCCCGAGTAAAGGATATTGATAATGGTGGTTATGAATGAAATTATCTTCGTATACTATAAGGCACTATAGTACTATATCTGATCTTTATCGGTCATCTTAAAATGGATGTGTGTGAAACTGAAGATAAGGGATGAATGAAAGCTGTAAAATTTTATGAATGAATAATTTACTATTCCGTACGCTTATTTACTTAGACGGTAGATACTATATCATCAAACATCGGTATTATCTTTAGATTCGACTTTGTACATTTACATGTACGCAGTGTGTATCGTATCGTATCGTATATGAAGTCATTGAGAAAATTGTGAGCATTTTCTAAAAGTGTTTCAATGACTTAGATGTAATAGTAGTTTAGTTACATATAATAAAATCACATTTTCACTTTCTATTGTGGATAATCTCATTCATTTATTTCTTTAGAGTACATCAAAAGCTCTCTGTTTTGAATCATATATATTTTACTTTTTTGGTCGTTCAACTCTGGTCTTGAAACTGATTTAGATCATTTATAATCCAAGCTTCAAGAGATGACGAAGCCTAAATGTTTGGGATAGGTAAGACTGCGTTATTTAGAGGCATACTAGTTTTCTTCAACCATGAATTCAAAAACCAGCTCACTAAAATTACCTGTTTGAGTTGAGAAATATCCGTAAGTTTGGCAGTACGTATATATATAGAAATTAATAAACGACTTGGATGATGCATACATCATGAATACATAAACAGGTTTGCAGTTTACCATGTGCGTGTACTTCTGATTTAGTCATACCAACGTAAAATTTGAATGTTCGCTGCAGCAATCATGAACAATTAACATCATAAATTATAGAATTTTCTGACCTTTCTGAATTTTCTGATCTTGTTATAAAACCAGTGCTCAGTACCCTTTATATTGATTGCAAAAAGATAAGTGAAAAGTAACAGTAGAGTTTCCATTCTTTAGGTTACGATTTATTATAATAAATATCTAATTAACAACAAAAAATGAAAAATACAATATAAACCTGGAAATGAAAACAAGGATTAACAACATAATAAATTCTTACGCAGAACAAAAACAATAAATTACAGAGAAGTCTTGCATTCGAGATGCTATATTCTCTCAATACAACACTTACTATAATAGAACCATAAATGTAACAATCAAATGAATAGATCTTTCATACAATGTATTAACTTCAGAAAAATACTCAAGAGATACTTACAGTATGTAAAACCTGTTTGGGTAAAAGAAAAATATATATACTTAAATGAAAGTACAATAAATAATCAATATCACAGCTAACACAAAGATTGCAATTACTTAGTAATTAACTTTACAGCCTTTTGTACAATATTTTAACGACAAAGTACAGTTGTTTCAATGTTTTTCGTGTTTTTGATCCAGCAACTCTCTAAAAGAAGAGTCTGTGTGGTCCACTTCTTCTCTCACTACCGGACCAAGACTTAGATTTGGTCCGGAAATGACGTAGATCGTTCGAGTGGTCTTTATGAAGCATTGGTTTATAGTCTTGTGGTGTGCAAAAGTTCTAAAAGAAAAATATAATATAACATTAAGACCTTTTGAAAGGAACACAGGGAGGTGGGTGGGTTTTTTTAAAAATAAGAATGCATACTTATGATTAAAAATAGATTAAAAAATGCTCCTCACCTTATGATATTGGAAAAATGATTTGTAGCCCTCGTGTAACAGATAAATTTCCGGATAGAACAGTCGGGGATAATAATCCTTATTTACCTCACGGTCTGCACTGCGCAGCTTCCGGTACCTATAATTACGTCATAAATTTATCCTTAGATAATCAAAACATTTAAACATAATTTTGATATTTATATTTATCGGGTTTTTTTAAATAAATTTTGTAAAAACGCTTACATTTTTGGTCCGCGCTCTGATGAAAATTCACAGTAAAATATAAGAATATGACGTTTATCATCCAAAGTAGCATTCTCCAGGATATTGGAAATGTCTGTCTGTTTGTAGATATTGTCAGCTGACTAAAAAAAGTAAATTTATTATTGATTAAACGCTGGCACAAACGTTAAATATATGGATTTTTTTATTAGAAAATAGTTCCATAGGCAGAAAAAAAATACATACGTAGTTATGTGCATTGTTATATATTTACAATTAATTGAGCTGTTTCTATTCTTTAGTCTCTGTCTGAATTTAATTTGAATAGTTTTTCTTTATGCTATAAGTAACTTCAGAAATACATGACAGTTAAATCATACCATTACATGACCGCCTTCGTATTCATATGGATATCTGCAGTCAATGAGTCGGAAACTGGAAATGACGTCATTATAACGCCCGCTCAGCAATGCAACCACCTTTAAAACATAATTAAGACATACAATTATTTTAATTAACACTATTTATATTAATTTTTGGACAGAAATTATCTGTGGTTATGTTTTGTTGGTTTCAGTATAAGTATATACCGTATCTCCGGTAATGGTTTTCAGATCACTGTGCTTGCCCCTGATGGTGGGAAGAGAACATTCCTGACTTCCGTCTCCTATAAGGTTTTCCTCGTCCGTCAGCCGCGCAACTGCAGTCTTCACTTCCGTTTCCTCAGCTCTGACGAGAGGAGAGTCCTGCCAAAGGATTTCATTTTTCATTTAAAACACATGCTATATCAATATCATCTGAATTTTGCGATTCAGTTTCAGACTACTATGCTCTCGTATTAGAAATATATATTTTATTCTGTCTGTCTGCTTTTTTGCAAAATCGCAAATCTTCGCAATAACCGTTCAACGGTTGGCTCTAGGGGTTTCAGTTTTCACATGTACATATACATACGTATATCTAATGTCAAGTTCCTTCTGTTTACACCAACATTTTAACCACATGACCTTGAGTTTCACGTACTTTGAAATAATTTCATTTCGGTTATAACTTCTGAATGGTTAGTGCTAGGACTTTCATCTCATTTATCATTTGTGTATTCCTTGAGCCAAAACATTCCTTGGAACCATTATTTTTTATCTCATTGCTTTGACCTTTAAGTTTGATTATCACCTGCTTTTTAAAAATATAGACCTTAAAATTGCTTTCGGAATGTTTGATGTCCCCATCACAAGCCACGGGATTACTGTCCATTCTATTTCTTTGAATAAAATGGACACAAATTCGATGATTTTCAAGAAGAGTAGACCATAGGACTTTCATATTTCATAGATGTATTTCTTGTGAGAAAACCTTTCTTTTGGGTAGCAATACCTCATGACCTTGACATGTAATTTTTTCTACTTTTAAAAACATTGACCATGACCTCAGAACTGTTGGTGTAAGGGTTTCTCATACTTTGATCACTTGTGTTTCCTTAATATGGCAAGAACTCTCTTTGGAGATCAATGTTTTTTCCTCATGACCTTGATGTTTGATTTTCACATACTTTTGTAAAACTTTAACCAATGTCCAAGAGCTGTCGTATGGAGAAATCAGTATTCCAAAACACTTTTTTAAATATAATGTGTATATGAGTGGTAGTTACATTTTTCTTCTTGTTGGTTTTTTTTATTGAGAGAACGATTTTTTTAGGGAGCATATGTCAATTTTTCTTTTTACACGTCCCTCTCTTCGTTTAGACTTCAAAGAACCTTGCATTAAGATGCATAAAATGAAAATTGTTGTAAGAAAATTTCAAACTTCTTGTTGCGAATTTTTAAATAAAAAATTAATTATAAAAGTTATCCCTCCTGACCAAGGACTGGAGATCCTTAATGCCTTAATAATTTATAAAGAATATACTATAATACCTACCTCAAAAGACAAAGACTTCTTTAATATTGTTCCTCTGTGTATAATTTGTTTCTCTCTTCTTGTTTTACAATAAGAGCCATCTTCTCTGTTATAGGAACTTTGTCCAAAGAGAGTACGTCTGGGGATAAGTCTACTTCCGGAATTTTGGTCCTGTTATAAAAGGAAGAAAATGGCTTGATTTAAAATTCATTTGAGTATTTCATAAATAATTAAAAATATTAAAATAAATTAAAAAGCTATTTTTCATTTCTGATAAATTTGGCTCTTAATTTCTATGAGGTATTTTGATAATTTAACGAAAATGGGCTTACGTATGCGTCACGCTGTAATGAAAACTTCGGCGTGTTTTTCAAACCATTGAAGGAAGATTCAAGTTCAATCTGCAAATTAAAAGTAAAATTTCATTTTTCGATCACAATTTTATTTTATTTATTAACGTTTTAGCTTTATAAAAATGAATTATTATCATTTTTATATAAATTTTAACATGAATGACCGTTTGTTCGATTGAATTAAATAACAAATTAAGAAGAATAAAGAGAGAATTTTCGCATTTAAATCTACCAACAAATTGATATGTTCCTGTTTCAGAAAGTCCAAATTTAACATGCGACTTTTTTTAATTTTAAATTCTAATTTAAGTTAAATAAATAAATGATTGTTTAATTTAAGGATTTTTACTTGGTCTGAATCGTCCGTGTCCATTCCTAGACCAGAGTCCTCGTCCATCATTGGGGATAAGAGCGATATATGACCCGGGGCCCTGGAGGGGGTCAGAATGTCGGCGATATCAACGTCCATATCGTCGTCACTGTCATCGAAGTGGAGCTGGCCAAAGGGAGGCAACTGTAAAATTAAAATTGATAATTCAGAAAAAAAATCATAATCTGAATTAACGCTGTGATTTATTTGATAATTATAAAAAAAAAATACTCACGTTTGTTAATTTCTGTGAAAATTCCATGCTCCTCGTAATCAGTGCACCTCTACTAAATAAAGCAATTGATAATTATTTCAGTTGTTTGAAACTTTTTTTTTTTTTTTACAAATATTTACAGTACATTATTCTCATATATGTAGGAATACAAGCATTAGATGAATAGTGAATTGATAATAATTCTATATTTCCAGATTTGACTTATATATAACCCTACACATACTCAAAGGCGTGTCAGGTACTCATCACCTTGGTCATGCTGAGTCCCGCTAATCAAGGATAATTTTCGCACGTTAATTCATTAGCTACCTGTCTGGTAGTATTACACCTGAGAATGGTGCGTTTCCAGAGGTAATAATTACCTTTTTCTAACAGAATGCTCTAGCCATTATTGTCTATGGTAACTAGACGAGAAATTTTTATCCTAGTGCCTCGTAATTAGTCCTGTTTTGACACTAGCAGAGTGGGAAAATTGGTGTTTTATCGGATGAAAACAGATCTTTACCTATTTACGGAAAATTAATTATAATTGATATAACATGAAATTAAAAAAAGCACAAAAACTGGATTTACTCGTTGTAAACAGGGATTTCTGTGCAAATTCTTATCAAACTAAATCATTCAAATTCTTATCAGACAACTTACGTATATTTATCAAGCATTTTAATCTAAAATTGAATTTCTCATGAAAGATTAATTTTCCTCGGGATAAAAATTTACTTACTTTTCAACCAAACGAAAAGATCACAATTAATGAAATTCCTTTCGCAATTAACAATTTAGTTCCCGTAATTTTCAAATTGTCACCATCAATGACAGAGTACATGTACCTATAAAATTCTTTTGCGTCGAGTACTTGTAAATAAAAACGAATCCCTGTATAATGTTCAAGTTGTTTTTTGATATCTTGAGCAATATCCGTTAGCTTATGGCAACATAATAATTGTATTGTTAATCAGCTATAGCTCTGTCGATTTCTTAATTAAACGTGTAAAGATTTCTAGGAAATCGGATTAACGTTACGTGATCATGAACAGACGTGTTTTCGTTGTGTCGTGTAGTCAATGTCTAGTTTATTAAAACAGTATTTATTATGTATACATATATAATAATACGCATAGATACAGATCGACATTAATGAATTATTGCGTCACTGGCAACCATTATTATAAGGTAGACTTTTCAATACATACATACCATGTCACAAGACACTTTAAATCAATAAGAAAAAAAAGATTGAACATTGAACAATTGTTTCTGGAGGGGGAGGGGTAGGCATTCGAATAAACAAATTAATGCACCTTGAATGCCAGACTTTTTATAAAGAGTTATGTTTCCTTCACTTGGGGGTGGGGGTGGGGGGGGGGTGTTTATAAGCAAGATTTATTATTTTATACTTTACAGTATACCAACATTGACGGGAGTTCTCACTCATTGTTATAAAATCGTAAACTCCTACAACAGCATTTTATCCGTTCTATTTCCTATAACACTTGTAAAATATATATATACATTAAAGACGCTGATAATTTATGTGTATTCTCAATAAAGAACCCTGGACCTGCACGTAACCCTTCATCGTCGCAAATTAATCCATGACTAGCTGCAGATCTGTAGCGTTATGGTTTTATTATATTATTTTGTCTTGGACCATCATGCAAAAAAGGTGCAATTTACGGCGCAATATTTTTTGCGCACTTTTGGGGAGAATTTCTCCACTTTCTAGCATCGGTCAATCAATTACCTTTCACTCCCTAATTCTAGGCACATTATTTAACTTATCTATATATTTTATCCATCTCCCAACCTTTATAGTCGTCTCCACAAGTGATAAAAGTTACTTGATTAAAATTATTTGATGCATTGCTGAAAATTCACGCCAAGCGAGTTTATTGCCTGTAGAGACAACTTTAAATGGTTAGGAGGTGGATAAAATTTACATATTGGCTACAGAATGTGCCTAGAATTAAGGAGTGAAAGGTAGTTGATTGAACAATGCTAGAAAGTCGAGAAATTCTCCCCAAAAGTGCGCAAAAAATATTGCGCCGTATTCAATTGCACCTTTTTTTTGCATTACGGGATCTGTAGCGTTATGGTCAAAGACAAACATATAAAACCGTAATGCTACGGGTCTGCAGCTAATTCATGACTCGTAATGCCTGGGCAAAGAGATTATTTTTACCTTTTTTATTTGCAAAGTTTATTTTCGCTAACATGGTATATGGGTAACCTTTCTGATCACAATATTATCATGTTGTAAATTTTAAATTTACTAGGGGGAGGTAAATGCAAAATTTACAACAGTTATCATGTTGTAAATTTTGCATTTACCTCCCCCTAGTAATTCAAAATTTACAATATGATAATATCATAGGTGCGTTTACATGTTGATAAAATGTAAAGTCTCGTGTGTATGATTGATGTCATTATCACAACCATGGACTATTTTTTTTTTTTATGTAATTATTAAAGGAGCTAACTTTCTGGAGCTTTTTTTCTTTCAATCTGATCAAGGGAAATAAATCAATTATCTTATGAAATAACCGTTATACTTTTACGGATTCTTTATTTCCGCCTGTCTCTGGTTTGTATATTACACGTTTCGAGGCCAAAAGATGGCGGATGATTTAGAAAGTGAGAATTTGATTTTTAGATTTTTAAAGTTGATTTACGTCAGAAAGAGCATATTATGATTTAAAAATACAAAAGATCAGGTTTTATATAAAAGGATTTAAGTGAAATTTGATGTTTTTAATATATTTTGATATATCATGTATATTGTGTTTAATTTCAATGATTAAAGTTTGATGATGTATCGGGGACGCCTATCTCATCTCTTTGAAAATAGTGATATAAACTGAAAATATATTTGACAGATCACCATTAACAATGCAGCATTTAAAAAAAATTCATTGAATTTATTTTTTTTTTATTCTCATTTACATTTTAACATGTTTAATATTATATACAGCTCATGAAATCCAACTGAATATTTTAATATCCAACATTATTGGCATTGTGCACTTATCTAAATGTGCTAGCAGGTAACATTTGGTCTAGAAGTTACTGCGAAAAGGAATTCATTTCGAGCAATGTGCAGAGTTAGTTTGAATTTTCTCTGTGCCCAGGCATTGTCATTAGTAGTAAAACTAGTTAGAATGATCTGTGTCTTGGTACAAGCCCTCACCACAGTTACAATACGTCCCATATACTTGCAATGTAGCAAATCAGAGCGGATCCGCTCCGAAACGATTTTGAAGAATATAAAAGGATTTGCACTGGAAATGACTACCAAATTAATCAAAACAAACCTTTTTGAGATTGCTTATGCCTTAGATCCAAGAAAATAATCCATCTAAAGACGAAAATTCAATTAATTTTCTCAACGTTTTTCTCTTGCTCCAAGTTTACCTGCCATGTTTACATTCGGAACTCTCTAGATTGTTCGTAGTAAATGTACTGAGTTAAAGTGAGTACGAGTTATCGCCCATGTTTCTTTTGCTACATTACGAATACACGGGACGAATTCTATCGTAAAACCGGGTCCGTAGGACAATATCATTTTAACGATAGAACGTTCTATCTATGTCATTAGTAGCTGCAGATCTGTGGCGTAATATGGTTTTATATATTCATCTTTGACCATAGCGCTACAGATCCTGTAATGCAAAAAAAGTTGCAATTTACAGCGCATTATTTTTTGTGCACTTTTGGAGAGAATTTCTCCACTTTCCGGCATCGGTCAGTCATCTCTACAAGTGATAAACTCGCTTGATTAAAATTATTTGTTAGAATGCTGAAAATTCACTTAAAGCAAGTTTATTGCCTGTAGAGACAACTATAAATGGTTGGAAGGTGAATAAAATATACATATTGGCAACAGAATGTGCCTAGAATTAGGGAGTGAAAGGTAGTTGATTGACCAATGCTAGAAACTAGAAAGTGGAGAAATTCTCCCCAAAAGTGTGCAAAAAATATTGCGCTGTAAATTGCACCTTTTTTTTGCATTACCGGATCTGCAGCGTTATGGTCAAAGACAAATATATAAAACCATAACGATACAGTTCTGTAGCTATGTTGTTAGAGCTTGTTATGTATATAAAAAGAAGTCTGTATATTATCCCATTTACTGTATCAGTATGTGTAAACATGATGAAATATATTTAGTTAATTTTGCATGTATATATCATATTATGTAATTGATATAACATATCATATTAAACTATTTGTATCATTTTCAATAAAATTTACATAATTTCAACTACTTGATTAGTTACTACATATGGTTTTTATGGTTGTGTAATGCATTATGATTGAATGTATTTTACTTAAAGTGTTTGATTAACATGATTGATAAAGTATTCAATCAAAGATATTTTTAATTATTGTAGTGTTGGATTACATGTATTAAGTTTTTAGGGAAAAAACCCTAATAATATGACCATCACTATTTCCTATTTGCTAGGCTCGTCAGCTGAAGCTTTAATTAGTTTCAGCGAGGGTAAGTTTTTTAGCTGCACATAGACACTGGTGCCTCAAACATTGACACTACTTGCAGGGATTGCAAAATCATTGCATACAGTTATTTAGCTTCCAATCCATCCGCATGCCTCATATTTTACTCGGGTGCTGACATAATATAAGTAAATAGCTATAAATCATAAACTTTTGGGATTATCATTATTATATATCTCCGAATTTGCAGAGTTTGCATGAAAAATTATTTGGTGCTTTGAAAGCTTTTGTTCTCAAAGTTAACAGTATTTGCATGGAAATATTGGTTAAGTCTGAGAATTGATCGATGTTATTTTGAATTTGAAGACCATGCTTTAATATTTTTGATGAAGAATTAGATGTTTTTCAAAACTTTATTTCGGTTTTATTATTATTACCTTCCTCATGATGTTTATGATTCTGTTCAGTTATTTTGTTACACACATTAATTAATATTACTCAGAATCAGAAAATCTTGTTTAAAGTCAGATTTTAAAACAAGTAACATACATATGTAAGCTCTGTAGAGCTTTTGATCGACATTACTAATACTATATGAAGTACCGTTAATTATCTGTGTGATGCAGATGTAATTGAATTTGTTACATATATATAACTTCCATAAGCATGATAAGATTATTTCAGTTTGCCTTGTTTATAAACAATAAAACATGTTGATATTAACTCAATGAAATGTTGTTTTTTTATATAGGTAAGTCCCCATCAAGACAGAGAAATGTGAGTTTACTTTCAGATTTGATTCTAATAGACATTGATACTTAATTAAAAGTTACAGACCAACAACATGAACAAGGAAAATATTATTATTAATTTACAGCATTATGCAAGCTAAGTCTAGAGATGAACGGCTTTGACAATAGTCCATGTTTTACATTTTTGTAAATCCTTAGTATGTATGTGAGATGTCTATGAATAAAAATGTATATTCTCATGTGTCAGTCTTAAATTTACACTGCTTTTAGATTTATGATTAATTTATTTTCATGTTAATAATTACTGTTGTAAAAGAGTAAATATTTCCCCCCCCCCCCCTTTTTAGCCTACACGCATCAGGAAGAAGAACACCAAGTTTTACAATGCAGACGAGGACACATCATTCTCTATCAGACCACGGAGCCAGAAAAAGAGGGAACGTAAACCTGTAAGTGTCAGGGAAATCTTGTAAGAGGCAATAAAAAAATAATTTAAAAAGCATATACGTAAACTGTAAGTTTCTGTGAAAAATAGAAAGTGTAAACTGTAAGATAAAAACAACTAATGAAGTGCAAACCTACAAGAAACAAAATGGTGTCAAAATTAGATGGCATGAAGAAAAACAGTTAATGGAAACAGGTATGCTTTCTTGCAAGTGGCAGTGCAAATATTTTCAAGTAAGCAGTTGAATTTTATAAAGTTTTAATTTGATTCAGGGCATTGGGTTGACTGTTCAGGATAAAAGGATGGCTCAAGGCATTGGGGTGAGACTGAGAAATCTGCTGAAGTTACCCAAGGCTCATAAGTGGGTGTGTTACGAATGGTTCTACTCGAACTTAGACATGTAAGTATAAAAGAAGTTATAATGTAAGTATTAAATACCATAACATAAATTATAGACCCAATTGCTATAAATTTTTTACTGACTTGTTTTAGCAATTAATAAAAGTTAATGAAACATGATTTTCTTGTACATGTGAGTATGAAAGTATGGAAATTAGATCTTTGAATATGGAGCTGAAAATTCTAACTTTAAACCCTGAGAGAGTAAATGTCATTTGGATTTATACATGTATTAGGCAAGTCTTTTAATTCTTTTTTGTACATTTGTTCACTCTTTTTGCAGACCACTCTTCCTGATAGAGAATGATTTTTGCATCTGTATGAAAGAGTCCTTTCCACAACTAAAGATGAAAAAACTTCGTAGAGTGGAGTGGTGCAAAATCCGCCGTCTAATGGGCAAGCCTCGCAGGTATCAAAATATTTCCTAAACTACTTGACTAAATTCCAAATTGCGCTAAACCTTTAAGTTGTGTTTTGTGCCCTCTGCAACTATAAAAAGTATTAATAAAATCTGACAAATGTTGTTTACTATATTCACAGCTCATAAACATTGATAAAGGTAAAGCAAATTAGATTTGTTTATTCAACTTTTGGATTTATAACACAATGTAGGTCTTTCTTGGAAAGCTCATCAAATTTGACCTTAACTTGATCAAAGAATTTACTCCCCATGGAATTCAATCTGAAGCTCTCATTCTCTTATATTCCTGTACAGGTGTTCGCCAGCATTCTTTGAGGAGGAGCGGGCAGCTCTCGAGATAAGACGCAACAAAATTAGACTCCTTCAACAGAGGAAGATGTCGGAACTCCAGACCTTCAAAGATCTCCCAGACGAAATACCAATGCACCTTGTTATTGGTACTAAAGTCACAGGTAACTATACCATGCAATAGTAAACTGGTTTTTATGGAGAAGCAAGTATGATCGTTTTCTCCTTGCACTTGTCAAAAGCAAGTACACTGTATGACCAATTTTTGCTTGATTATTTATGTTGAATGATTAAAAACTCAAAGTAAAAAATTTTAAGAGAGAAGTTTTAGTCTGAAAGTAGTTTTAAATTTTCTTGGAGAGAGTTATTTCATATATTTTTTTAATTTTTATACCTTGTTGCAAAATTTGCAGATCCTGTGTAAATTTTCAGTAAAGTTTAAATCCAAAATTTATATACTTTGTAGACATAAATTTTTGCAAACCTTATTTTCGCTAACAGATAGTCATTGACTCTTGATTAAAAAAATAAATTTTCACGAGAGTGGTTATTGCTCTATATAATCTAAAGGAATGCTATTATACGCGTGAAGTGTTTGAAAGTCCAAATTTTCTTGTAGCACACTTTCGTGTAATTACGCGAAAATAAAGCTCTTGCGAATAAAAAGTGATTTACAGTAGTGTGAACGTGTAAGAAATTTGTAAAGAGTACAAACATTTTCATTATTTGACAGCACGTCTTAGAAAGCCACAGGACGGCTTGTTTACTGGTGTAGTAGATGCCTTAGACACAGTGACAAACACTTACAGAATTACATTTGATAGACCAGGAATTGGTACTCACTCCATCCCGGACTATGAAGTTCTGGTAAGAAATACCCATAATAAATACAAATACAGATTTTAATGTATGAGGCCTTGTTAGACATTATGTTTATAGAATGAAAGGATTGTTATAAAGTTTTATATTTCTGTAACAGAGCGTGGAGCCTCAGGAGACCATCCCTCTGTCAGCCTTCCAACAGAAACACCGCCCGCGGCAGCCAGCCATGTTCTCACCACCAAAGTTTGTACCCAGTCTCGGATCTCCAAACCCAGAACTGGTAAATTATAAAATTCCCGACTTTAATTATTTAATTCATTGCCTCAAATAAGTTTTTGAATAAAGATTTTTGTGAAGTTTTTGAAAGTCCACAGGGTTGTAACTCTTGTAGTTGATAATCAGAGTATAATAATTCAGTCATTTTAGGATTTTAATAATTACATAAAACGTATGAATCAATTAAAACTAAGGTTGTTCAAGCTTCTAAGATATTGAAAGTTCACCAGATGCAGATTTAACATAATTATGTCACACAAGTTTCTGAACCCAAGTCAATTTGCATTAAAAAAATGTATAAATTAATTATGTCATGATTTTCTTTTTGACAGGATAATGACCCTCTACTGAGTGGTTCTACGTTCACTGGTAAATTACTCAGTCTGGAGGGAGGCACCTATGGGGGATTCCCAATCAAGTTCCTAGTGCAAGTGGTAAGATTCATCTCTAGATAAAACTCTAATAGTTTTTCAATTGCAATAATCCATATATGTCATGGAATGTGATTCAAACTTTGAACATTTATCTCTATTAAAAATGAAATTAAAAACCTCATGAATTTTATTTTATAGACAAGACTGTCCAAAATCCTTTCACTGAAGAAAGATTGGATCAATCAGCTGAAGGATTTAAACACACAAGCAGAAAAAGCTGTGAGTGTTAAAATTTTTACATTGATATGTTGTTATTATTAAATTATCTCCCCTTCTTAGCTATCCAAACACCTACAACTTAAGTTTTATACCCAGAAGCAGAATCCATATTGTAATTTCTTTCTTAATTAAGTTGGAAGCTATATCTGTAGGGCGTGTCAAGATTGAGTACATTTAGCTCTGTGTTTTATCATCAGAAATCATTCCAGCAGCCCATTACTCCAGACTTTCAGAGAAAGTATGCCACCACAGTCCTGGAACTGGAACAGCTCAACAAACAGCTAGGGGAGTGTCTAAACGTGGTCCAGAGTTACTGCAAGGAGGTAAAATATAGGTCCCCCATGTAAACAATAATAGTAGATTAGTAATTATTTGAAAGTAAGAGACATGATTCAGCTTTACTCATCCTCTCATTGTGTTGGAGGACACTTGAGGCTGTAGACATGGATTAAAGGATGACAGTGTCTGGTTCAAGTTTTGATTTCTTGTCAATGTTAATCAGTCTGATGTTATTTAAATGGTATTTATAAAAGTATTTTTGAATGGAGAAGTCATTTTAATTTTTTACTTTATAGCTAGCCCCAGATATGGGTTTGACACCACTAGATGAACCTTCACAAATCAAAACCGGCTGTGATGAAGAAGCCGCAGAGATTGTCAACAGAATAAGTGTAAGACTTAAAGTTTTAAAACTAGTGCATAACAGAAAAGAATATGCACTTTCAAACACATGTAATAAAAATCAGTAACATTGTTACATCCATTTTATTAAAAAAAAAAAGGAAAAAGATACACCATAGTAATTTAGCTTTAGGTCTTTTATATGGTATTAATTATTTCAAATTTCACTCACTCTTTTTCATATAATTTTGCAGGGAATGTTCCACAAGAGAACTTCCAAAAACCAGAGAGTTATGGATCTGATTTCCAGTTTGACATCTCTAATGCTGCAAGTCCGGGTAGGTCAAAATTTCTAAATTACTGAGGCATATAAAATCTATAGTTAATATCTTATTACTGATCAAGCTACATGTAAGTTAAACATTTGTTGGTCAATTTACACAGATTTAGTGTTTATTTATGTTAAAAATATTTTATTAGTTTTGATGATTATTTTTGCAGAGTGAATAGAAGAAGAATATTTTCATTTACTGTATAAATATTTTATCATTACAGACATTTTCTGAGCAAGAATTTAACTCCTTTGAATTCAAGTGTTTGCAAGATACCTTAAAAGAAATCAAGGATAAGTTGGATGGAAACAGTATCAAGTAAGTATCTGTCAGTCTGTTAGAGTTGTACATTTAAATTTGTCAGAGTTAAAGAAAACACTTTTTGCGCACCTGAACTCAAAAGCTTTTCCAATTGAAATTTGTCCGTTGTTCAATGTCATGTTCTTATAAACTTTTCACAATGACATCTTCTCCAAAACCAAAAGGGGATTCTAATTGAAATGAAGGGCTACAATGTGGCAACAAAACAACCTATCATTTGCAGTTCTTAACAAATTTCCCTTTATTTTTAGTGCTTTCCAGAACAATGTGGAGATTCATATAAACCACATACAGAGTGGATTAAGTCAGATGGGGAACCTTCACGCTTTCTCTTCTTCCACTTATAAAGTTTGACCGGTACAAAGGTCAAGGACAAATTCCTGCTTAGACAGTGTAACATCCTTGGGACACTAGCAAGGTTTTATGTATACCCACAGATATGACTGTGCTATTGATTATGACATGTTTACTTCTTGTTCAGATTATTATCAGAAAAAAAATTAGAGGTCTGGAGTAATGGTAAAATTTATGTATTGTTTTAATATTACTCTAGGTATCTATGTAAATTTCTTGTTCATGTGGTCAAATTCTGAAAAATATTGTAGATCTCAAAGGAAATGTTTGTTATTGTGCAATATGAATAATGAAATAGTATAGTACATTGTAGTACAATAGATATATCAACTAACTAACTATATCATGTTTAAATATCTATGAATTTTATTTTATTAAAATTACTGAATAGGGCAGATCAGTATAACCATTTATTACTGTAGATCACTAAAATTTTCATGAAAACTTTTTCTTTTTGGGGTAGGTTTTAGGTATTTACTAACAAAATTTTCAAGAATTTTGGTTATTGCTGTAAATACAGTGTACATGTATATCTTATGCTAATTAAAATATTCACAGTAATGAAATGTTATTGAGCTGACTTTCTCACATAATTATGCAAAAATTAAGTCTTAAAAAGTGATTTTACAGTAGCAGAAATTTTGCACAAAACTAATAAAATAATTATGTCATAACAATTTCTCAATTTTTTTTTGTACCAAGACTTTTACCATGTCTACTATATTGAAGGTAAAAATTAGTTTATTCTTCTTTATTCTGTTCTGAAAGTATATGTACATGTTGAGAAACCTGAGAGTATCAGTTTTAACAGTAAAGATTTGTATGTCTGGACATTTCCTGACCTAAATTACAAAGGTCATCGAGGGTCACATATGCTCTGGCCCTTTGTTAAAAAAAGTTTAATTCTTGTGCACAATTTTTAGAAAATCACTTTTTTGTTGTGCCTTGTAGAATATATGTCTTATGACATCCATTGTTTGTTTCTTTGTCTTCATTATAACTGGAAACACATCATACAGACATGGAAGTTTATCTTAAAGATTTGTTTAATGGAATACATGTTCTAGTAATTGTTTAAAACAATCTTTAGTCAGTTACTCAAGTCGTACTAAAACAGCATCTGTTGCACAAAGTCTCTTTATCATCCATACAATAAAAGTCACTATATTTACAACATCTGTTGATATAATCCACACTACACAGCTCACAATAACAGCCATTCCTACACAGCCCATATTGACAGCACTCTGCCGATTGTCCTCAGCACTCCCAAGTCGTCTCCGATAGGAAGTTAAATTTTTCTTGGGTAATAATAATTTTTTCTTGATTTTTTGTAATAAATTGTTTATGTTTTCTGTCACGTGTGTAGATTTGTTAACATATGGGATGCATTGTTTGCAATTAAAAGGCATGTGTTTCATTCTTTCAGCACAAACTGTCTCGATTTTCATGTTTTCTGCCTGATTTGACCTGTTTTGTTTCCCATGTGTTGACAGATTTTTAATACCTGTTTTCAATTCTTTGCTGTTGTTTTGAATCATAGCAGTTGAAGAAGTAGTATTTGTCAAAGAGAATGCTTTCATTGGAAAGGACCTTGTAAATCTAGAATTTTTCCCTGAAATGGATTGGAAAGTATTTGATGTAGTGAGAGTTCTGGCTCCAGCTTCTGAGGCATCATGGGAAACAGTTTTAGCAGGAAGTGGTGCATTGTGGGTGACAGTTTTTGATGATGTTTTAATGTTTAATACAAGAGAAGAATTTTTCAAAGTGAAGTCCTTTATTGTTGAAGATCTTGTGGCTATTTTTGTCAAAAGATGATCCACTGTTGACAGCAAAAGTGTATTTGTCGTTGGTCTGTTGACTACTTTAGTAGCACTGGTAGTGAAGAGTTTTTTCATGCTATACTTTATTTGGGTTGTGTCCTTTGTAGTCAAACCAGAGGAAATATCACTCGATGTTACCCCTTCTGTTGTACCTACAAGAATTGATAGCCTTACAACTCATGTAAATCACAAAATAAGTTAAATTAAAACTTTTGTCTGAGTACATGTCATACTTGCTGTGTTCCATCTTCCAGTGATGACCATTCTTTGGGCACTGATGTATTTTCCTGTAAACAATATTAAAAAAATATTACTTAAAACAACTTTAAAGCAACATTTTTCTCTTGTTGAAGATATACATATACAAAGATATATGAAGTTATTTCAATGATAATTTATTTATAAATGAACTGGTAATAAAGTAATTTATATATTTTTTAAAAAATAATTTTTCTATAAAACAGATAAAAGTTCTTTTACAATTCTTGGCCAATTGCAAATATGATTAATCAATTTACTAGGAAGTTAAACTATAAAGTACCACATCAGCATACCTGTTACAAAAGGAATGGATATATTCACTGTAAAAGGTCTGACACAAGTATTGGATAATCGTAAACAGTATATCGGGATGGCATTGCTACTGAATTCCTATTAACACAAGAACAGGAACTTTCATTCTTATTTTGATTTAAGAACAAAAAAAATCTCATAAAATAAATTAAATTCTGCTTTTTGTGTTGTATTTGCTTTGGATTACTTTCATTATATTCTATATACCATTATTTCCTTGAAGTCTGCACAATTTGAATAAGGGCTATAATCCAGTTTTAATTTGGCTATGCTGCATCTTCGAGTCATCATGATGATTTTTGGGATTATGTAAATTGGCTGGATGGGAATTTTGAGCTCAGGTTTTAAGTCTGCTCCCTTCAAAAAATAAAAATACAGAATCTTGAAACATCTTATTAGTATTAAAGGATTATATATGAGGAAATGGTTTCAAACCAGTAGCAATGCACATTTTGTTTTATTTTATCATTAACCGAAAAGTTACCGTTAAAAATGTAGTTGTTTGATTGATTGTAATCATGTGATGATGGTAAGTATAATTATGAGCAATGCTAGCTGCTATGTCTGTTTCTGAAAAAAAAAAAGAAATTTGAATCACCTGTGGAAATTTATAAATGCTGCAGCCCACTTCCCAAAAGAGAATATGATTTTTGGACAATGTATTCTGACCTTCAATCTTATACTTTATAAACTACTTCAGTACTTGATAAAATAACAATATGTATTTGTGAAACACTATGCGCCCTGCGGCAACAAAGTTTGAAAAAAGCTATTTTAGCATATAGGTCAAAGTCAAGGTCACAAGGTCATTGACCTTGGTGTCATTTGAAAGAACTTGATTAGTGGAGTATGCATACCAAATATGAAGTCTCTATCTCTTATGATTCAAAAGTTATGGCGTAGGTACGAAAAAGCTATTTTTAGCATATAGGTCACAGTCAAATTCACAAGGTCATTGACCTATGTGTCATTGTAAGAGCTTAATTAGTGGAGTATGCATACCAAATATCAAGTCTCTTTCTTTCAACGTTCAAAAGTTATGGTGAAGGTTAAAGTTTGCAGACAAACAAACAAACAGATAAACAGACAGGACAAAAACAAAATATGCCTCGGATCTATCAATCTGGGCGCATAAAAATACTACTGGGTAAGTACCTTGTAACAAATAGCCAGCAAAGATGTGTTGTTTGGTGGGACATCTTAGGTCTGGGAAGTCGGGACACAGGGGGCAAAGGTCACGGGGCACCAATCTGTATCTGTGGAACTGTCCACAGTGACACATAGTGTTAATCTTGAAAGGAAGAAAATGATATATATATGATACTCGCATAACATGTAAAACACAGGTGCTATATAGCTACATTTAATTAAATACAGTGATACTGCAAGTAATGGTAGTACATTTAAATACAGTGGGGTTGCAAGTAAAAACTATTGTGCAACATGTAAATACAATGATGTAACAAGTAAAAACAATGGTACTACATGTAAATACAATAGTGGTACATGTACATACAATGATGTAACAAGTAAATACAATGATGACGCATGTAAATACAATAGTGGTACATGTACATACAATGATGTAAAAAGTAAATTCAATGGTGCTACATGTAAAAACAATGGTGCTACATGTAATTACAATGGTATTACATGTAAATACAATGGTGCTACATGTAAATACAATAGTGCTACATGTAGATACAATGGTGCTACATGTAAATACAATGGTACTACATGTAAATACAATAGTGCTACATGTAAATACAATAGTGCTACATGTAAATACACTGGTGCTACATGTAAATACAATAGTGCTACATGTAAATACAATGGTGCTACATGTAAATACAATGATTATAACAATTAAATAAAATAGTGCTACATGTAAATACAATGATGACACAATTAAATACAAAGATGACACTAGTAAATACAAGGGTGCTACATGTAAATACAATAGTGGTACATGTACATACAATAATGACACATGTAAATACAATGGTGCTACATGTAAATACAATAGTGGTACATATGAATACAATGGTGCTACATATAAATACATGCTGCTACATGTAAATACAATGGTGCTACATATAAATACAATAGTGCTACATGTAAATACAATGGTGCTACATGTAAATACAATAGTGTTACATGTAAATACAATGGCGCTACATGTAAATACAATAGTGCTACATGTAAATACAATGATTATAACAATTAAATACAATAGTGCTACATGTAAATACAATTGTGCTACATGTAAATACAATAGTGTTACATGTAAATACAATGGCGCTACATGTAAATACAATAGTGCTACATGTAAATACAATGATTATAACAATTAAATACAATAGTGCTACATGTAAATACAATGATGACACATGTAAATACAATGATTACACATGTAAATACAATGGTGCTACATGTAAATACAATTGTACTACATGTAAATACAATTACACATGGCACATATAAATACAATGATCCTACATGTAAATACAATGGTGCTACATGTAAATATAATGGTGCTACATGTAAATATAATGGTGCTTCATGTAATTACAATGAATCTTCATGTAAATAAGATTGTGCTATACGTAAATACAATAGTCCTACATGTAAATACAAGATGTAACAAGTAAATACAATGGTCCTACATGTAAATACAAAGGTGTAACATGTAAATACAATGGTGCTACAACTTAATACAATAGTGGCACATGTAAATACAATGGTGCAACATCTAAATACAATGGTGCTACATGTGAATACAATTGTGCTACATGTAAATACAATGGTGCTAAATATTAATACAATGATGACACATGTATTATAATAATGAAATAAATGCAAATAAAAAGGTGCATTTGAAGTATGAAGATGGTAATACAGTCTTGAAAAATAACAATGATGCTACATATAGAAATACAATGGTGGTACATGAGAATTCAACAGTGCTGTATCTACATGTAAGTTCCAATGGTAAAACCTATTACAATGATGCTACATGTAAATACAATGGTGCTACATGTAAATAAGATGGTGCTACATGTAAATACAATGGTGCTACATGTAAATACAATGGTGCTACATGTAAATAAGATAGTGCTATATGCAAATACAATGATGACACATCTAAATACAATGATGACACAAGTAAATACAATGGTGCTACATGTAAATACAATGGTGCTACATGTATATGCAAATACAATGATGACACATCTAAATACAATGATGACACAAGTAAATACAATGGTGCTACATGTAAATACAATGGTGCTATATGTAAATACAATGATGTAACAAATAAATACAATGGTGCTACATGTTAATACAATAGTGCTACATGTCAATACAATGGTGCTACATGTAAATACAGTGAGGCTTCATGTGAATATTATTGTGCTACCTGTGAATAAGATTGTGCTACATGTAAATACAATGGTGCTACATATAAATATAATGGTGTTTCACGTAAATACAATGGTTCTTCATGTAAATAAGATTGTGCTACATGTAAATACAATGGTGCTACATGTGAATCAATGGTGCTATATGTAAATACAATGGTGCTACATGTAAATAAGATATGGTGCCACATATACTGGTGAGTAAATACAATGGTGTCACATATTAACACATTGGTGCTATTTGTAAATGCACTTGTGCTACAAGTAAATGTGCTACACATGAATACAATGGTGCTAAATTCAAAGACGGTATTCTAAATTCATATACCATAAATAAAGTGGTGCTACATGTGATACAAGTTCTAGATGTGAATCCAATTGTACTACCTGATCATTCAATGATGGTACCTGTAAACACAATGGTACCGGTACTACTATTTTTTTCACATGTTCTGAAAATGTTTTGACAAAGACTTAGGAAAGTGAGATATTCAAGCAGATTTAGTTTACAATTCAGGATTGAGATGCTTTAATTTTTTTAAAACAAGTAACAAAAGCCCTGTAGAGCTCTTGACTGACATAATTTTTTCCAGTTTTAGAGATATCTCTTGATCTATCGCCTTTCAAATAAAACAGTTCGCGTAATTCAGTATAGCAATTTTTTTTAAATAAATGTTTTATTTCCTCTGATGTTTATGGTTCAAAATAGAATTTACTACATGTTCCATATTCTCATCACTGTGATAAAATAATTACCCCAATTGCCATATGTATGTCGTTTTTGGTTTTACATTTTAAGTGACAGTTTCGCAAAGAGACATTTTCATGTGATGGCAAGCTCTTTGTTATGTTGTAGCATTCTGAATAGACGAAGGGATCTGAAAAAAAGCAAATACATATTTGATGTGATAACTATACGCGACATGTATCTAATTAAGCTTACTTCAATGAAAAATTGCATACACACCTGTCACCAATTTGTACGGCGTAGTTCTGCTTTGAGAGAACAAAAACTTAGGAAAAGTCCTTTTTTGAAAGTCATATCCCTCAAAAATTGTAAACCAGGTACCACGCCTGTCCTCGACTTGTTGCCAATAAAAAGAGCTACAAAATTTTTAAGTACAACCATTTCGGTGATTTCCCTGACTTAATATATAAATATACGAGTAGATGTATAATTGTTATATACCAGAATATATTGCATGCGTTTGCCCTAACGGAATATTAATAAATTCTTTAATTTTCACCAAAATTCTCTATCGCTAAATACTTATTGCCAATGGCTGATAGGGTAAGTGGTAATCGCCAAGTTCGCATGGCCAACCATTAGGGTTTATTTTTAATTCTCCTTTTTCAAGCAAAAGCCACAATATTTCCAACCTGCCGATTTGGCTTCATTCATTTGCTAGAATTCTTAAAAATGTCAATGTCTTATTTTCTTTCTAAACATTCAAAGCCCATTTTTATGAAGACAAAACTATCACCCTTTGGTATGCTGAGAATGCTAAAATTACTGCATTGAGCAACAAAGGGATAAAGCAAGATGGTAAACATTGCATTGCAAAGGGTAATTTTTTGGGGGGGAGGGGGGCAACTATCGATGAAATATATACAGACACTGAAAGCGGAATTCAAGCTCAAAATACCATTAAACTACAAATCAGGAGCAGAGCAAACACGGACCACTGAAACTCCAGAGATGGGATACGGTGCCATGGAGGAGTAAGCTTCCCCTGCCTGAGGAGTGACCAGTCAAACCCGCCATGTGCTCCTTTTTGACAGACAGACTAACCATAGACAATTGAGTGTGTAAATAATGGAATAACAATTAGTATAAAAAACGTCAGTCAGCATTTGACTTAATGATAGGTTGTATTTGCTGACAAGATCATTGTATCGACCAAAAAAAAAAAAAAAAACCACAAAAAAAAAAAAAAAACACACACACACACACACACACAAAAAACAACAACAACAAACAAACTAATTAAGTTACATATTAGTATTAAATTAATTCTAGTATTTAGATAAGTTAAGTATTAAAGTTAAATTTAAGTTAAAGGTAAATTTAAGTATTAAGTTAGTTAAGTTAGTATTAAATTAATACTACTATTAAGACAAAATGAACATAACACGCATTTTCTTACCTATGAAGCATTTTGTAACTTAAATGTAAAATTTTGTGCGAAGAAGTAAAATTGTTGCTTCTAAAACGAAATCCGGGCAGCATAGTTGGATTTTCAAACTTTATCCAGAAGAGCACATCGCCATACAGATTCAAAAACCTCAAAGTAATCTACAAGAGATGGTCAAAGACAACATTTTATCGGTAATTGTAAACAAATATGAGGCTACAATTATCACAAGGAGAAATTTGATCACGTTGGATTGATCAATTTTAATGTTTATTTATTTATTTATTTATTTTTTATCTATTTATTTATTTATTTATTTTTTTTTTGCTTTTTTATTTCAAAATTTCTGTATGAATTATAACACTTATCCCGATCTATGTCTTACAGTGTCGGGAGGATTCTGGTAAGCTTTCTTTAGTAACATGCTTTTGTAGTTTGTCTTTAACAGGCCGATGATATTTTTGGTATTAAGTGGAGCACTATAATGGTCGTCTGAGAGGAAGGACTCCATTGATGTCCCGTCCTCTGCCTGTTTTACCAAGAGAATGGTTTCATCGTCCTCCGCACTAGAGAGAATTTGCGGAATGCAAAAATCTATTAAATGAAAAGAGATGTTTGTAAAACCATTATGCCCCCCTCCCTAGAATAATTTGAATTTTCAAAGTCCAAGGGACATAACTCTTCCAAAATGGCTCGATCGTATCCAAAACAGACCTTGACCTAAATATCCCTTTGATAAATCTGTATACTAAATTTCATTTCAATATGTACAACCTCTGCAAAGAAAATGAGCGGAAACTGATGGTGGACCGACAGACTGACCGGCAGCAGAAAAGCTTCTTCGAAAGGGGGGGGGGCATAATACTAGTAAGAAGATGGGGGATACGGCGGATGAAGTGCCTATAGCGCGACAGATAAGAAGTGGAAAAGTTAATCTCAATTATATCCAAATTTTATTTGATAGTTCATCTAATATTAAAGTATACTTAATGTAAAATCTCTACAATTTACAAAAATCTCACAAATACTGCAAATATTTACCTATGAAAAAGCATACACACACACTAAAAAGAACAAAAACGATCTGAAATTTTCTCATACTTTACAAAAAAATTTCAATATGAGTGGGTCTTCGCTCCATTTTTTTTGAAAGGTAATCCTAAAAGTTTGCAATTAAATATACATTTTTATTTTTTTTGGTTTACAAAAACATGGAGCGAGGACCCACTATACCTTAAAAGCACACTTAGCGCGTTAGTCTCAAAGTAGTATGATAGTCAAACGTCGGGTTTCTATTGCTAGGGGTTCGAATATCATGTTATGATTTTAATCCATTTTATAAAAGAATTTTTTACGAAATTTTTTTCCCTCAGAAAATGTTTTTTTCTCATAATGTCATGAATTTTAATAATGAGAAGTTAATTTAAATACTCAATTCACTTATTGAATATTTCTTAATATCCGACGCTATAGGCATTCTGCCCGCCTTGTTCACTCATCTTCTTTGTAAATTATATAAACGTATTGATTATAAGTTTTAAGCTCACCTGTGCACATTCTGTCCGACGTCCGTCTAGCTGTCTGTCTGTCTGTCTATAATTGTCCCTTTAGCTGTCTGTACAAAATTTTCACGCTTTCGACTTCTTTTCAAAAACCACTGAGCAAAATTCAACCAAACTTACCACAAAGTATCCTTGGGTAGACGGGGTTGCTTATACTTTTACATGTAAATCTGCTCAGAACATAATTAGCATGGTTTAGTTTCAGTCATTTATCTAGGTTCTTTAACGAAATTGCAGATGACTATATACTTACCTATCGAATTCGTTACTGCTATAAGTATAGAAAGTATTCTCTCACACTGCATCCCCTGTATTTGCTGTATATAATTTTAAAACGTTTTCAAAGAAAAAAAGTACACTCTGTTCTGTTTGTTGCTCTCCTTAACAGAAATTTTAATGTACTCTTCTTAATAACCCTGTGATGCGAACGTGCATATTTTGACTGAATATCTGAATCCACAATAATCGCTATGAAGAGTTTTTCCTTGTCTCCGATAAAAATTATTCAAAATTTATAGGGAAAACAATGGATATTAAGTTCATAAAGGAATGCTAATCCATCATGATTACAATTCCATCAGGTCACGTTGCTATTTTATGTCAAATAGCAAAAACTCCAGCCGCTGCAATAATCAGTTTTTCCATGTTATTTAATTTTCCTTATCTCAAGCGGATAAAGATATTAATTAACATGAAAAACTTGATAAAGGGATTCCATCGGGATTATACAAAATCGACAGGTAAACGATCGCTGTACATTGATCAATGTCAAACGTGTATGGAACCTAGCCGTCACTTTGCTGGTTCTAGGAATCCTTTCCAGTTTGAGGGATTTAGTTAGATCAAAGAAACAGTTTTCTTGCTAAACGCGTTAAGATGATAGTAAGTGATATACAGTTAAAGTATATCATTGATAGAGTTAGCAAGATTCCAGTTTCCCAAGGCCAAGACTATCTTTCCCGAGGCGAAGCAGAGGGAAATGGCCTTGGCCGAGGGGAACTGGAATCTTGCTAACTCCTGCAATGATATATGTACTTTTTTTATACCTCTACTGATTTTTCCTTATATCGCATTAGATCGTTAGCTTTGATTATTATACCTCTACTAATTTTTCCCTATATAAAAATTAGATAGTAAAAATGTAAATAATTCCCTAATCCCTATATTCTGTGAATAGACTATCCCCATGTTAGACTATCCCCATGCGTTAGTCGAATAAGCTAATCCCTGCTTCGGAAGCTAATTCCCGGTTATCCGTAATCCTCTAGATTTTACTTTTGTATCGGTATAATAAGTTATTGGACTAATCCCCGTGCGTTAGTCAAGTGAACTAATTCCCGCTCCCAAAGCTAATTCCCCGTCATTCTTAATCCTCTTTTTTCTTATTTTTTTTATTGGTATAATGAAACAATTAAAAAGTACATCACTGAGGGAGTTATTTTTTTATAGCAAAATTCCAGTTCTCCTCGACCAGCACTTTTTTCCTCGGCTGCACCTCGGGAAATAGTCTTGGCCTTGGGGATCTGGAATTTTGCTAACTCCCTCAATGATATACTTTACCTGTATACTAACTCCGTAGAAATCATAATGAATGGGCTAATCCCCGTACGTTAGTCAGGTGAGCTAATCCCTGCTTCGAAAACAAATTCCCAGTTATCCGTAATTCTCTAGATTTTACATTTACACTGGTATGTGAATGAACTAATCCCCCTGTGTTAGTTCAATGAGCTAATCCCTGCTTTGAAATCACGCTATCTGAATTTTCTAAATTTTACGTTTGTATCGGTATAATAAAACAGTTAAAAAGTACATCATTGCGGGAGTTTGCAAGATTCCAGTTCCCCAAGGCCACGACTATTTCCCGAATTCCTTGCCTTTGGGAACTGGAATCTTGCTAATTCCCGCAATGATATACTTTAACTGTATATTAAACTCACCAAAATCTTCAAAAGTCAAAAACATCAAAAGATTGAATATTTTCTGCACTTTTTACAACCCTTCCTCACAATAATTCAAAAACTAGGCTTTTAATAATATCGTAGACAACTGTTTTCAAAGAGAAACTGAACTAAGGAAATGTTCACATCTTTTGATTGGTTATCAAGAAAATCACTTTATTAATTCTACACACAGGTACTGATACTCTAAAGTTGATTTAAATAGGATGCTAGAGTTTCTCATTGATAGCATATGTATGCACATAGCAGAGACCAAGTCTTCAACAAACTGTTGGAATCCCATTGGACACGACTTCATTATCCAATCTGTTTTTGTATTTCTATGAAGCAGAATTATTGTTTTCAAAACCTCCTACATGAGAATTTAGGAAATAAATAACACTGGCCAGGGCCTTCAACTTGACATTCAAATACATCGATGGTGTTTTATAATCATAGTTATAGCCTACTTACAATGGTTACATGTCTCCCATCTCATATACATGTATGTACATGTAATATAATATAATATTCTGATAAAACCTGCACATGTTGTTTATATCTCACAACTTATTTGCTACACAGAAGCGTGCCCTGACTACGATAAATTTTAAAATCAAGGCAGGCTACTCATACATAAGTTGATGTTACAGGAAATTCTACAACCTTGTTTAAAAGCAGTATTTCGTTAATTTTATAGTCATTATAATGACCCTATTAGTAGGTAATCTACAACAGTTTTCTCTATCATAACCCATGGGTCAAACAAGAAGAATAGCTTGTTTCTGATTAAATATGCATGAACTCCTCTTTGACCTTTTCTTATCCAATGAAATGTTTGAGGGATCCTGTGGACTCAAAACTGAGGTTTGGGACAATGAAACTGCATATTATGTTTGTGTAAGGATCCACAGGTTTAACATAATCCTCCATATAATACAGAAGTCAAAACCACTGAGTACCTCTTTGTGTAGTAGTTTACTGAATTTATCATCCAGTATACATTTTAAAATCAAACAAACATTGTAAAAAATAAAAATAACCTGACAGGCTACAGTGGAACACACAAACATGTAACATTAATAGCTTATTTCATTTTACATAAACATCTACATTTTTCCACGTTAAGGAGGGATATTTCTGTGCAGGATTTGTTCCCCTTTGTACTGCATTGAAAATGTCCTCCCATGTGAAAGATTAAGGGTAAAATACATAACACAAAATAATAAACTACAGATAGTAATTAACTTTGACTTCTTTTTCAGCAGTCTATGTTAACACTCTAAACACAATTACATTTGTTTGGTTCAAGTATACATATGTTTAAATATTGCTCAGATATTTGGTATTTATAGAAAATCAAAATGTGATCCACATGGAATAATTTTTAAAGACATAAAATACAAATCAGTACCTGCTTTAAGTACTCACACATTTTGAATAAAACATACCAAAAATCTTGGCAGAATATCTGTAAAAGACACTGTAAATATGTCTTTACAATGTATAACATATATACCAAATTATACAACAGTGTTTTGTCTTCTTATTTGACCTCCTTCCGAAAATGTCAAAAATTGTATGAAGGAGAACAATACTAGTAGACAAGAAAGCTGGTCCTGCAGAAAATAACAAATGAGTATCTTTACAAATGGAAGCAGCCCTTGCTCTTCTTGTATTACTGGACAAAGAAAGCAGTAAGTAAAGCATTTAATGCATCATAAACTTAAAGAGCTCATTTTCTGTAATGAGTAGTAGTTCTGCTTAACTTTTGCAGCGAGACTTTTTAAAAAATATAAAGTGCCACGCCACAGCATGATACGCCCGTCAAAAAATTACAATTAACTTAAACAGTTTAGAGTGCAAGAAAATCATGTAAACCTTGATTCTAAAATTTCCATGATTTTTTCTATTCCTTAAAATATTTGTTTATCCATCGATATCCCCTGTGGTGTAGGCATTAATTATAACAAATTACATCATTGATAGATTTCTATACTGGTTGTATTAGACCTTAATTGTCAAATGCTCATCATATTAAACAATATCAAATTAGTCTTAACAACAATTTAAACCAAATTAATTTTGAAAATAAAAGGCTAGGCCATCAAATGACATATGCTATTTAAACTGACCAGCAGTTCTTCTGTGGCAAGATTCTCAAAGGATACAGATAAGAAGATGCTAGCTAGCCTTCCTAAATTGAACTCATTAATTAATCTTTGACTGGATGCTTGTCTTCTCATTACTATAGATGAATGAATCTGCACTATCTACCATAAAATATTTTTAAAACATATAAAATACTCAATGATTTTTTTTTTTAACATTTAATGTCAGAAAGGTTTAAATATGCAATTTCTATGGAAAATGGACATGCTGATTCCACCCCTATGAAATTAGTTTTTTAAATTAATAATATTATATAATATTAGATTTTTATAATGCAATATCAAATTAGTGTTAATTACTTTTCATCAAAATCATTTTAAAACTTAGGCTAGCCAACAAGAGCTATTTTTAATCCAACAGGCTTACCCATCTGCCCAATTCCCAAAGGGACATAGATAACACCGATGGTCTCTTTTGCTTCACACTAAACTCATTAATTTCTCTCTAATTTGACATGCAATTTTCTGTTATCAAAACTCTTGACCAGTGCTTGATAATTACACTCATGGGAGACATGGGATTTCTCTTAACATACATAATATCTGTTATAGATTGCTGTCAAGTATATGCTGAAAAAAATAAGTATTTTCTTGATTTAACACTTTTTAAATAAGGATACAAGTAAAATTTTGCATTTTTTAGGATTATAAAATTCAAAATTTAAAAGACTTAGTTTTTAAAAAAATTTCACTTAAATTAAAGGTCACAGTGACCTTGTAATTTTTGGTACTACACACCTTTACCCAAGATGTATACATTTGCCAAGTTTGATAGTTCTAGGTCTAATAGTTTACTAGTTATGAAACTTTTTCCATATTTGGCCATATATAACTTAAATTAAAGGTCAGAGCGACCTACTTTTTGTGCGCGACACACCGTCTACCCAAGAAGTATCAGTTGACAAAGTTTGATAATCCTAGGCCTATTAGTATTGAAGTTATGAGCCGGACAGTCATTGCTGTTCGTTCATGTTTAATGGAGCATAGAAAATTAGACGGACAGATTTCCTATAACAATAAATTATGTTGGCCACACCACGGGCGTATAATAATGTCACATAGTTAAACCATGCGAAAAAGAATACTTGGTCTAAACACATTCTTGTCACACGAACACTCTAAACATACATTCAGCTTACAATCTTTATCAAACACTCACACTAAAAGCTTAAGGTCCACCTTCAGTTTTACCCTTTTATGAAAATGTCATTCTATCTGGAGATAAAAACATGACATTTGACTAGCATGTGGTGAGTAGCTTAATTAATTGAAAATAAATCGTAATTTCAAGCAAAAAACACTTTAATATTTCAAAACTTTATTTTTTGATGCCTTTTTAACACAGTTATGACAAAAATATTCTTTTTGTACATGTCTGACACACATAAAAGACCATACAATTTATCAGAAAGCTGTACAACAGCTCAGGTTATTTGCATAAAAGTATTCATTCAACACACAAGGAACCACAGCTAACTGTTGTCTTCTGAATGGCAAGATCTCCAAGTGAGCTGACAGAAACAGCCAGTGCTTTCAGTGTCCTACACTTTCTGTTCTACAATGTCTCCATCACAGCATTGACACATAGGAAGCTTACACACTCCTTCTTATCAAACCACAGGTGCATTATAATGTCTATCGTCCTCTGCGATCAGCACGACGTGTGGCCAGGAATCCTTCATGTCCTCGGGGTAATATGTAAGGAAATCCTCCTCCATATGCTGCTGTAGTCTCAGTACTTTGATTGTGACTCCTAACGTATACCCCAGCAAGATCATCTCAATCTGTAACAAACATATTGGAAAAAAATATTAATATCATCACTACCAGACCATGTTATAATAAAATATTCTACTGAGTGGGAGTATTCAAACTTTAACCGGTATAATATCAATTTTTCCTTAATATTATTTTACGTTTAAAATATAAATTTATTTGAATGGAGACAAAAGCTTGAAAGGGTGAAATTTGTCTTCATAAATTCACTTTTTTCAATTGAAGTATTTATTTGAATGCCAATGAATGGAGACATGTATGCATTAAAACCTGCAAGGGAGATAACTCTAACATCTTTCACTGATGATCCGGCCTCAGGTTCATGAAACAAACTTAGACTTAAGTCAAATTTTTAATTGCCTATAAAATATTTATTAGTTATGGAATTTATTTCTAAATTTGTACATAACACCTCAGTGAAACAATGTTGAAAAATATTTAAAGTTTGGTCTGCTTGACTTCTACAACATTTTATTATAAAGATTTTGACTTAAGCTAAAGATGTTTCATGATCCCGGGGCCCGATCTTGTCCAGTGCATTTCTTACCTGTTCTAGCCCCCCGCAATCCCCCACAGGGTTGATGTGGTTCCTGACCAGGCTGTCTGGATTTTCTGAGGTGTCCCTGGCAAACAGCAGCCACACAAACACGGGGACCTCCTCCCCCCTCTGTGAGGCTTCATACAGGGAGTGGGCCTCGAGGAACATGAGGAGCTTGATGGCCTCCATACACTGGAGGTCTGCCTTGGTGTCCTGGTTCAGTAGGTTTACAGACCAGCTGGTCCTCTCCTCATCAGGGGAAAGACTCTGACACTCACTGAACTGTTCAGAAAAAGGAAAAGTTTTACATATACACATGTATCTTCATCACATTCCTGATCAATAAAAGTGAAATTAGTGTATATAGCAGTTAAAAAATCACAAAGTTGTAAGATATACATGTAGAAATTCAGATAAAGTCTAGCAATACATTATTATAAAAAAAAATTATGACTGTTTCAATTGGATTTCCAGATTCTGATATATACAATACATGCATATCCAAAATGTCAACATTTTCCAATAAAAAAAAGCATTTGGTTTTAGATTTCAATTATTTGAGAATTGATAGTGAGTTATTCAGTTAAGTGTATTGAAAGCAAAAGAGAATCCTTCCCTACCTTGTTAAAAAGACATTGAACACATTCTGACATGGTCTGTAATTTATCCTTCTTGTTAAAGGGAATACGGTGTGCAAAAGTCCAGTGTGAAAGACCTGAGTGTGGATTTCTGTAGAGTGTTTGTAATTTGTTTATAACAGATTCAGCACTGTTCCATTTGGATAAAACATTGATATTCTGAATGAAGCACTGTAATAAGGTCCCTCTGATCCCACAGTAGTTGTCTCCCCTGATTTGGTGTAGATGTTTACAGCCGGTCAGACTAGGTACTTCTTCATATGCCTGTAAAAATATAATACTGGGTTAGTACTAATTCTATAAACTCTCAAAATTTCATGCAAACTGAATTGCCTCTTATGTACATGTGTCAGCGTTTGAAGTTTAACATATCTTGAACAGTTTCTTTGAAAATGAATCAATTGCAAAATGGGGGAAGTGAGGTTGAGGTCAAATGAAAAGGTCAAGGTCAAACATTTCTGACAGAGATGAAGTCTTTTCTTAATATGTATCAGTACACAAGGTCCTGTGAAAATGCCTTTAACAGTTTCTTTATAAATCAGAAAATGTGAGGTCAAGGTCAAATGGAACATAAAGATTATAATTTTTTGACAAAGTTTAGTTGCTAGCAACTGGAGTATTTGTGGGAAAAGTTTTGAGGCTAAAACTATTGCTAATTGATATCATAAATGCAATGTATACATTTAAGATCTTAAATTTATGAATTGTACATTATACAGATCCAGGAAATATTTTGCTTTTCTGAAGATTCTTTTTCAGTTTTTTTTTCCCAGTGGTCTCAAGACAATCATGTCAGACAAGGACACCGACTTATAGTTTAAAGTAATGCAAGACATCTGTTATACTTTATAACTTCATGCATAGTGATGCATACAAATTACATTTAGATTTTACATGTTTTTAATTAGTTTTTGTCCCCTTTGTTTGGCATTATAGCTCTCATGATTACTTTGTTTCTTCACTCTTAAATGACAAAAAGTTATGTCTCTCTCTTTATAAAGTAAATAGATTCAAAGGATTTTTATGTGCATCTCTAACATTGTTTCACTTTTCTCCACAAGACTTAAAATTTTACCAAATTAACCACAAACATTAGATTAATTATCTCTTAAGACAAAGCAGTTCTTAATGCTTTAATTAATTAGTCTGTCTTCTTAGCTGCTCTGAATCATCTTTCATGTGAAACCAGCAATTGAAGCAGTCCAATCCTTGTTAACTGAGACAAGGTCTCCATTAACAGACAACCAGTCCACAGAAGTTGTGATCTCACAATGTCACAGGAAACTGTATCCCAGAAAACATGAATGCACACAGCAAAACTGTTCTTCAAATGGTTGTTTAAGAAGTTTAGTTTGAAAAAAAAACAAAAAACAAGAAGGCATGTGGGCCTTACAAATCACCTGATTTTCTCAGGCTATGATCACAGAAGCCCCACATGAACTGAAACTCTGGTCACAATTTAGTATAGTCAGTACTTAGTTGTTATATTCATACAACTTTTCTTACAGTATCAGGAGTAAAGATGATATAGTATACTGTATGAAAACTTTTGACATATTGACCTACTTAGTCTCTACCTGGGTCACAGATAACAAGATTTGTTATACCCTTATAAATATCATTCTATATATTTATTACTTGTAAAAAGTCCAACAAAAGAACTGTTTATTACATCGGTCTAACAATTTCACTATTGACCGGTCTTACATAAGAATTGTTAGACCGCAACGTCACACGTCTGTTACGTCACAATTAATAGTCATCGTTCAATATCGGCGACGCGAAAATAGCCGAAGTTAAGATCTACAAGAGTTGTTGTTAACAGCAAGGTAAGGAAGAAGTAAAGAGTATGTTTTGTGATAAATAATTTTTGTGATACAATAAATATATAATTGATTTTGTTCTTTCTCAGCTTGATGTTTTATATTTACTGAAGAAGCCATAATTTTCCATATAAAATTTATTGATAATATAGCGTGTATTGATTAAATTGATCAATCTTAAGTGAGCAGTGAAGGGTATAACAAAACAGTTATAGACTGGGATTCGGGCAACATATGATTTGTTGGACCTGAAGGTGAAAATGTTGCCCTTGGCCTGCGGCCTCGGGCAACATTTTCACCTTCAGGTCCAACAAATCATATGTTGCCCTCACACCCAGTCAATAACTGTATAATGTTTGTAAATCACTTATGCGCCCCTCCCCCAAATAATTGGAAATTTTCAAAGTCCAAGGGACATCACTCTGTCCCAAAGTGCTCGATCTTGCCCAAAGACAGATCTTAACCTAGATATTCATATGATACCGTATAGCGGGTTTTCTTGGTGGGTGTAAAATTTGGCGTTTTGCCTGCTCAAAGGTGTGCTAATAATTTATATAGCGGACACGAAGTTTCAGCTCTTCGCAGATGAATGATATGAAGACTACTAAATATTTTAGTGATTAAAATTTTAGCGGGCTACTCTCAAAACGTCAAAATAAGCCAGAATTAGCACCCTGCTAAAATTACCCACTATACGGTAAATCTGTACACCATATTTCATTTTTAGTAATTTGTGTAATGGTTGTGAAGAAAATGAACGGAAACTTGATGGACCAACAGAGAGACCGACCGACACGCAGCAGCAAAGCAATATGCCCACCCTTCTTCGAAGGAAGGCATAACAATTTTTGTAACATTATTTAAGAGATTTATTTAACAATTCTGAAAATATGCCTGTAACATTCCTGAGTATTGAAGATGAATTAATGATTCTCTTCTTCTAAACCTCTTTCTGGGAGCCATGAATTTTTTTTTTTGAAAAGACCAGACTCTGAGGGTTAAATACCAAGTGCAATCATGATCATGGAAACAGTTTGCTTGCTTGATTAACTTTTTCTCTTTTTCTTGAGTTGACAATTAAATCCGAGTAATGACTAACCTTCAACATGACGGAGGCTCGCCTAGTGTTCCCCTTCCATTCTTTCTTACAGTACTCCAGTACATCCTGTTTGGGTCCTACATTAAGACACCCTACAGAATAAAAAGTACCCATCTCTATCACTGGTGAAACAGGAAAATAAAACTTCTCTAATAAGAACATTGTAGTGCCAGGAAATATTAAATTCAAGAATTAATGTGTAGATCATTTTTAGAAATACCAAAAAACACAAAACTTAAAGTGCAAATTGTATTTACAAATACCGAAAATGAAAAATAACTTTTAAAATGTCATATATTTTACTTAAAAAGGAAAACCACATTAATTTGCAAATTATTTTCAACACATAAGCATGTATTGTGTTTATGATAATGACGTAAACCGTAGACAAGAAAATAAATCAGGTACAGGCTTACATTATAAAATGCTCGGCATTGGGAAATAACCCTTCCTACCCCCAACCCTCAAAAACAAATAATGTCATGGATAGTAAATCTTATGTTCATACTAATATATGATTTAAAACCTAATTGTCATGACAATTTTCACACTGATAATTTGCACGTGAACCTGTATGCGTCATAGCTTCAAATAACTGTATTGAAGGGGTACATAGTTGTAAGACAAAACTCAAAAAGTTTATCGATTCATTTTTAACTGCATATCTTCAACAATGTCTGTCACTGACAAAGATGACATGTCATTAATTCAGTTGATTTCATTTTATAATAACAAAAAAAAAAAATATCTTTAAATATATACAAAGAAGATTAAATAACCATTTTTACATATAATAAATATGGAAAACAAAAAGAAGTGTTTGTCTTCTCTTTTTTAATCCAAAAATATTAAAATTTAGGTAAAGTTTTCTAAAATAAAAAAAAATGTCAGAAATGGTTCATTTTAAAAACTACAGTATCAAAATTTAAAAAAATAACCAATTATCTTGTAAATGCATAAATGTAGATCCCTATTATTCCATGCAATAAATCTGTTCAAGTAAAGCATACATTTAAACATTTACCTAATTGATGCTTTTCTTCAGCAAAAAGCAAAGACAATTACCTTTTTGACAATTTCTACCTCTAAAATAAAGTTGAATATTTGTAATCCAAAGAAAACAACCCATGGTAACAGAAAAAAAAAATATACAAGCTCAAGGGTCCTCTTTGTTCGAGTTCTTATCCATCATTTAGTTCACCACAGAGAAAAGTCTACCTTCTGCTTTCACAATAATTAATTAAATGTGGTCACTGCTAGATTACCACACAATGGAGACCTGCACAGAAGCAGCTAATTTACAGTAAAAATACACACACACATCTCGTTTAATACTCATTAACTGTGCAGCTTTCATTAGGAGAAAAAAATGAAACTGCAGAAATTAAATTGATTCTTTTGGCATTATTAATGATTATAATTAACAATTAATGTCAGAAAATGCACTTCTTTTCAACAGAGCTTTCCAGCTAAAAGACAATAAATTAAGGTTTTACACATTAATTTACCTCTTTTTAATCTTGCATCCATTATCAGATTTTTTTTTTTTTGCATTAAACATTAATTACATCAATCGTTTGCAATTTGACCACTGTATTATTTTACCACCTAAAATAGAATACGCAAAAATTCTTCATTAATTTAAAATCTATACATCTGTTCTCATTAATTAATCCAAATTTTTATGTTAATCACGTAACTTTTTCATGTCTCTTTGACAGATTTTTTTTAATGTTTAACGCAACTAATTAATAATTAATGGAACCTGCATGCCTACATTTTAATAAAGAACTATTTTCAAACTTCATTTTTTGCTCTTTTAAATTATAAATAAAAAGAAGTACAGATTTTTAGTGCAAAATTGTAAAAAGAAAACCACATTGCTTCAAAATGCCAAATGTAGTCAGAAATTTTAATGAGTAAAAGAAAACAAGAGGCCCATGGGCCACATCACCCACCTGAGAAGCTTTGGCCATTCTGTTTTTTACCAGAATTCCCCCTTGTAATACATATTGTGACCCCACCCTACCCCACTAATCATAATTTAAACAATTTGAAATCTACACTACCCCAGTATGCTTCCACATAAGCTTCAGCTTAGGTTTTCAGATTTTTTTTCAGATATATTTCTATGTAAAACTTTGATTCCACATTGTGGCCCCGCCCTACCCCCGGGGGTCATGATTTGAACAATTTTGAATCTACACTACCTTAGAATGCTTCCACATAAGTTTCAGCTTTTCTGACCCAGTGGTTCTTGAGAAGAAGATTTTCAAAGATTTTTTTCTATATATTTCTATGTAAAACTTTGATTCCCCATTGTGGCCCCGCCCTACCCCCGGGGGTCATGATTTGAACAATTTAGAATCTACACTACCTTAGAATGCTTCCACATAAGTTTCAGCTTTTCTGACCCAGTGGTTCTTGAGAAGAAGATTTTCAAAGATTTTTTTCTATATATTTCTATGTAAAACTTTGATTTCCCATTGTGGCCCCGCCCTACTCCCGGGGGTCATGATTTGAACAATTTAGAATCTACACTACCCCAGGATGCTTCCACATAAGTTTCAGCTTTTCTGGCCCAGTGGTTCTTGAAAAGAAGATTTTCAAAGATTTTTCCTTTATATTTCTATGTAAAACTTTGATTCCCCATTGTGGCCCCGCCCTACTCCCGGGGGTCATGATTTGAACAATTTAGAATCTACACTACACTAAGATGCTTCCACATAAGTTTCAGCTTCACTGGCCCAGTGGTTCTTGAGAAGAAGATTTTCAAAGATTTTTCCTATATATTTCTATGTAAAACTTTGATTCCCCATTGTGGCCCCGCCCTACTCCCGGGGGTCTTGATTTGAACAATTTAGAATCTACACTACCCCAGGATGCTTCCACATAAGTTTCAGCTTCACTGGCCCAGTGGTTCTTGAGAAGAAGATTTTCTAAGATTTTTTGTCTTTTATATTTCTATGTAATTTTAACAATTTAAATTCCCCTTCATCCAAGGATGCTTTGTACAAAGTTTGGTCAAAATTGCCCCAGTGGTTCTTGATGAAAATGTGAAAAGTTTAGAATCTACACTACACTAAGATGCTTCCAAAATGTGATAAGTTTCAGCCTTCACTGGCCCAGTGGTTATGATTCTACTGGATATTTAAAGAAGATGCCTTATTCTTTTAAAGATTTTTATTCCAGTGTGACTTTCCTCTTTCAATTTTTATTTTATTTTTTGTTTCTTATGTAAATAAAGTCTTTTAACAATTCCCATTATTGTATCCAAATAAAACAGAATTTACCCAAAATCAAATTCAATTTGATTTGATAAGCAAAAGCAGACTCTACATTTCTAAAATCTAAATCAAGGCAAGCTATTGACAAACAAATTGATGAAACAAAGATATTGTAACGGTCCAGAGATTTGACAGATTAGCTTTATACAGAGTTATTGAACCTGATTATTGTTGACATTGTAGGAGAGTTAAGATAAATTTGTATATGTGTTATAATTATTTGATATTGCAGCTTTACTGATTTATGCTTTGCAGTGGTTGATAGGTGATTATTGAAGTTTAAGATTTTGAGTTGAAATAGTTTGTGCACATGTTTTGAGTTACGTAGAAATCAGCTATTTTTGTCTTACTTCATGTTTCAGATTTATCTCCTGTAGTAGATGAACCATAGATTTAGGGGATATGTTTTCCTTGTTTTCTTAATTATCATTTTAACAATTTAAATTCCCCTTCATAGTTTTCATTTTTGGAGTTAATTGTGTTATTTGTTGATTTAAATGTAATTTACCAAGTTATTTAGAGATTACTTTCATTCAAAAAGTTGTCTTGTATGTGTTATTAGATTTTTCTATAGACTTTGCATTTTAGAAATGTCAAAAATCTCCAACGTTTTCCAATGAGTCCAACAGTTTCCAACATTTACGTCATGTTATGGTATAAAAGAGAGAGATTCAAGGAATTTTTGCTCTTCTGCTAGGTTGATTTGTTTAGAGAAGTCATGTTTTAGGGGTAAGGAGTTAGTATGGGTTGGGCGTTTTGATTTAGATTTAATAATGACTTTTTAGTTTTATTTTAAGAAGAGCCAGGATTATTTTAAGGATTTTTAGGAACTTTTGGAATATTTGAGCCTTTGGCTTTTAGTGAATTTTAACTGAGAATGAGCTAAAATTTGTCAAATTGTGATATGATTTTAATTATATTTAGCTATTAAGGAAGCTAGTGTATTTCTAAATTTTGCTAAAACTCTAGCTAGGTGCCTTATTCTTTTAAGATCTCAAACATTTTATTCCAGTGTGACTTTCCTCTTTCAATTTTTATTTTATTTTTTGTTTCTCGTATGTATCTTGTGGAAATAAAGTCTTTTAATAACAAAACTGTATTTTGTCTCATTTCAAGTAATTTATAAGGTTTTATCAAAGTGTGATTTTCAGTGGGTATATAAAAGAGTAAGAACAATTCCACACCTATTTTTGTATCCAAATAAAACAGAATTTACCCAAAATCAAATTCAATTTGATTTGATAAGCAAAAGCAGACTCTACATTTCTAAAATCTAAATCAAGGCAAGCTATTGACAAACAAATTGATGAAACAAAGATATCAATAGTCTTGTTTAGAGCACTGTATATATTCAGTAAGTTCTATGGTTGATACATTGACCTTGTAAAAATTACCGTAATCATTATGGTTAATAGTGACTGACAGTTTCTCATTCAAATTATAAGGCCATTATTTACAAACTGACTCAAAATTGTCCATGGATTGTCAGTTTTTCAAAATTATGACAAAGACCGCATGGCAGGTGTGACCAGTCAACAAGGTATATGCTCACTCCTCCATAGCACCTGATCCCATCTCTGAAGTTTTTGGTGTCTGTGTTTACTCTGCTCTCAGTTTATATTTCGTGCTTGATTACTGTTCATTATCTCCATTCTTCATTAATAAAAATGTTTAAAAGGTTTAAAAGAAGGTCTTTCAGTTGTGTATCAAATATAATGTTCAAGCTCTTTTTTATATTTATTACTGTGGTTTCATTAATATTCGTTGAGCACCAATTTTCGAGGATTTCATTGTTGACAGATCCACGAATTTCAATGTTCATTGAATTAAGGACATACGCGACATACCTCATCTACTGATAATTTTTCAAGATATTCCAAATTTAAACTTACAATACCATTACATGTTCTTCGACAAAAAATCAGTATGCATTACCAGGGGTTTTGAAAAGATATCAAATTGTGAACATTTTTGCATTATTCAAAGAAAAAAGTAGAAAAATTACAAAATATAAATTCCAGATTTTTTTCCACAAAAATTGTTTATAAGAGGTGTACAAATCTATATATAAACATTAAAAATATTGCACACGGGTCCTTCATTAAGTGGAACTCTTCAACTCCATGGAAGAATCCAATAAAGTTCAAACTACATTGTGTATGACCTTAAGAAATATGTTATTAATTTGTACAAGCAATGCTTTTGTCCATGAAATTACGTATCCTTGAAAACTTCTGTTACATGTATACAAAATCCACAAAAAATTGATGCCAACGAAAACTGATGAAACCACAGTATTTGCAATTTTTTTGCTTTTGTTCAAATGATTATGCAAGGGATATGTACTTTAAACATGTTCCATCAGTCATCTTGTTTGTTTTTTGCTGTTGTTGATTTAATATTTAAAATGTACTTTTAAACTTACTGGTACTACTTCTGAACTGAAGTTACGTGCGAATTAATTTGACAAACTGAAGCCTGTCTGAGAATTATTTTTTCTTCGACTCCTGCACGTAACAACAGTCATTTTTAATTCAAATGTGTAATAATGTACCGTTATATATCTAGGAGCTGTAATATTCAATTGTTTAATTAACAAAGAACTTGTGTATTAATTTGACAAACTGTAGTCTTATTTAACTGTACTTTTTTTCTTGTGTAACCATCATTATGATTTAAAAATTTAACATATTTCAAATGGCTTTTCTTGTCAGTTGATTCATTCTTGAGATTTGTTGGTGACATTATCAAATTTTCCTGTTTCTTAATTATTTCCCCTTAAAAGAGTGCATGATTCTTCCCTTAAACAAATAGATGATTTTTTGTTTTTTATTCATCCAAGCATGATCTATGGTAAGCTTGAAATTGACCTATTGGTAAAACAATGGAGAAATTGAAACTGTGAAAAAGTTTCCCATAACACTCAAAGAACAAACACCTTTCACATTTAGTCCTTGACCTCTGACCTGAAATAAACAGGTATCTACATGATCATTCATGATGATTCTTTGACTGCTATACTAAGAAATTATGAACAAATTGGAACTTAAGATTCTTAGTACTCCTGTCACTGTGTAGCATAAAGATGCCGTCATATTAGACAAAGTGTTACAGTAGATTGGTCTTTTATACAGAGAACTTTACTAGAGCTAAAGCATGAGCTTCAGATACTTAAACATTGCATGACCTTGAATCAAAGTCACACTCTTGTCTGAAACACAGCTCTTAATTATTTTGAAGCAAGGAGTATTGTTTTAGAATTATTTCCATTATAACGAAATTTGAAGTAGCAAATTCTGATCAACTGAGATGATAAATCGCCTTCTGTAGCCCATTATATTGAAAGCTTGCTAGAATATAGTACAATTCTCTGTCATCCTTTGACTTTCAGAAAGGCATGGTATGTAATTAACGTCTCTAAAATGGTGACATAGATTCTCATTGGTAAGAAATTAATAACATCAGCAACTTTAAATTGTTGCTGACAAGGATGAAAGGACTTAAAACCCACCTCTTTGCTGTACGAAATGCTATCACTGGATCCTTGCTACACTCATTGGAATTCACCCTAATTTCTATCCCATGTTTATTTCAACAGTGAATGAAATGCTGTGTAAATTTCAGATGAAAATTAATGTAACCTTGAGAATGCCAAGCCTTTCTGAAAGTTCAAGGAAAAAAGGGAATTAATGTACTAAGCAGAGATCAAATACCTAAATAGAATTGTCTTGTGAGCAGCAACTCTTTTTGTGCTCATTCGGTTTGCTTGAGAAAACTTTTCTAAACAAATTACTGAATTTTTCTCAGGGAAGGGGAAAGAATTCAGAATAAAATGCATTATGGAACATTAGGAGAGAAAGAGAAATTCTTTTTAAAAAAAATCTTAGAAAGTTGTTGACCATAACCATGATAAGTTTAAAGTCATAACTTATAAGTTATAACTTATAAGTTGCATTTATAAGGTTAAACCATGTTTCTTGTCAAACTGTCAACTGTATCATGTGTATATGTATATTATATAATGCCAATAATGTAATATGGAAACTTAACCATGTCAACATGCAACAGAATCAAAGCTCATGCTTCATAAATAAAAAGAGAAACACAAATGTTATTTATAAAAGTATATTTAACAAAACAATTGACAAAAATGAAAAACAAGTTATGTCAACAGCAAAAGAAACTCAACTATAAATTATAAACAAATATAAATAAATCACCAGTTGAAATCAAATTACATTTTTTTAATTTAAGTTTTGCTCACATTTCAGAAAACAATCAGCAAAAAAAAAAAAAATGAAGCATGAACCTTTGATGGACATGTGAATCTAGAATGCATGTTTACAAAGAGAATTTTTTTCTTATAAAATTTGACATCTCATTTCTAATTTTTACTTTTCCTTAAAGTATTTTCAATATCGATAGCTTCATGGTATTTACTAAGAAAATTTTAATTTTTGAAAAATGTACAGTTTTAAATTTCAATGAAAAAAAAATTTCATATATTATTTTTCGTGAATATTTGGATATTCTGTCATACATGTACCTCTTCCGTTAGCTAGGTAAGACCTGGTGTCCCCTGCTTACCACTTGGAGGTGGAAGTAGGATTTTAAGCAGGATAAACAAAAAAGTAAAATGAAAATGCAAACAGCAGCAAATTGTTAAAACACACAAACCAGAAGTGATATTTTTTAAAATGTGTTAAAAAAGGAAAATGCTGCACATTCCATCTATTATAGAAAGAAAGGCAATACACTCAAAAATTCATGCAGGCATAGGCAGAGTATGAGAATTAAATGTTATCATGCAAAATTCAACTTCTCTTTCTCTCCCCCTCTCTCTTCATAACAAATACTTTTTGTGTTATCATTTATCAGTTCAACAATATCTTCAAAACACCCTTGATATTCAGAAAGTATGGATCCTTTATTCTCAGTGAACAATACATTGTGTTCATTCGAAATGAAAATGCATATTGCATAATTTAATTTAGACTAGAACACACTGTAAAATTATTCATATGAGAAGACCATGTGTACATGTAAATGAACACACCATTAACATGCATCTCTATCAAAAACAAGCTTACAGTAAAGAAGGAGTCCTACTATCGCCCAGGGCTGATTCTATACTGGCCATACCTCACAAGTAATACTGAAAACATGAACATTTTGTCCTTTGTGTCAATGTAATAACCTTGTAAGATAGGAGAACAAGTCTCATACTGGTGACCTCCCCTTACTTTCCTGTACAGGCTATTACCATACAGCTTATTTTCCACTGTAGCACCCCTAGCACTCATTATTGCCCTATCTTTACCTGGGGATAATTCCCTAGATGACACCAGCTCTACCGGCTCCATATCAAAGGCACTATCTGTATCCAGCTCATCCAGAGTTGTCTGCCCCTGATCACTGTAGATGTCACTGTCATCCAGAAGAAGTTTATCACATGTTTGTAAGTTGTCAGATAAAAATATGATAGCACCATCTGATGTGGAGATTTTCTCCTCACTAGTGTTCTCTTCTTTAACATGTTCAGAAGATTCCTGAGATTCCGTGACGATTTTGGAAGGAAGACTGTTGATGCGTTTCAGCAGGACCTTGATCTGACTTTGACCTTCACTGTCCCAGGACAGGTCAATGCCGTCCGTGTCCACTGCACTTTCACTCAGTGAAGTATCGCTCTGTGAGCGGTGGAGCTTCTCTCTGGTCTTCTCTACGAAATCACACGCTTTTTTGGCTAGTGGATCACTAGGAGTGTACTCCATCTCATCATCACTGGAATGTTTCGCTGCCAACTGTTTCAATTCGTCCAGTTTTGCAGTAATCTCAGCAAACTCATCAACAATGTCATCCACTTGATGCTCAATTTCTTCGAAATACTCTCCCGTTTCTTGGCCTACTTGAGCGGACTCGGTAAAAATCTCATTTTCACTCAATCCAGACAAACTCTCCTGTCTTTCACAACTGTTACTCCTAGCATATCTAACAGGAGAGCCGTCGGGGGAAGAATTCACAGATGATGTACTTGATGTATTTATTTCATGAAGTCTTTGAAGTAGTGTCTGTCGAAACTGGCCGTCTACACTTTTGGCTTTGTGTAAAGGGGAAGAATCCTGCTCATCGTCATCAAAACTTAAATTTCCTGAAACGTCTGTTGTGTAGTTACTGAAGAGTTTGGCACTCCCGCTGGAGTGGAAAGGGGATGTATGGTTAGAGCTATCTGTGGTCTGCCAAACAGAACCTGCGTGGTCTACGTCATTGAAGTCAGTCCCATTACCAATCAAATGTTCAGAATCTGTTGGTGATAAGTTCGAAATGAGATCTGGAATGTTTTCTGAAAATGTCACACTAGGTTTATTTTGTTCACTTGAAACGGTTTCCTCATTTTGATTGTTGCGATCGTCGTCTGAGGGCGGAGTCAACAAAACACTACTGACTGTCAACACATCCTGAGAACTAGAAACTTCTATCTGTAAACTATTGCCTGATGATTCACAAAGGTGGGGTTTATTTGACTGGAAATGTTCATCAAACCCGTATTTATAGTTCCTTTCATACAGCGACTTTAGACTCAGGTTCCCCTTGAGTGACCCACTGTTTGGTTCCGCTCCACTGAAGTCTGAGGCACTGTGGGTAAATCGTTCAACCGAATCCTCTCGAGGCTGTGAGGAACTGTCCTCCTGTGAATTGAGGAGATGGACCTCCTCCTCCTCTGAGTTTTTTCTGTGTCGACGATGCTTCGTTGGTCTGCGCTGCCTCACGAGGATTGGACTTGTGGCTTGGTTTCTGGTTCGGCAGCTGCCAAACTGCACCCCGTTTACAGCATTATAACGAACCGGTACAGTTTCATTGGAGCCGGAGTTTCCCATATCATCCTCTTCACTATCTGCATGCACCTACAATATAAATTTATTTAAGAATCTTTAAAAAATATTTTGATGCTAAACACCATTAGTATAAATACTTGCGTGGTGAAAACATACATGAGTGCACAAAGAGAGAATCGAAAAAACATCAAGTACAAAGTATACAGTATGTACTATGTAGTTATGCATATCAATACCACATCCTGATAGAAAAAATGGACATTTACATATAAACAACTTCATTATCATCAGTAACTTACTGTAATAAGTATTAACTGATTAAAGCCTTAGAGCAGGCTCACAATGAATTAAAAGCAAACTGATCCGAGGACAGAAAATATATATATAATATAAGATTTTATAATGAACAACTTCAACCTTTACCAACAGTCTAGATTTTGGTTCAAGGTCACTGCAACCCTTTATAAAAGGGCACCTGCTAGGTGAAGTTTTTGCCTGATTAGACCAAACAACAGAAAATATACACCATACAATGAGTTTCCAGAGACCTGTTAGACCTTGAGAACTTAGTAAGAAACTTTCAGTCTTTGATCAACTTCACTGCATACATGTATCTACCCAAATGGCAAACTGTCAGGGTAAAATATTTTGTCAAAATTGGCCAAGAGGGGAGAAAATCATAATATATATATGTATATTCTGGACAAGTCATACTGGAAAGAATAATGGATGGGCAGAAGGAGACACTTTATCACTATGCCTGCAGGTTCATCTATTTAAATCATACAATTAAATAAACATTTACTTTTGCATTGTTTTGTTTTTATTAAGTTCATTTATTTTAAAGCTTCATGATTAAAATGATTTATGGTGTATCTTAACTTTCTGTTTAGTGGTTTTTCTATATTGGTTCACCAGCATAAAGACTTATTGTTTTATAATGCTTTCAAATTTAACCAATCTATGTTTGTAAATAAATGTGAACTGTGTGACTGGTGTCCTTAAGTACATCTGTGTTTATTTACATGATCACACGATGATACAGAATAACTTATCAGGTATCAGACATGCAAATAGTACATCACGTTTTTGAACAAGTTCATCAAATCTATTTTTTGAACAATTAAATGGCCATAGTTCTGTACAACTAATTATACGAATTACATGATAATTCTGCAGCCTATTTTGACAGACAGATATGATAATAGCAAAGAAAAGCCAGTGTTTACCCTAGTCAAGACACTCTTGTATTCCTTGTCTGGGATCCTGTAGATTTATTGATTTATCTGTATGTGATATTAACAGACTGCATCATCCATTACAGAATTGGAAAAATGAAGGCCGAAGTGAAATTCTGTGTTTCTCCTGCTTAGCTTGATTAAATCTGCATAACATTGTGGAAAAACAACCATCACCTACAGCCAAAACATGTTCTAAACGATATTTCAAAGAGACATGATTTTACAATAACCCTCAGCAATTTAATTTTTCTTTTTTGACCTTTTGTGCATCTTTACAATTGTGAAATGTATTCTGTCTACTTAAAAACATGAGTGACTCACACTCACCAGGCTACATTAAACATTGGGACACCAATTAAAACTGAAAATATCATGTTAAACATTAGGTGTTTTCATTAATTCGTTACTGTTCAATTACAGAAATATATAAATGTTTCAATTAAATATTGAAGTCCTTTAATAGAAACACACACATGCACACAAAGCATTGAAATTTCAGAGCAAGATTAATGTTAACAACACTGAAAAGCCTAATCATATGATAAGTCTCTGAAAGGTGAAGGTCATAGAACTAAACCGTCTTTAGTAAAATCAATCCACTAACTATCACTGACAAATCATGTATCATACACCGATCATTGTCCTGTACAGTGGGGAGGATTAAGATAAAACGCAAACATGAGCATTTGTCTTGAATGTACAAAAGAAACCTGAACAAAAAAATCAATAAATAGACAACAGAATAGTTCCTGGTCAATACTTACAGACCAATCTCTTCACAGACACACGCACAGACGACCAAAAGCTTACATCCTCCTAAAAATTAGTCATCCCGAGAATTGATCTCACTACATGTGACTGCAGCAGTCAAACAAGAGAGTCCTTGACAATGAGACTTCCTGTCATGGTCAAAGGGGGATAACTCTAATCCACGCTAAATCAATAGGCACTTTTAAATCACCTGAGTAATGTGCTGTTGTGTGGTGATCTCATCAAAATCGCCAGACCAAGATATTGATCATTGTGCAGTGTGTAAAGCTTTATCATGGAGTCTACTTAAGGCTGACAGGGATCAAATATAAGAAGTACTTGTCCAATCAGATCCTATACTTCTTAATTAGGGGTGGCAGATTAAGAGAGTAATTAAACTAATTAAATGTTACATGTCATTTTTTTTTTTAAATGTTAATATTACATGTATTCTTTTTCTAATTCACTTCAGAAATAAATCCTTGAATAATTGACCTGTCTTAGCCCCCCAAATCATTAGCTGGTATGTGAACAAGAATATACTAAAGGCACTCAGAATAAAGTCTATTCCAGTTTGACCCTAAAATCTGCTTGATAAGCACAAAACCTCTGTGTGTGTATGTGTGTGTGTCACATGTTGAAATAGTACAAATGTTAAAACATATGAAAAATTCTGTACTAATTTTCTTTCAATGGAAGACAACATGTGTACTGTTTGCAATATGATAAACTCCTCAAAATTTTAACACTTGCATAAAATGACAGTTTCTGATATCAATATCTGCTCAGCAATACTTGTGGACTTCCATTATTTGTACACCTGGAATTGCTTCTCTGATATTTGCTGTGAACACTTCTACACATATGGTTTTGCTTTTGTTTCGTTTTGGGGGTGAGGGGTGGGTTGGGTGGGGTGGGTGGTTAGGTTTCTTTTATAAATTTTGGTTTACTTACATTGTTACTTTTGTTCTTTTGGCAGTATTTATTGGCTGTTTTTACTGGTCCCGGATCCTTAGGGTCAGATGGGAACAATTTACAGTACAGCTTATACAGTAGATAACTTCCAATCCCAAAGCCAATCCCAATGGCACAGAGAAGAGTAGTGGCCTTGGCTGTAAGAAAAAAGAGATTCCACAATGAGTTTTCATCACAATTAACTGCTAATATGTTAAATTTGCTTGCTTCATTTTTTTTTTTTTGCTGTGAAAATCAAGAACTCTCTATGACAACAAATATTTTTTAATAAAAGCATGCAGGCTCTGTAATATGAACCATTATTGCATTTTAAAAATTTTAAAGCATTAAAAAATGCATACACAAAAAGATGAAATGTGAAAAAGCTAATTATGAAATGCTGAAATATAGATTTTACTGCCAGCTAGGTCCTAAAAGCATGATGAAAATTAATTGGTATATGTTCTCCTTTACATTTTTCTTAAAACTGAAATATCAAGAAAATATTTTTACAATTCTAAGTAGAAAGAAATTTTATAATTGCTCTTTATGTAACTGCTAGTCTAATAGGGATTCGATATCTCTGGGAAAGAGTACTGCTCAAGAAATGATATTCAATGTCAATGATATTAAAACAAGATCAATTGCTCATTACATCTTTAGGTAAAATATTTTCAGTTTATTAAAAAAGTAAATTCAAAACTTTTAAACTGTTTCTATGCATTTAAAACAAACATGCATTTGAAAATTTAACAAAAATATTATCCTTTAACTTTTACCATTGCTGACAACTTCTGAAACTTGAGAGAAAAAGGTAAAAGTACTCTTATTGACTATATAATAATATAAATCTAAATATATGTCAAGCTTCAAAAGCATTCTAATTTAACATATCAATTCACAAAATTCTGAAATTTTCAGATTTATAGAAGCATTGGGTTATAGTGTTAATACATTGTATATTTTACCTATTACTGACTCGATCACATTTTTTAAACACTTCCTCATGCTATAAGATTTCCTTATGTACTATTAGTCCTATTGTACTACTCCAGTCTTCAGAGCCCCTAAGATAAGATAATAAACAGAGTCAACAAACATCCCTGGGCCACAATCACATATGTTACAAGATAATATTTCCTGGTACTGATTATCTCCCCTTCGCTAACACTTAATTTTACCCATGTTAAAAAAAGCCTGGGCTATAATCACCCTTGTTATATCACCTTCACCCTGCTGTGTAAGTAATTTATACCCACAGGTACGTGCATGCAGTCATTTGTAAGTACAGGTGAACAGCCCCCTGCAGTTATGTTAATAAATCTTGTTTCAAAATAAGTTTAGATTATAAGTCTGATCATTGATTAAATTTTAAATTGAAATCACCTGTGCACTGCTTATATGCATGCGTACATGAAATTGACTCTGTGATTAGTGAAAGATGAAAGGTAATCTAGACTGTTGAAAAGGGAAACAAGCACTTTTATCTCAAATCATTCACTTCTTCAGCCTTTACAGGAAAATATTGAAGAATAACTGGGAATATTCAAACCTTCATATTAATTATAATGAAGGATTTTGTAAAGATGATTAATGTAACAAGTAATCTAGCCATATGCCAATAGCTTAAGATTAAAATAGAATTAAGTGTAATTTTGAGCACCATATACCCATGATACAAACTATACAAGTCTGAGAAACTGGTGTGACATAAAACTGATAAAGATTACGAAAAATTAATAAAAATATCAAGAAATATATAAAATTTTCAGTGAAACATCTTACATGATATGGTTGATACCATACAAAATCCTATTAATTTACAATCTCACCCTGGTATCTGCCAGGCTGAGGCTCTACATAAACCTTCACTAGCATCGCCATCCTGCCCAATCCTGATTCAAAGTTTGCTGAATTCACACATTCACCCCTTAACTAGCTCATACTTAGCTAACATCCCCATTCTCCTAACTCATGCGTTACAGCATGGGGCTTCAACATGCCATGGAATCCATTTAATGGATGCCACCCTCTAACAAACTAAGTAAAGTGCCAGGACCACTGCGGGCCCCTCTTCCTGCCGATAATATATTTGATAACTATTTTATCACCTGGTGCACCTTCGATCAGGTGACTCACCAGGTCTATATCAACAGATGTAAGCATTTATGTGGAAAATTTACATTGATTGTTCTTGAAATGCTTAACAATAAAATTTACCTGTCAGCTTTTTTTCTGTTTTTTAAAGAAAGCTTTATCAATCAAAATTTTAGGAGAAAAAAAAATTGAAAATTCACCTTTTTAATGACTACCAATGTCATTTCATGCTTGAGTTCTAATTTCCTAGTCCTAGCAGTTTAATTCAGCTTATAGAGTGATCTGCCCTTTGACTTAAAGTTAAATAAATTGAAAAATATGGAGGATTAATAAAATGTATTCTTATTATATTAGACTAATATTGTCTTGTTTGATGAAGTAATAGGATGCTTTAATTTTATGTTTTCTCACTTCAAGTACTTAAGCAAAAATGATGTCTTTTCAATTTCCTAAAGCAAATTAAAATGGCATGTGCCAATGTCCCTATGGTGAGAGTAAAATATGTCACCTCAAAATATTTATGATGTGTTCTTCTTTATGGTATATAATTTTCTTGAAGTCCAAAAACAATTTTTTTAGTTTCAGAGGGCCATTATAATTAATTACTCCTTGTCGTTGGATGTTTTTTCTCTCATGTAAAACCCTTCCTATTAAATTCTACAAAGCCCCCTGGCAACTTAATGATTCTCAACTTACATTAAACTACAGAAAAGTATCCTAAGTCCTAAGGCAAAAACTTTAAAGTGTCCAAATCAACCTTATAAATATAGACAGATTTGTTTGACTTTCTCACATCTATATATCTACTATGTACAGCATCAAGGTTGCTTCAGGAAGTCACTGCACTGTAGGTTAACAAAACAATACCATACCTCTATAAGTCATCACAGACAAGAGGGCATGCCATATTACTAACAGAAATAAGTCTATCTGACTCCTAATTACCTGATTTAAGACACTCTGACAAAAATCTGGCAAATGTCATCGACTTTTCCATAACATATTGTTTGACATCAGTTTATGGCACTATGAATTCAACAAAATCCTAATGAAATTCAACAACAAAATTTTAACAGGAAATAATCAGTGCATATACACATAAATAGGAATTTCCCGCATGTAATGTGAAATAAATACACAGATACTTGAGTAATACTTAATTTCCTTCTGAAATTCTGAGAGGAAAAGTGGACACGTGAACAGAACACACACACATACTGAGAATATACTTTAAGTGCTTGAGCATTCTGGTTCACTATACAGAAGCTTTACATGTATTTCATAATTTATACAATAGACTTACTATTACTTAACATCTACAGGTAAATATCAATTGAACGATACAAGAAATTGAAATATTCTAATGTGTAAACATTAAATTTATATTAAACCACATAGAAATGAGTATAGTTATAACTTGAAATATATATATATATATATATATATATATATATATATATATATATATATATATATATATATATATATATGATATCAAGTTTTTTAAAGGAACTAATGTAACTTACACACTGCAAACTTCACTAAATTCCATATCAAAATTTCTCCTGTCAAATCCATTAAATTGTCGAGAAAGAAATGGTGAAATGGTCTCAGACTACATACATATAGTTACAAAACAGTCCAGACACACCTTGAAATGATAAGTCTCAAGCTACACTGTACATGTGACAATAAAAGCTATTGAATTTTTTTTTATTTGAGTACATCTGCAAGAAACTCTGCTCTAATTTCAATCAGATTTACATATTTTACAGGTATCTTTCCATAATATTATTAAAATAAACCATTCACACATTAAGGTTTTAAATTTAAAGTACTGCCAATCTACCTACTGTGACAGTGGTGTACCTTTTTCACTATCAAGTTGACAAAAACGTCATGTTAAAGAAACATGAGAGTGATTCTGCACATTTCTATGAAAAATGATGCAAAAAGCTTTATTCCCCTTCTCATGATGTCAAAGACAATTTGGAGCAAATATATTTTAACACTTGTTAAATATTTTCAAAACAGACAATAGTTCATAAGTACCGGTACCCTATAACTTTGTATTCTATGCTCCACAGTTTCAATATTTTGAAAAAGTAGTTCATAAATGTTTAAATTTAGACAACTGAATCCCTAGTTCCTCTCGCTGCCCTCCTTGTTCTGAATCTAACACTCTTCTGTAATGGGCATCTTCCTCCAGGAAATCTTTTGATTCCTCTCTATCTGAGTCTATTGATCGTACAACCAGAAATCCTTCTCTGACCGTCAGTACAGTGTACAAGGTACTGAGATGTTTTCATTAAATCAATAGGCAGGGACATATTAAATGGTTCCAGTCAAATCTCAATAAACACATCAACAATTACACAATATATAAACATTGTAGATATCAAAGATACTGCCAAATCTTGAATGGAATCTTGTCCTTAGTGTGATAAATATCAATCATTTTAAATATATTTCCTATCTAATAATGAACAATAATGAATCTGCATTGTAAAAACAGAGAGTAGAACTTATGAAAGGAATGAAAACAAAACAAAAACCACAGCAATTAAGAGGCATATGCATTACACAGCAGTGAACTTGTTAAAGTATATGTAAGTCATGTAGTGAACAGCTGGTACACAAACAAATCAAAGTACTGAAAGTACTGTTAAACGGAGGCTTCATGTATGAGAGAACACATAAGAAATATATATATCATACATAGCTGTAAAGAATGTTTTGAGAATTATTTTATTTTTTTTTTCAATTCAAAATTTTATTCAATACTCCAATATTTATGAGGTTTTTGGGATATTCTAATTTCAACTTTGTAATGATATATATATATATATGAGATAATTTCAATATTAAACCTTTCAACGTAAGAAACAGTAATTGACTAGGCCTGGTTGACATAAAACTTCACTAAACTTCCAGTATCAAAAATATATAGTGGAAAAGTGAGACTGAAAAAGTGAGATATATCTTGACAGATTTGACAACCAATATTTCTGGAATTATTAAATGTTGTATTTTATCATACATAGATTTAACCCAAAAATGTCTTTCTTTACTCATACCAGTGGAAATGGTTGTCTTTTTCAGTTTGTCTGTTTAAAACAATCATTAACAATGGGACCTGATACAAATTACGTGAGAAAAGTAAAAATATATAACTATGGTTTCTGCTTTTCAGTAACTCTGTTCAAACAATCAGTTCTCCAATGATGTATGTTAAAAAAAGTTGACATAAATACCATGTAATATTGTATATAAAAAAATAATTAAAGTTTGAGAAGTGAAAGAGGTAAAACAAAAGTATCATTGCAAATAAAGATCAACGATATGGCAATAAGACAACTTATTTCAGAAGATGTAATTTTTAATTAATTAGGATAAATCATATAATGTGATAAATCATGTAAATCCTATGAACCAAGATTTGGGTTGTACCCAAAGGTCAAAAGTTACAAATGCATTTTGATCTCAATATCAGAGTTGCCGTTTGTTTCTCTCTTATCTAATTGAGGGTACCCCCAAACACTCAAACCGCTTGTAGAAAGTGTAAATCTGTTTTCATGTGTTTCCTAAAATTATACATAATTACAAATAAAGAATTCAAAACTAGACTTTTAATATTCCTACAGATAAAAATACTATGCATTTGTTTATTCACCGATCCTTGTCAGATTAACAAAAACTCCATGAAACCTATTAATGCAAGCGTCAAAAATCGGCCGCAAACCAATCGGCCCTTTCAAGAATAAAAGGAGTGAAAATGAGAATACAAACAGCAATCAAGCACAAAAAATTCCATTAAAACTGAAATGTCTGATCTATTAAAAACATATATCTGCGACATAAAACATTTGCATGCGGCATTGCAATTTTCTTCAATACATCTCTATCTGCGTCTCCACACTTAGATTGATACAGACGAATTCTTCTGAAGTTTTTTACAATTAAATATAAAACTAAAGTTTAAACTTATATATCTAGAGATAGTTTTTACTTTAATAAAAGAAGCAAGTGATAAGTGGGGTTCCGATCAAATTCTGCGGATGTTAACCCCCCCCCCCAAAAAAAAAACTCCCTCAATCCGCCACTTCATTATTCTCGTTCTTGTTTTGGTGTGAGATATGAAGGCTCGGCATATTGGAAAACGCGCTTTAATCGACTGTTGGAACAAAATCTCCTAATATTCTGTGATTAAAAATTAACAGTATCACATTTTTTTTAATATATGTATTTATATACATCATTTTAAAAATAATGAAAATCCTGTTTATTTAGAAAAATTCAAACTGTTTGTTTATACTTGTATGTGACGAGTTTTAGACTATGCCTATCCTTGCGAAAGGAATGTTAAAACAAAAAATAAATTCTCAAGGTAATTAAAACAATTCCAGGATAGATGGTGCAGCAGTGAATCTTGTTACAGTACATTCCATGGGCAAGACAATCCCAATAACCGGAGGCTGTCATACAGCCTCCGTTTAAAAAGAAAAGAGGGTTGACTTTCATGCAACTCTAGCAGACAAAAGTGAAATAATGATCAGAATCATTGTGTACACTATCGACATTCCAACTCTACAGGAATGTGGAATCTAAACAAAAATCTTTTTTCTCGCTTTCATAACCCAGCCCCATCAGGTTAGTAACACAATATGATTTTTGGCAAACATGCAAATCACTGACATTTACAAAATGATTCTAAAGATGTCTTCTTTCTACCATAGCAGCTTATGATGCTGAAAATATAAAGTCATTTAAATGTACTCACCTCCACACAAATCTAGAGTTACTCCTTGTCCACCAAAAGACCAACACAGAACCACTTTTTTCTGGCCTGATGCGATGTCTGAGGCTAGCCTGAAAATATCCTGACAGACGTCCGTGAGACTGTCCAAGCTCTGGGGGGCTGGGGTGGTAGGCACGCCCACCCTGATCTTATGCAGAGGGGGCCACTTGTGAGGGCCACATCGCTCCATCACTGGTAGCCTGGTGTCTGTAAATAGAACAGTTTGTGTAAAGGTATTGATCAGTGACCTTCAGCAGAAACACAAGTTCTCCCTCCCGATCAGCGATGCTAATGCAAAGCTTGCAAAACAGGCTAGAAAGGATCAACATATAGATGAAGTATGACAAATATACAAAAACTATTTTGATTTTTTTCACACTAAAACTTATTCTCTCCTTACTTCTTGGATTGCTACTTAAAAAGTATTAGGCAATTTAGTATTTTTTTTATAAGAAAATATTTTTATCAGATTCTCATAAAGCTGCCAAATATTATATTGACTCGATCAAATATCAAGAACTCAAAATTATTTCATTTGGTTGAAGAACTTAATTTAATATTACAAAAATACAATTATGTGCATTACTAGTATCATCTAAAATAAATACATACATTTTCATAAATGAATATTTTCTTAAACTAATAATAGAAACCTGAAGATAAAATGACAATAAAAGTGCTAAAAATTACATAACTCACATCTGCACATCTTTCATTAAATTTCAGAAAAAATCCCAAACTAGAAACAGCCCCTTGTCTTTGGCCCTCGGCCTGACATCAAATCACTGCCAAAGCAATGCCTGATTACAGGGCTTATATAGGAAACCTCTATCTTTATTTTTAAAACTTATCTGACAAAGTTTTAACAACTATTTAGATTTTTCTATATGCAGTGGGGCACGTTCCCAGTCCCGAACAGAATGTGAAGGTTGAATTCTACCTGAGAGTTTTCAGGTTTTCATTACCTGGCCAAAGCAGGAAACCAAGAACAACCAACAGTTACATAATGTTGACAGAGAGAACAAGAAAATGGCATTAAATGTTCTTGTCTAATTGTTTAACTGTATAAATTAATTTAATGCTTCATTTCCTTCAGAACAAAATGAAAAGTTTGTTTTAAAACGATTAGTGATATAGCTAGAAAATGACAAAGTTTCTTGATAAAAGTTTCTCACAAGTTTTGAATATACTATTTCATTATACATTCATTTAGAACATAGGACTAACTTGATGCTGAACAATGGACTATTTGTGAAATTTTTTTTTACATTGGGAAAATTAATGAAAACAATTAATTAAATTTCTTACTCTTAGACTTATATAATGCTAAAATATTTTAATCTATTGTAAATTATGTAACGAACGGTAAATAACAATTTCTTTAATCTAACACCTAAGGGCAGATCACTCTAACTGCATAAAACTACCCGATAAATAGAGCTCTTTAGTGTGCAGTGTTTAGAGCGTCCTTAAAGTTTTTTTTCAAATGCAAGTTAAACTCAAATGTCAAGGTCAAGAGATCAAAAAGGTTGTAAACCACCAGAAAGGAATTTTCCCTGTGAAAATACTTTTGAAAGATGAAATTTTAAACATCATCTATTCAAATCAGAATGTAATGGTCAAGGTTAAAGTATTTCCATGAGAAGATCACACTCCAACATTGTCCAAGGACAAGGTCAAAGGGTTAAAATTAATGGTACCTGGGTGAAGTTCTTGTGACACAAGGAATACACATCATTGTGAAATATAATAGTCCTAGTACCAACTGTTCAAAAGTCATGACCAAAGTAATTTTTTTTTTTCAAAAGTAGGTAAAACTCCAAGGTGAAGGTCAAAAAATTAAATGTTGGTATACCAAAAGGAGGCTGGCCTTATCTGACACACAAAAAAAGAAAACACCTGATAAATTTGAAAGCTCTTGTAATGAATGCATAACAGGAAAGGAGAAAATGTATTGCTAGATCTATGGGCACTCAAACTTAGGAGTCCTGCATCACAAGTCTGGTGCTCTACTGACTGAGCTACCCAGGCCAATATTCATGGTCCAAAACCATATAATGTTTTTCCCTCTTTGTTTTGGCCCTTGTAGACACAATCCAAAGTCTTATTAGCCCCTGGCAGGACTTTCACCTGCAAGTCTTCTTGTCTAGGGGTGGTCAACAGCACCAAATACATGGAAAGGAGAAAACATATGACTGGACCAGGCATGTTCAATCAAACTCGGAACTCTGCAATATTAGTCAGGTGCTCCTCTGACTGAGCTACCAAGCCAGATAATTTTTCTTTGGGCTTACTTGTAAGTAGTGGATAAATCTACCCGAAGGGCATGTGCTGGAAAAAAAAGATAAGCAAAACCTTGATGGGCATAGGTGAACTAAAATAAATCAATTAACATTTTTTGTCTGAAGAGTGAAGATAAACATGATGATACCTTGATTAATTAAATTATCAACATTTTCTCAATGATTTTCATATCACAGTAAAAATAAGATTTTTTATTACCATTTTTTTTTTATTTCAGTATAAACAATGGTGAAGGTAAATAACATCAGAATAAGGCCATTAAGGGATATGGCATGACAGTTACTGGTTTTAAAATGGCTGGTGTGTCGTGTGTGTGTCAGATTGGCAAATTTTTTTTTTTCTGAAGATTTTTTATTTTTTGTATTGATTGAACGATTTTGCTACTCCCCTATGTAACTTATTTTCCAATAATTAAACAGATAGGTACTAACTGATTGAACAGATTCACTGATTGTCCAAGGTTGGAAAGGGGGGATATGTACCTGTGTGTTTTTAAGGTCTAGTCTCACTACTTTTTTTTAAAAGCCTGTTTTCAGGCAAAAATGCGTACACAAACCTACTGTTAATATGACATTTTATAAATTATTACTTATTCATTCGCATTTCAAAATTTTCAGACAAAATGCACCCTAAAACAGAGCAGCGAAAATCAACCAACATCACTCACAGATTGTGACCATTATAGATCACAATCAGTTAAAGAATATATAGTCTTGAATCTTACCTAACACTTACTGACATCTTCGATGATTAATTCCCGACATGACGCATTTTAATTACATGAATAAATTTGCATTCTGGCGGTCTTCTATTTACTTCCGGTTGTGTGAAATCGGCCTCGCTCAAGGAAAGTAACCATGTAATGACTATTTAATCCTCGGTAAACACCAAGCGGTCCCATGGTGTAATGGTTAGCACTCTGGACTTTGAATCCAGCGATCCGAGTTCAAATCTCGGTGGGACCTCACATTTTTTTTTTTAGGACAACGATACACTTATGTTTCTTTCTGCGTGAAATTGAAATCAGAGACATATAAAACCATATATAGGTTTTATATGTCTCTGTTAAAATATACTTCCAACATAAAATTGGAATCTATAAAAAGGCATCTATAATTAACACTCATTTGTTTCTGTAATAATTTTTATTAAATTGTTGCGGCTCTTCTATAAAATAACCATCAAATATAACTTTTTTTGAAAGATATGATAACTTTATCTGTAAACTCTCATTTGGCAAAGAAATATTTCATACATTTTAGTTTTAAAATTTGATCGATCATTTTTGTATATCTTTATATGGAGCCTTTCTTCTAAAGGAGATCAATTTAGTCTGAAAATAAAATGGCCACAACCATCCAGCCCTCTCTACCCACAGTATAATGATAACATATTCATTTATGAATAAAGGAAAAATACGTACATGTCTAGTGATGTTGAAAAAGTACACAATAAAATTATTAGATTTCAAACCTTTTATCTATATCAGTTATTAACGGTCTTCCGATCAATCATATAGTGTGCTAGACAAATATCATATTCATTTCTCAGACAGTTCCACTTTTTATTGGAAGGAAGGGCTTTATGAAAAGTTCTCTGAGGCTTTTCATGAATTTTGATAATGAATTACATGTATCATAAAAATCCAAAACAAAAGTCTATAGAAAATCAAACTTCTCACAATGGCAAATCAAAGAATTAAAAATTCAAACTTTTAACTAGGGAAATCAAAGTTTGTTTCTACCATAGTAAATCAAAGTAACATGACAAATTTTGTACTCACTTCTCCCCGGTAAATTCAAAATTTACAACATGACACATACCTCGTCTTTTCACCCGCGTATATCGGTATTACGGAAAAGACTACAAGGAACTATATTTCTGGAAGATAAGGTGAAGCGGGCCATACATCTGGAATTGAGACGTTAACAGCCCGAAAGCAGATCTCTTCAGTGACACCGGAACATTACATCCAAATTGGGAGCTGGAATGTCCGGCCATTGTATACCAAACACGAAGATCTACACAAGCAGTGAATGAGATGAACCAATACAACTTATCACTGCAGGTGTACAGGATCAGGAAAAACGAGACTGAAGTCATGGTCCGAAGGAAATGATAGCAAATATCATTAGGGATAGCTCTTCTCACCAACCAGAACTTTGTTCCCTCAGCCTATTAATGAACGTCTACACAACCCCCCGGGTTCGACTTCCACTGTGAGACGTGGAATTGAACCGTTCCTTCGGATGAGACCGTAAAAACTCGTTCCCGTATCTCAGTAGATCCTGGCATGAAAAAGATCCCTCACTGCTTAATGGATGAAAGTGCCAAGTAAAGGACAAAACTTGCATCTATCCACCAGCAAGTGGTGGCGTCTCCATATGAGTGAAAGCTTCTCAAGAGGGACGATAAATAACATACAGACTCAACTCTTGCGGTACACGAAAGTCTCTATTGTGAGTGCTTATGAACAAACTGTCAACGCATAAGCCTTTCAATAAACATTTTCAATAGTAAAAGTATTGTTGGCAAAAAAGTGGGGGGGGGGGGGCTGTTGCTACGTACCTGTAATTCTTCTGCAAGCCACTTGGTCTGCAACTCTAAATTTCTTCGAATGCAGAAATGTACAACTCCTTCACTATTCACATGAAGCTAGCTTTTCATGGTTGGAAAGCAATCAGGTTTGTCTTTGAATGGACTGAACCGTAACATCAGAAGATCTTTTTTCAGAAGAAATTATGTCAATTTTGCTACAACGTCGGCATTTGAGCGAATAGAGATTCAAGTGCTGCTGGATTACGGTGAAAATTATGGACGTTTGGAACAACAGGTTAGGTTGATTTTCTGACATTGGCATGTTATAGAGTGTCTCCAGTACTTATATTTACTTTTTTGTCCTTGTCTGTATTTTAGGGCAGTTGTTCGTTTAATTGACATGATTCACGAACTCTGAATGCTTTCTTACAGAATTTGCTGTATATTTTTGTTTAATTGCTCCTTAGAATTCATTACTGCTTGGCGGATATCAGGGAGGATGCCTTGAGTTTGTAGTAAAACAGTAGCAATAGTTATTCAATCAATTACATCACCAACCATCATTGTCCTCTTGATGGTGGAGAAAGTCCGAAACCTTTAGGGGCATCTACAGAACACCATCAATCAAATTATAACAAAAACCTTGTTACTACCATTCTATCACTTTGTGGATGCTATATTTAAAGAATCTTGCATATCTCCCAAAAGAGTGCATTCTGGCGAACTTGATTGGATTAACAGGGCAATCTCTTCTTCAATGAAGTACTGCCACTGTCTTGGCTTCCATGTTCGAATTAGTCCAACACAACCAAAATACATTTTGTTGCCAACCTCAGATGTTGGTCAGTAAAAACTGTCTAATCCGACACCTAGGCAATCTGTCACTGAGTGTGAATCATGGCGTTAAATTTCTCTCCCATTTCACTATGATGCACCCAGATCGATAGATCCAGGGCGTATATTATTTTTATCCTGTCTGTCTGTTTGTCTGTCTGTTGTCACTTTAACCTTCGCCATAACTTTTGAACCGTGAGAGAAATGGACTTCATATTTGGTATGCATACTCCACAAATAATCTCTTTCAAATAACACCAAGGTCAGTGACCTTATGACCTTGACTGTGACCTATATGCTAAAAATAGCTTTTTTAGCTCACCTGAGCCGAAGGCTCAAGTGAGTTTCTCTGATCAAAATTTGTCCCTTGTCTATCGTCGTCGTCGTCGTTGTTGTAAACTTTTCACATTTTCATCTTCTCAAGTACCACTGGGCCAATTTCAACCAAACTTGCCACAAAGTATCCTTAGGTAAAGGGAATTCAATTTTCTTCAAATATGGGGCCACTCCCTCTTCCAAGGGGAGATAATTATGAATTAGTGCAAAATGAATGGCATTTTAAAAAAATCTTCTCAAGAACCACTGGGCCAGGAAAGATGAAACTCTTGTGGAATCATCCTCAGGTAGTGTAAATTCAAGTTTGTTCAAATCATGACCCCGGGTGGTAGGGTGGGGCCACAATGGCTGATCAAATTTTTACTTAGGATTATATAGGAAAAATCTTTAAAAGAACCATTGAGACAAGTCAGATGAAACTCATGTAAAATCGTCCTCAGGTAGGGCGGGGCCAAAATGGCCGATCAAAGTTTTACATAGGAATATATAGGGAAATCTTTTAAAAATCTTCTTCTCAAGTAATTCAAAGCCATGATTAGTGATATTTATGTGGAAGCATCCTCAGTTAGTGTATATTCTAGTTTTTTCAAATCATGACCCCCGGGGGTAGGGTGGGGCCACAACGGCTGACCAAAGTTTTACTTAGGAATATATAGGAAAAATCTTTAAAAATCTTCTTCTCAAGAACAACTGGGCCAGGAAAGATGAAACTCATGTGAAATCATTCTCAGGTAGTGTAGATTCAAGTTTGTTCAAATCATGACTATCGTGGGTACGGTGGGGCCACAATGGCTGATCAAAGTTTTACAAAGGAATATATGGGGAAATCTTTTAAATCTTCTTCACAAGTACTTCAAAGCCATGATGTGATATTTATATGGAATCATTCTCAGGTAGTGTATATTCTAGTTTGTTCAAATAATAACCCCTAGGGATAAGGTGGGGCCACAATGGGGGATCTAAGTTTTACATTAAAATATATTTTTAAAAATCTTCTTCTTAAGAATAGCAAAGCCACGATTAGTGATACAGGTATTTATATGGAAGCATTCTCAGGTAGTGTAGAATTAAATTTGTTCAAATCATAACCCCCAAGGGTAGAGTGGGGCCACAATGGTGGATCAAAGTTTTACATAGAGAAATTAAGGGAAAATTTCCAAGAACAGAAAAGCTATGTTTAGTCATATTGACATGTAAGCATCCTCATGTATTGAAGGTTTAAATTTGTTCAAATCATGGCCCCTTGGGGTATGGAGGGAAACAATGGGGAATCAAATTCAAATTATTACAAAGTAATACACACGTGTATTTAGGAACAAAATGTTTTTAAAAATCTTTTTATCAAGAACAGCAAAGTCATATGCTGTATTGATATGAAGGCATTCTCAAGTAGTATTAAAATTCAGGCCCCCTCCCCCCACACCTCAGTATACTTTTCAGGTCTGGTCTGATTTGTGCTTTTTAGTTTTTACTAGCCGATGTGTTCAGGTGAGCGGTGTGGCCCCTGGGCCTCTTGTCGAACTTTCACCATAACTTTTGAACAATAGAAGATAGAGACTTCATATTTGGTATGCGTACTCAACTAATTAAGTTCTTTCAAATGACACCAAGGTCAATGACCTTGTGACCTTGACTATGATTTGTATGCTAAAAATAGCTTTTTCAAACTTTGTTGCCACGGGACGCATAGTGTTTCACAAACACATCTTGTTTTTCTATCATTTTTATGTCCCTGTAATCGAAGATTGGGGGTATATAGTTTTTGTCCTATCCGCCCTTTTGTCTGTCAGTTTGTTTGTGTATCTGTTTTCTGTGTGTCCGCAAAAACTTTAACCTTGTCCATGACTTCTGAGTGGGTGGAGCTATGGCATTCATATTTCACAGATCTATTCCTTATGACGAGATCTTTCTTTGTGGTACCACCAAATATGACCTCTTGACCTTGGAATCTGACCCACTTTTACAAAAAAAATTACGACACTTTAACCTTAGCCATAACTTTAAAACAGTTGGCGGTTAGGCTTTCAAACTTTACATGGGTATTCATTGTGAAAAGACCTTTTAATGGATAAATATATTTTTGACCTTGACCGAACAGTTTGACCCTCTTTTAAAAACGTTAACCTTGTCCATAACTTTTGAACAGGTAGTACGAGGGCTTTAAAATTTGACATTGATATTAAAGTTTGACCTTCCTTTGAGAAATCTTTATCTTGGTCATATCTTTTGATTTTTGAGTGATTGAAGCTAGGTCTATCATGTTATAGATGTTTATTTATTGTGTCAAGAATTTCCTATAAGTACAAAAAATATCGTTTTGCCTTGAACTTTGACCTTCTTTCGAAAACTTTTACCTTTTTCATAACTTTTGAACAGTTAGGGGTAGGGCTCTATATATCTATTTTGACAATACTTTCTCTTGGATACCGAAACTTTTAACCATTTGACTTTGACCTGTAATTTTCACCTACTTTTGAAAAAATAGCAATGACCAAAACTTTTAAATGTTAAGTGTTAGGGCTTTTATTTTCCACATGAGTTTTTCATTGTGACAAGACTTTTTCTTAAGCATTGTCTACTTTGATCCTATGACCAAGACCTTAGAGTATGACCTACTCTTGAAGAAAAAAAACTTTTTCTGAATTGAGGCAGGGTTAACTATTTAAACCTGGACAGTTTAACTAGTGCACAATGGCCTACTAGTTGGTCCAGATTTCTACTTTCCGCTACACAATTTATCATTTCTGCATGGATTTATTTTCAAATGTAAGAAGCCATTCAGTTTACGGTTCTAATTAACCAATGGATTTTACAAAAATGAAAGGTGAAACACGTACAAAGATCCCGCCTCGGCATCAGTCATCATCTGTTAAACTGAAGGCCAAACTTAAGAAAATGTATACACTGTGTTAAGGTATAAGTAGTTAAGTACTGACGTCACAGATCAGGTATCTTTGTATAAACCTAAATAATATGCATCTGGTTCTTCCTCTGAAGAAAAAAATAATAGGATTTATTCCGTAATGACTCAATTTTCACTCTTTTGCAACAACTGCGTAAATGAGAAATTATTGCACAATAAAAAAAGTCTACAAAATAGTCAACATTAAATTTGATTTTAATCGAATCTCTGTACGTTATGTAAGTTTGTCCGAGCACAGTATTTTGTTATTGTATGTTTGCTTTTTGGCTTGTCAGATTTTTGTGGGGCTGGATGATTGAATGGGGGTAAGTTACCTCCCCAGCTAGGTCCAAAGTACTTCATAGGGTCGATGTTCTTTGTGTAAAGTATTCTTTTCGGTGATTTGGGGAAGCCAATTGCATGGGTTCAAACTTTGACTGGATCGTCAGTCGTCAATACAGTATGCATTGTTGCAAACAAGCAATGATGAACACAAAAAATAAAACTGCAGTATAAGTAGAGTTAGAGCTTATTTCACGAAAATCTCTCATGCACGTAACTTTAAAGTGCACAGAAAATGTATTGCTACTCTTGAACCATGGAATGAAGATAACTTCATCTTTATCAATTTAAAGATTTAATTTTAGTTTTATTTATATTTAGTTGATCAATGTTTATTATCTTTAAGTTCATCATATCTACATTTTACGAGTTTATTACGAGTAATTATAATGTCCCTTGAGGAAATAGATAATGCATTTAAAAGACTAATTAAAAATCATGACAGAATTTAACATTCTTTTGACGGATGTCCTTTTGACTGCAGACTTCTTCAGGTATGGTATGCTGCACCTTCTGGAGAAACTCTTAATTGAGATGGATTTCACTCAATGCGTCAATGGCCTGCTAATTCAGAATTTTGTTAATTTTTTTTTTGTTTTGGTTTGTCTCCAGATGTTTAACCAAAAGGATGAATGGGTACGAAACTTACAATTGCTCCGCCCTCGGCAAGTTAAAATACTTCTAGACCGTTTTAATTAGGTTGCGAAATGTTAATTGAAGAATGATGATATTTTAAATGGTACGATTGTGAGACCCGTAAATCTCTTTCTCTTTAATTTAACGTACTTATAACCACCCGCCCCCCACCCCCCCAACAAATGATCGATTGTTTGTTGTTTAACGTCCCTCTCGAGAATTTTTCACTCATATGGAGACACCACCACTTGCCGGTGGAGAGCTGCAAATTTTGTCCTATATGTTCGGCACTTAGGGCCATTGAGCAGTGAGGGATATTTTAAATTTTCGTGCCAGCACCTACTGCGACACGGGACCTAGGTTTACACGGTCACATCCTAAGGACCGGTCTCCACGTTCCACAGTGGGATTCGAACCCGCGACATAAGGATCAACTCCTTACTCAGCGACCCGAGAGCAAACGCTTTAACCACTGCAGCATGCGGGCGACAAAAAGAAAAAAAAACTGCTGAAAATTTTTAAGTCTGTAATTCCTGTAAAAAACTTTCCTTTGCACAAATTCAATGAATCGTCAAACATCAGAGTCGCAGTTCAATTTTTAAAGCTAGTATTATTCGGAGCGAAATATGAAATATGGAGATACCGAGAAGTTAAAGCTTCCTCTTTTTTTCTTATTTTTGAAGGAGACCATTACATGTGATAATTAATCATCTTTTCGTCATACAAGTATATATAAAGTTCTAATTTTATTTTCAATTGAAATATTACGATAACGAACATTAACAAGCTCAAAAATCTATTGAAATAACACAAATTAAAAACAGAGTAAACACGAACGTCTTTAAAAAACACCATAGATGGGATCATTTGCTACGGAGGAGTAAACATCCCCTCCTGACTGGTCACACCTACCGTGTCGTCATGATCGGGCAAAAGGAAATCTCCGTAGACAATTCAGTTTGTAAATAATGACCTAACTAGTATGACATCGTTGACCAGTCGGCTCTCGACTTTTATGATAGATTGTATTTGCAAACAGGATCATTATATCGACTAGAACTTGCGAAATGTAATCTTTCAGAAGACTGTGGATATCCTTTTTATCAACATGTTTGTGGGTAGTTTTCTCTTTTTAGAAATTATTCGTACGTTTACCGTGCTCTTCAGTGCAAATCGCATCAACTGTGCGTCATAAACTGATTTAAAACTCCACATGCAAGTGATAGAGGGGTAAACCTACCTACTTACCTACCCACCTAGTCCTTGTTGCATTTGGAGGCACACAGGGAAATGCCTAGGGATTCCCACTTTTCTGTTTCTTTGCCTTTCTTCCCTCTTCTCCGGGTAACTTTCATGTCTTTGAATTTTTCAGTTCGGCTATTTGTCTCCACCTTGTTTTTGGTCGACCTATCCTTCTTCTCCCTTCTGGGGTCCTTTGGAGTTCCACTCTCGCTATATCATTTGTTGGTTTTCTTAAGACGCGTCCATCACTATCTATTTTGATTAGAGTAATAGACATCTACATGAAAAAGGAAGTTAATGTTAGAAAAGTTGAAGACATTACGTTCATTACTAAAGGTTTTGTTTTTCCATGTGTAAATAGACTAAATACAAATGTATACTCAAGTAAGCATATCTTGCTGTATAAACACACTTACATATACGCAAAAAATAACTCCGAGTCCTGTTAATATATTTGTACCTAGATGTGTACAAGGACAGGTGAAAATCTTGTTTACACGCGTGCAAAAGTAAATGTGAGCTAAAGGGATCGTAAGAAGAAAGCCCATAAAATATCGAACGAAGTTTTATCAACTTGTTTTTATAATAACTTGCCTCGATTTAGAAATTGTCATACGTAGAGCATGTTTTTGCGTATCGAATCAACTGAGAGGTATACGAAATCCCGTCTGCAGGCATCGTCGCAAACCACGGCCAAAATGTACAATCCTCTCCCATTCTGGAGAGAGCTATATGCGGACCCTGGGCCGTGGCTTGAGACGATGGTCTGCGGGTGATAAATGTACATGTATATTGCTGCATAAGTAAGGGAAGTTGACGATAGAAAAATTAAAGTCATCACGTTTATCTCATAGCTTCGTTCTTAGAGTTTGATAACCGTCTTTTTCTAGCAAAATGTCCAAATATGAACTAGATGTGTGAGACTCTGTGGTATTTTTTATCTCAAGCTCACCGGGATATATCGAGTCGACATAAGGATGGAAATAACCTTATTTATACGACGTCAATATGTCTAAATGTCGAGTTTAAGGCAACAGCAAGTGTTTTCTTCTTGCACATATTATACTTTGAAGAAATTATGATTCCTATGAATACAAAAATAATCTGCCAATAAGGGGGCACAATTTGTGTCCATGGGAATTCCAATTGATTTTGACAGACCTTGTCTCCAAACGCCAAATACTAGTACATATTGTCAATCATGCAGAAACTCAAGCATCTATTTGATATTAACTTAAATTCAAAGTTCTTATTTGGATAATTGAATTATTTTAACAAATTATAAATGACCGATGAAAAGGTAAGTAAATCTACGAGTTCCATTTTCATTAAACAATCAGATTTCATTGATGTCAAAAAGCCTGGACACAAATTACACTGTATTGTGGGGAATAGTTGTATGTACATTTGAAAAGTCGGCACCCCGGTTATCTCGACATCTTCCGATAATCCTGTCCATGTCGAGACACAAGAGTGAATTGGATACAATATGAGTAAATTATACCAATTTGTAAGTTACAAATTAGTTGAGTTTTTAAAATTTATTTAATGACCTTTTCTGTAAGTTTTAACAATGCATCAGCTCAATATGATAATCATTACTTATTAATCATTAACCACATACATTTCCTTATTGTTTCTGTTAGATTGATAAAGTCTTATATAATAGTGAAATGAAAAGAAGCAAAACAAAAATAAACGAACTCTGGCTACTCATTAAGCTTAATCATTTTACCGCGGATACTGCTCAACCATCGAGGCCGTTTTGCTCTATAGAGTATCAATCACGTACAATCCAGAGGGGAAAAAACACAAATAATCCATTACAAGGTATTCTGGGATTGGGGTATAAATCTTAACACTCTCTTTGATGGTCTCAGTAGCACCAGAACCCGAGGAGCTCGGAGGTAACAAGTACAGTTATTCTTTTTGAATGTGTCTTGTAGATTTCTAGGGTTAAAATAATTTTTTTTAAGTTAATATTCGGTCAGCAAATTATCGAATATATTTGGAAAAAAAAATCCAGATATTTTTTATTTGAATTGATTTTCTTTTTTCTCCCCCAAATTCTCTATTTTTATTTTAATTTAAAGGTACATGTATTCTGCGTGCACATGGTCTGCTGTGTGTTTTACCAGTATTTTGCCCCTTTGCCTAAATATTTTACCGTAAAGCACTTTTTTGTTCACTCATAAAAAATAGCTGATTTTCCACAAAAGAATCTTTTTTGTGATAAAAATTAAATACAATTTCAGCAAACTTTGCGAAAGAAAATTTGATGGAAATGGCCTTTTAACTTAACAAAACAATATTTTAGTCTAGTGAGAGTTATTTAAGTTATCTGAAGGTCAATGAACATTAATTCTACTTAGGGTTCATTAGCTTAAATTGTTCTACAGGAAAATTAGAAGTTCCAAGATTCATGACAGCTTTTGTCTTACGATCTTGATTACTTTCTGATTTCTTTCCTAATAATTAAGTCTCTTTTTGCTTTCTTTACAGAAAACTAAAACATGTGGTTAAGGGTCCTCTTACTTGTCTGTGTGATCTCAAGTCTGGTCAAGTCTAACGGAATCTACCGCGCAGTGAATCCAAGATTGATTCCATGGTGGTTCACAAGATTTCCAAACTCCAGAGTTTTGCTCAACAGACAGATTTTCAATAACATCTACCGGAGATTGATTCTGCGGGATCCATACTGGCACAGACGATTACATGCTCATAGACACAGGATTGTCCACCCTATACACTTACATAGGCATGTTCACCCAGCTATCCTGAACACAAGATCAGTCGGAGTATATGATCGGCCTGTAGCTGGCGGTGTGCCTGGAATTTATGACGAAGACGTTTCCTTGCCTGTATTTTCTTCTGCAGCAGGGCGTGTCGATAGTTCTTCCGTTGCTTCAGTATCTGACATTCCTGTGCAGCTCCCTGTTCCTGAACCTGCAGTTGTACAAGCTCCTCTTCCACGACCAGCCGTCACGACGTCTACTGCAGCCGTAGATTCTGACAAGCATTTGATCGGAAAATCAGAAACATATGTACGTTATTTCAGTCCAACAATTGATAGATACAACACACCCTGGAAAAAAGTTCAGTCCAGTTACAAGGACTATGGGCATATTAACGTTCCCGCCGTTTATGACCAACAAGTACTTGGTACCGGGTCTGCAATTGATAATGGCGCGGGCAATTTTGGCGGTTCTTCCGGATACTTCGGTTATGGTCTAGATGACGGTTTCGTTGGCGGTGGTGTGGATGGCGGTTTTGTTGGTGGTAGTGTGGATAGCGGTTTCGTTGGCGGTGGAGTTACCGGCGGCGGTTTCGTTTCCGGTGGTGTGGATAGCGGTTTCGTTGGCAGTGGTGTGGATGGCGGATTTGTTGGCGGTGGTGTGGATGGTGGTTTCGTTTCAGGCGGTGGCGGTTTACTTGCCGCTAGTGGTTCCGTGGATGGTGGTTATTCTGGTGGGTTTTCTTCTCATGTTATGGATTTCTAACTGACGCCCAGTTGTTTACTGTCACTCAAGCTAATTTTTAAAAGCATGTTAAAAGTAAAATTAAACTTCGGAATTTCGAAACTCGATAATACTTATCTCAAATGCCATGGCAAATTTGACCTACTATAGTTTGTCGACGTAAGTTGAAGTCCTAATTACTTTCTTCTTCGTGCATTTTAAAAATTATATCGACGTAAGTTGAAGTCCTAATTACTTTCTTCTTTGTGCATTTTAAAAATTATATCGACGTAAGTTGAAGTCCTAATTACTTTCTTCTTTGTGCATTTTAAAAATCATATCTCAAATCCTCGGATATCAAGAAGTTTTATTTTTTCACTGTTCCATCGAGTTTTTGTTGATCAGAAAATGAATCTTTTTTTTTAAATTTGTCTAGTTATTGAGTCAGCAGTATGGGTGTCAAAAAAGGTTTAAAAGACGTTTACACGAAATTGGTTCGTTTTGTGCAACGTTTTTATTTCTGTCGCTCATATAGCAGTTAATTATCCTTTCATACGAGACCGATTTTTGTTGATCATTTACAATTGCATCTGCTTTAAGACAAATATGTAGCCATGTTACCCTGAATCAAATAGTTATACTGGGCTATTTAATCATTCATCTGTGTTAATTCCTGTCTATTATCTTATCTAATATGCTGTCAACATATACTGTAAACTGGACTTTCCAGGAGGACTCGTTGCTTATGATGCAAACAATCCAAGCCAATCCTACACAAGATTCCGAGATGTATTCTAATGTAAGTTTTAATATTTCATTACTCAATGAAGAAAATTGGGAGAGATAGAGCTTTAAGTATTTATTCTAAAAAAAAATTGTTTATCCTAGTTGTGAGCAAGAAAAGGGGACACTTCTTTATCAGGTTCTTCTTACATAAAAAACAATTGGAAAGTTTTTTTTCATTTCAGAGAAAGAAAAATTGGCAAATATGGTGCATGGTCTGTGGGAATCTTGTATAAAAACATAAAAGTTTAAATAATTACAAATAACACTTGAAATTTAAGGAGAGATAGCAAAGGTTCAGCAAAAAATGTTTTGAAATTTACAATTCAAATTTCTAAAACGATTTAGATTTTTAGCAATTTTTAATATAGTTTAAAGTCTTATTTCAAAAACTCAAAGTGATTTCGTATATTGGAATTTAATATTTTATTTCAAAAACTTAAACTTTGAAATTTCCAAACAGGTTTAACATTTTGAGTATTTAGATTTTCAAAAATTCAAAAAATTTTTTGGCAATTTCAAGCGCGCACCGATTCCCCCTGGCCCCCCTTTCAATAAATGTCCCTGCGTTTGTTTAGAAAGTTTACGCTTAACAATCTAAAATTCGATAACATTTTCGTCTTTTGAATGTTTAAAATTTACTTCGAACTGCCAATTTTCAAACGCTTTAGATTTTTATAAATTTAGAATTTTGATTTAAAAACTCAACTTTTAAATAACCAAAACACTTTTGTACATTTTGATTTTTATAAAGTATATGTACCTTTAAATATCCAAAATATCAAATTCCATACCTGGTTTAAATGTTGGATATTTTTTTACAATTCTAAAAACTCAAAGTGTTACTTATTAGAAATTAGAACATTTGATCTGATGTGTGAAATTTCTAAAAATGTAAACGTTTAAAAGTTGTTTTGGGTTTGTTATTTTTAATCAAAAGACGAAAGCATTACCGATTATTAAGTGTACACACCTTCTGAAAAAAATGACACAAAAACTGAAACGTTTAACTTCCATTAATCGTTTTTGGTAATTTGAATTTTGAAAATTTAAGGTAAAAATCTAAAATATTAAAATTCTAAAACCTATTTCGAAATTTGAAAATTTAGATTTTTGAACTAAAATATTAAATTTCAATATACCAAATCAGTTTGTTTTTTGAAAGTTAGATATAACTAATATATTTATATATATATATATATATATATATATATATATATATATATATATATATATATATATATATATATATATATATATATATATATATATATATATATATACTTATCAATACACAATGTCCGGAAATATTCACACGATTTCACACGAATCCAAACCTAATAAATAGAATGCTTTAACTTCGTTGATTTTTTTCTATTTCAAGTGCGCACTGATTCCCGATGAATTTCGATCAAATGCGCCCTCATTCTTTAGTGACTTTCAGTTACTGACCAGAATTAATAGCTTTTCTTCGCGATTCCGACCTTTTTTTTATTATTTATTTATTTTGCAATAAAATTTTATGATTATTTTAATAACTTCATCCAGCACATTTATTTTTATAAAATATATGTACCTTTAATTTAGGTCATGTTTTTATGAATCAAATATTCATGGACTTTTTTTTAATTCTCTGAAAAATTTACTGGCCCCCTACTTTGCGTGCTGTGATCTGATGTGTGATATTCTTCAAATGTACTCAGGATGTTTTGAGTTTGTATTTTTCAACGAAAGCTGATTAAGAAAAAAAAAAGGAAAAATCATTCATGTCTTATATTTGAGTATTAGTATTTTACGCAAGAGGGTGATTTTCATACTAATTTATAACCATGAAATAAATCAAGAATCCGAACCCTTAACATCGATCTTGTTTTATAAGTTGATATCAAATATTTTTTTCTTATATATATACATGTACATGTACATTTTCAAGAACAAAAACCGGATGATTTTCAATTGTTATCCATTGTTTCAATGATTGATCCAATTTAATGATTCAATTCTTATTTTTACAGATAGGGCAGAAAAGAGCCATGTGATATCTGGAAGGTTTTACACGTTTTGAAGTTTTATACAATCATTATTATTAAAATGGAAATTTAGGTCATGTTTTGCAGTTTTGTTTTTTTTTTCCTAATTAACTTCAATTGTAAGTCAATTGGAAAAGAGCATATTAATCACTTTATGAGGGAAAAAATAGCAATTAAAATACATGTACAATGTTGGTGCTCAGATTACTTGCTACTCTGTGGATTTCAGGTGATTAAAACTTCAGAAACTGAGGTTTGACACAAAAATTTTCCCTCTTTCTGCTAGAGTGCCATGTCCCTGATCTACAGCAAAAGGAGTCTAGAATTAATTTGTATGCACATCATTTTCCCTGACATCTCTTGCATGTTATATCTTGGTTATAAAATGTCACATAATGTCTCTTAAATCAATGTGTATGTGTGCATAGCAGCACATAGTATTGGGGAAGGAGGGGAGAGGGGGTGTCCGAACTTCTTTCCAAATATTGTTTTTGTCTGTTTGCCTGCAAACTTTAACCTTCGCCATAACTTTTGAACCATGAAAGATAGAGACTTCATGTTTGGTATGCATACTCCACTAATTAAGCTCTTTCAAATGACACCAAGGTCAATGCCCTTATGAACTTGACTGTGACCTATATGCTAAAAATAGCTTTTTTCTCTGCAAACCTTAACCTTCGTCATAACTTTTGAACCATGAAAGAAAGAGACTTCATATTTGGTATGCATACTCCACTAATTTTAAAGCTTTTTCAAATGATCACAAGGTCAGTAACTTTGTGACCTTGACTGTTACCTATTTGCTAAAAAATAGCTTTTTTGAACCTCTCCCATAAATTTTGAACTATGAAGAGATAGAGACTTCATATTTGGTATGCATGCTCCACTAATCAACTTCTTTCAAATGACACCAAGGTCAATGACCTTGACTGTGATCTACATGCTAAAAATGGCTTTTTTTAACTTGTTGTCACCGGGTGCAGAGTGTTTCACAAACACATCTTGTTACTAATGAAAATATTCATTGGAAGACTACTAACCCTTCCTTCCTTTCCCACTTTTATGCAATAATAGTGAAGTCAGTGTAATGCGAAGCCTATGCTTGAGAATGAAATTGGAACCTACCTTACCCCCCACCCCCCTGCGGAATAGGATTTTCAAGTTTTGACACTTTCTTTATTTCTCTTTTTAAGTATATGTTGGACTTGTTTTCTCTAGCAGCGGATAGTTTTATACTAAAAGATACTGTAATAACGACTTTAAGATTAACTTCCTGTAAATGGCCTTATCCATCACATGGAGATGGATTAATGTTAGACAATCTGGGCTACTGAGTAATCTATTCACAACATTAATTAATCCTGCTTTAATTGTCTCTGAATGTTCTACTTCTGATGCCCCTATTTTAAACAAAAAAAAAAATCTATAGACATATACGTCCCTTCATTTCTGAAAATAGATTAAGCATAATTTTCCTTCATGATTATATTTTTCAATTTCTTCAGGTCTTGCACAGACACGTGGCAACAACAGTGGAGGAGCTGACACCAATCCCTTTTATAAACACACATGCAACCTTTTACTTTTGAAACTGCTCATTGAAAAGGCCCCCCACCCCTATTGTAGCAGTATATAAAAGATAATGTTAATATACATGTAGTATGTGTATTAATGAATTTTCATAGCGAAAAAAGCCTCCTCCCTCCAACACGAAATAAGATTGTCAAGTTCGGATAATTTTTCCTTTTTTCTCAAGACTTTATAATGTAAAGTATGTACACATTCTAGAAAAAAAAGAGGTCATACTTGGTCAAGCATTCAAACGTTTAAAACAGAGAACTGAAACAGGGAAGTAAATTCTTTTTTTTTTTGAAAGTAAAGGGGGCGACCAGAAATGACAAGCTCTCTATCAAAATTATGAAATTCATGGCCCCATACTTGATTCACGCATGCAGAAACTTTAACCAAGCCAGTTGTCCACAAATATAGGTCTGATGTAACATCCGAAACATATACAGATGCAAGTTCACAGGAGTGTAAATGTCACAACACTGTCATATCCGTTAATTCAAAATTACAGAGTTGAGGACTACTTTCTGATCATTAAAAACCACACCAATCTACCAGTACCCCTAAAAACAAACAATGAAAACAAATGTCTTATGAATCTTTAATACACCAAACCATTGAAATATGTGCACTGCCAAACTTCAAAGTTTAATTCTCAAAACAAAGATATACATCTTCACCTTACTTACAGGGTATAACTGTTTGAAGATCAGAAGACAACAATTCGTTAATACTTTAAATGCTTAGGCTCTTAAAATAAAATTCAGATCTTTCAGACTGTAAAAGCACTTTGATTGTAGAAGTATGTGACTAAATATGAAAAACTTTTTGGCACAAGACAAGCATCTAGGAATAAAGAACGCTGTGTTTTCAGATAAAAAAAAAATTAGCCTAGGATTGCAGCAATACCTGTAGAATTTGATATCAAAATATCTGGCACTGCCGATTTTACATGCTAAATTCATATGAAAATCAATTTTCTCATGATCACACTCTTTTAAAACATTACATACAAAAGAGGAAAATTAGTCTCTAATGTGCCTAACATTAAATTTCTCCGTAATGTTCTTTGATCTTTAACAGTAAGGCATCACAGGTCTTCTTGGCGTCCCCAAGCAACATGCTGGTGTTGGGTTTGAAGAAGATTGGGTTGTCTACTGCTGCATATCCCACTCCCAAAGTTCTCTTCATCACAATCACCTACGGGAAAAGTACAAAAAAAAATTACAATGAAGTGACTTGAACTACACAGATTTTACACCTCATATTGCATATATTTTAGGTATTAAACCAGTACATAAGTAGACAAGAATTACTGAAAATCAACTTTTATATGTGAGCAAAAATATATGGGAGTCTCGCAACCTTCTCTTACCAATTAACCTATGTATTTATGCAGAATATTTGAATTTGCCATATCACAAAAATCAATAGTTGCAGATGGATTTCAAACTGAAACATCAGGATTAGAATATGCACAATTAAATTGGTTTACAGTAATATTTATTCCATGAGCAGGTATGTGATGACTTAATATAAGCTTACATTTTTGGATCCCCAGACCCTGAGTACAGGCATTCCTGCGATGATAGAGTTAGGATCCTCCTCTGCTGCCGAGTTGACCGTGTCATTGGCTCCAATGACCAGTACAAGGTCAGTCTCGGGGAAGTCGTCATTAATCTCGTCCATTTCCAGTACAATATCATAAGGTACTCCAGCCTCAGCTAACAGCACATTCAACTGACCAGGCATACGACCTAGAAAACATATGGTTCACTAAGTATTGACATACTGTAGCTTCAGACACAAAGTCATTATCCAACACAAAACCATACAGAGAGTAATGGTAAGACTGCCCCCTTTTCCAATGCTTTGTATCTTAGTTCGGCAGTTATGTACAGACAATGGTATGTTATCTCCTTCAAACATGTCTAGTGAAGTTTAGTCTCCACAAAAAGCTGGTCAGACAAAATTACAGTTTTGTACCTATCATGGCTTTTTGGGCTTTTTCAAAAGCAGAAAATGAAGGTTTCCCATATTTTTCTCAGATATTTCAGGACTAACTCCTGTCATTGATTTTATGTTTTCAATTTCACTGACAATAAACTTCGAACAAACTAAACACCTGCAACAGGGTGAATTCCGAATCTGCAGTTGATTCCCTTCTTTTTGAGGAACTCCACCATTTCAGCGATGGGGTACTGAGCCTTGGCTACACAGAGTCCGTATCCTGGGGTGATGATGATGTTTCTGGACTCGGCGATCATCTCTACAGCTTGATTGACATCAATCTCTGTGTGGGTTCCAGTGATCTCCATAGGTTTACCAGTACCAGTGGACTTGGTACCATAGCCTCCCAGGATCACATTGGTCAGGGATCTGTTCATGGCCTATCAAAACATCTATATATTTTAGAAATTCTTTTTCTGCATTTCAAATGGCACAAAAATTAAAATGGGTAAAACAATCTGAAGTTTAATATGTTTGACTGGTCAAAACTCAATCCTACCTGAGTCTTAAAGCACCAATAACACATTAATGCATTAATCCATAACTAATTCTCAAAATCTACTGAATTATGACTATCAATTTAATATTAAATTGACCAGTTAGCTTTGACATCTCCAAAGGACAGATTTTTAAGTAAATCACATTCTCCTGTTATTTTCTCTCAATACCTACCACACACATGATGTAAGAGAGGATAGCTCCAGAAGATCCAATCAGAGCTCCAACAATTGTCATTAGATTATTGTTCAACATGAAACCCTCAGCACACAGAGCCCAGCCAGAGTAACTGTTCAGGACGGTGATCACAACAGGCATGTCAGCACCTGTCAAACACAAAGGGGTGTACCTCCTTAATTAAGTCAAACATAAAGGGGTGTATGTCATTAATTAACTCAGTCAAAGTGGTGTACGTCCTTAATTAAGAAAGTCAAACACAAAGAGTGTACCTCCTTAAAGACCCAATTTTTTTTACCGTACGGTTACCTGAGGAGGGGGAGTGGTCGAAGTAACAGTGGTGTTATTTACCTGGAGACCCCCAATACCCAAGATGTCAAAAATCTGTGTATACGTAGCATTACACAGGAAGTCTGTGTTTGGTAATCAGGATCATCATAAGGTGTTTTATGCCTGGTTTTGAGGGAAACTACGTAAAATAATTGTTTTAATATGAAATCTATTTGTAAACTTAACGCATTCATCGTAATCATGGTAATGTTTTGAAGGAAAACAAATAATAAGATACATGTATATCGTTTTAGAAAATGTTTTCCTTACATAAAAATCACGAATAAAAACTACAAATCAATAATATTTATCTTTTTTTAATCTTCAATAAAAGAAATCACTTGATTAAAAAAGTCTGAATATTGAAATAAAAAAAATTATTAGTCCAGCTATCCGTAGTGCATGTGAACATGCATTTACCGCGATCGGAATGTTTTTTTTTTTTCCCTGGCCAACAATGTTGTCCAAAATATTCCATATTTTTTATTCTTCGTGTGTTAAAATAATTTTGTTGTTAGAAAGATTTCTCTGTCGGAATCGATCACTATTAATTATCTTCACATTTTCATTACGTATATATATACATACGCTAGAGGAAATTCGAGCATTAATTCTGACATCAATTTCTGTACAACATCGTGCGGATTGTAGCCATAGTACAAAATTAAACATCTTTTAACAACTATGCTATGCCGTTTATTAGTGCTGAATATTTTTCTTATATCCCATTTCTTAAAAAAATAATTTAAATTGTCGGACTTCCAATTACGGCAAATAGAGCCGGTTTCTGTGGACGCGGTCTTTTTCTACAGATAACGTGGACGATATAACACTTTCAAGTAACAAACAGCAGTAAAGATAGAAAAGAAATATTTTATAATGTCAATGTTTTAATAATCTACTTTCAATTATTTTTTTTTAAATAAAATCCAAACATATTGGAGTTTTCTGCCCCGCGTGTATACTATGCGGGTACATGAAAGAATTTGACGCGTGACCAGGTAATTGTTTTCAAAACATGCAAACTCAGATTATCAGGAAGCACAGATAGCTGACCTGTCAATCAAATGAGAAGCTATTGTTTTTTTAATGATTGACAGGCGGTAAATTATTGATCTTGAATCAGGTAGATTTTGGGGGCATTAACATAAAATTGGGTGTTTAATTTAGAAGTGTTATATCATTGAAGTTTTGCTAGGAATTTCAAACAAAACATCTATCATTAACTATTGTTGTACACATTTGACTCTCAAAGAACAAGGGACCCAGTCTCCTTTACGGTCCTCAACTAACCTCCGATGGCGGCGGTGAGAGTAACCCCCATGATGCTGGAGAGGGTGGTGGTGGTCCCCAGACAGGCCAGCTGAGTTGTGGGGTCATCTGTCAACATGTAGGTCCCCATAGCTCCCACATTACCCATCAACATTCCAAAATTGAGGGCATGTCTAGCAGGCAGGATAAGGGGGTCTGACTTCAGGACACCTACAATGAAAACATATAAATATGACTAACATGTTACAGCAAACTCAAATTCAGAACATAAGCTCTCTTATCGGGACAGTGATAGTTTTCAGTAATGGTGAAAATTTTGCAACAGAAGATGAAGCTAAAGATTAGAACTCGGGCAAGTTTATTTCACCATACTAGCAAAACAAACTTAATTCAATTATTTTAAGAGTTATCACCCTTAGGCGAAATTAAGTAATTTAACTTGAAAGATTAAAAAAGAAGGAAACCAAAGAAGAGGAAAGATGGATTCTGTAAAGAAATTACAAAAAGAAACTAGAACAGAAATGAATGCATTAAATAAGATCTATATTCTGATAATGCAGGATCTTCCATATAAATGAAATGTAGAATTGCTGTTTATGGAATCAGAAATAACATGTATCATCAGGATTGCTTTTCAAGAACAATACAAACCTTGCAGCTTTCCAAATGCCACCAATGAACCAGTGAAAGTGACACCTCCAATATAGGTTCCGAGGAAGAGGAATGTCTTGATGACGTTAGCAGCTGGGTCTGTAGCGAAATGGGGCTGCTCCAGAATGTAGTTAGCAAAACAAGTCAGCACTGCGGCGGCTCCTACCAGACTGTGGAACAGCGCCACCATCTGTGGTAGGTCGGTAACCTCTACCTTCTTACCACCAACAACACCAATCAAACCACCTGTCACAGGGAACGGTCAGACTAATTATAATATCTTACAAATCTCAAATATTTGATTTCACAACTCTACGTCTTACTTTATTCTAAATATTCAACTTTATATCTTGCTTTAAAGAAACTTCGTGAAAAGGGAGTTGTTCCTTATAATAAATACCATGAAAATACTCGATGGTATTTTCTTAATTTTTTATGAATCTGCTTCATACCTGCTCCCATACAAGTAGCCATTTGCATGAAGTTCTCTGGGGAAGGTTTGAGCAAGCCCAGTGTGGCGGCTATTCCTGATGATACTCCAATCATTCCAAGGGCATTTCCTGACAAAAAAATTGTCACATCAAATTATCAAAAAAAAAAAACAAAAAAAAAAACATTTAAAAGGTTTGCCTGTAATAATGTGACACAAGAGGCCCATGGGCCACATCGCTCACCTGAGCACTAAGGGTAGGAAAAAGTAGAAAATGGATTTTTATTGTAAAGTTTAAATAAATCATGGATTTGCTATTTTTTAGAAAATGATTTTTAAAGAATTTTCCTATATATATCTTTAAAAACTTTGGTCGGCCATTTTGGCCCCGCCCTACCCCTGGGGGTCATGATTTGAACAAACTTGAATCTACACTACCTGAGCATGCTTCCATATATATATGATGAATTATGGCTTTGTCATTCTTGAGAAGAAGATTTTTAAAGAATTTTCCTATCTATTTCTATGTAAAACTTTGGTCGGCCATTTTGGCCCCGCCCTACCCCCGGGGGTCATGATTTGAACAAACTTGAATCTACACTACCTGAGCATGCTTCCATATAAATATGATGAATTATGGCTTTGTCATTCTTGAGAAGAAGATTTTTAAAGAATTTTCCTATCTATTTCTATGTAAAACTTTGGTCGGCCATTTTGGCCCCGCCCTACTCCCGAGGGTCATGATTTGAACAAACTTGAATCTACACTACCTGAACATGCTTCCATATAAATATGATGAATTATGGCTTTGTCATTCTTGAGAAGAAGATTTTTAAAGAATTTTCCTATCTATTTCTATGTAAAACTTTGGTCGGCCATTTTGGCCCCGCCCTACCCCCGGGGGTCATGATTTGAACAAACTTGAACCTACATTACCTGAGCATGCTTCCGTATAAATATGATGAATTATGGCTTTGTCATTCTTGAGAAGATGATTTTTAAAGAATTTTCCTATATATTTCTATGTAAAACTTTGGTCGGCCATTTTGGCCCCGCCCTACCCCCGGGGGTCATGATTTGAACAAACTTGAACCTACATTACCTGAGCATGCTTCCATATAAATATGATGAATTATGGCTTTGTCATTCTTGAGAAGAAGATTTTTAAAGAATTTTCCTATCTATTTCTATGTAAAACTTTGGTTGGCCATTTTGGCCCCGCCCTACCCCCGGGGGTCATGATTTGAACAAACTTGAATCTACACTACCTGAGCATGCTCCCATAAAAATATGATGAATCAGGGTTCTCCATCATTTGAGATTTTACTGTGTTGCAGAGTTTACGCGAAGCACTAATATTTCGCGGTATTTTCGCGAACAAATTCGCAACTGAATCACAATTCATTATAATTACAATAGATTACAAGCACACACTTATTTAAAAATTGCTAATTCGTTACACAAATGGCATGGTCGTACATACTGATAAAAGGAAAAATAACGTTCTGAAAAGCAGAGGAAATTCTGACCGATAGTTGAACTACTTAATAACATTTATTTTTGAAAGTAGATTTGCCGTGCTTATTTATTTATCAGGTTTCTTGATCGAGTTACCGCATTACAAAAAAAAAGGAACTTCAGAACAGTAAAATATTTTAAAGAGTTCCTTGAACATGCTGAAATTTCAAAATTTTCGGCAATGTATTTACATCAATTAAATGACTTCGGTGCGATATTATTTTTGACTTATAGTGTTTTTATAATTCTAAAGCCGTGGCTCTAAGGAAAGACATATTTAAATATTTTTCATAAATAACACAATGTATTTCATTGCAACTACCAATTAACCAGTACACTGAATTGTGAAAACAATTTATTTGTCTTTGTTCCGTCATGCGTAAAGTCCGGTGAGGGTCTAGGAGATAATTGATTGATTACTCAAGGTGAAGCCCTAGTAATTAAGTGTTATAACTTTTTGAATTGAAAGACGGTAGAATTGTTTGATTAAAGTTTTTCAGTTAAAAAGAATTTGTGTGTTTAGATTTTCTAATTATCACAACTCTTACTGTGTCGGCAAAATTTTTACTGTGTCGCATGCATGAAATTTGAATCGTTACTGTGTCGGAGAAAATTTTACTGTGTCGGGAGCAACACAGTAAAACAGCTCATGGAGAACCCTGATGAATTATGGCTTTGTCATTCTTGAGAAGAAGATTTTTAAAGAATTTTCCTATATATTTCTATGTAAAACTTTGGTTGGCCATTTTGGCCCCGCCCTACCCCCGGGGGTCATGATTTGAACAAACTTGAATCTAAACTACCTGAGGATGTTTCCCCATGGCACAGTGGTTCTTGAGAAGAAGATTTTTAAAATATGCCACTAAATTTTCATTAATTCCCAATTATCTCCCCTTGAATGAGGGCGTGGCCCTTCATTTGAACAAACTTGAATCCCCTTCACCCAAAGATACTTTGTGGCAAGTTTGGTTGAAATTGGCCCAGCGGTTCTTGAGAAGAAGTTGAAAATGTGAAAAGTTTACAGACAGACAGACAGACAGACAGACAGACAGACAGACAGACGGACAGACAGACGGACAGACGGATGCCGGACAAAATGTGATCAGAAAAGCTCACTTGAGCCTTCGGCTCAGGTGAGCTAAAAATTGCAGCAGGAAAATAATAATTCTGACTTATCTTCCTTTGTGAGCATCCTGAGGATCTCCACCTCACTATAATCTTACCTATCCTGCTAGTTGTCTGTGTAGACAGTCCTGTCAGGGGTCCCATACACAGAGAGAGGCAGCCTGACTATATTCTTACATATCCTGCTTTTGTCTGTGAGGCAGCCTGACTATATTCTTACCTATCCTGCTTGTTGTCTGTGAGGACAGGCCTGTGAGGCAGCCTGACTATATTCTTACCTATCCTGCTTGTTGTCTGTGACGACAGGCCTGTGAGGCAGCCTGACTATATTCTTACATATCCTGCTTGTTGTCTGTGAGGCAGCCCGACTATATTCTTACCTATCCTGCTTGTTGTCTGTGAGGACAGGCCTGTGAGGCAGTCTGACTATATTCCTACCTATTCTGCTTGTTGTCTGTGAGGACAGTCTGACTATATTCTCACTTATTCTGCTTGTTGTCTGTGAGGACAGTCTGACTATATTCCTACCTATTCTGCTTGTTGTCTGTGAGGACAGTCTGACTATATTCCTACCTATCCTGCTTGTTGTCTGTGAGGACAGTCTCACTATATTTTTACCTATTCTGCTTGTTGTCTGTGAGGACAGGCCTGTGAGAGCTCCCACACAACAGAGAGAGGCAGCCAGGTACGTGGCCTGGTGAATGTCAGGGAAGAGATTAGTGGAGGCAGCATAGCCATAGGATCCCAACACCACACCTCCAGGGATGGCATACAGCTTATTGTACTCAGGGGGGTCAGCTTTTAATAATAGCAGAATATTTAGTTTCAGTCTCTTAAAATGTGACAAATACTTATTATAATATTAAAACATGTACAGTAAAAATTCTTTATTGCAAAATGGATAAAGCAAAGTTTTTAAATGTCTCAAACAAAATTCTAAACAACTCCTTTTAAAAATTTCATGATTTAAAAGAACTTGACATATTTAAGTTATAAATATATAGCAAACAATTTCGTGTCCCATAGAAGTCAAAGTAATTGAAATTTAAAAGAACAGTGTTAGAACCTACTTGGTCGTTTAAACATGTCCAACATTCTTTGTGTGACTGTGAATCCACCCCCAATGTTAATGGAGGAGATAAAAGCTGCGATGGCTGAGAGGGTTTCTATGGTGTTCGATGGGGTGTAACCTCCCCCCATCAGGAGTAGTCCTCCCACAGCGGTGATACCAGAAATAGCGTTAGTCACCGACATCAGGGGAGAATGGAGAGCTGGCTGTACACCCCATACAGTGTGGTAGCCTGTCAACAAAAGGGGCAAAAATTTGTTGTAAAAAGTTTAATCTATTATTACTTTTATCTTCAAGATATTTCTCTCTTTAAAAAAATTATAATTTTATCAAACTTCTTAATAATCTTTGAATAATCTAAATTTGTGATAAAAAAAAAGTTGCATCTTTTACATATTATATATTGTTATATTCTATAATATTCATACCGATTCTAATTTTTTTTTTTTTTACCTCAAAGATGTCTCCAATAAATAAAATACTAGGGTTGGTTAACATTTTTTCCTCTCTTTTAAGCTTGGAATTATTTATTTGTATACACTGTAAAGCATTTACTAATTAAGTGTTGTCAACATTCCTTACCAACAATACCAGCCAATCCAAATGTTGTTACCATAGACATAAAGGCCGGACTAGGAGAAATACAACCAATACCGATAACACCTCCCAGTCCCGCGGAATATATAACAGCATCGTTTAGAGTGGTCTGAAACTTGCTGGGAGGGGGAGGTGGTTCAACCTTTTTGGGGGCAGCTGCGGGGGCCGCGGCAGCATCCAGTTTGGGGGGAGGAGCAGGAGGAAGAATTTCTCCCTGGAATAAATTTTACCAAACAGAAATTAGGCATAATATGTGCATGTGTGCCTTCAAAAATAAACTCTTATATACTACTACAGTTGACCTTTGTTATCTTGAACACAGATATCTTATACGCCATGAGTATGTCTAGATGAGATAATATTCCCTACTTTGCTTTTCTCAAATGTATTTTAATCTAAATATCTTATACTTTGGAAAATTTCTCTTTAAGATGAGGTTTAACTGTACTTCCTTCACATGCAAGTTGTTTCCCTTAACATCCACTTACATTTTGTACAACAATGGAACCTCTCACAACTTCATCTTCTAAGTTAATGTAGAAGTGATCTTTCTCTCCTGAAATTGAGAAGACGTAATTCTAAAACCCTCCAAACAGCACTTCTGTTAAATTGTGATTATGCATCCCCAGCATATCTCACAGATATTAACTCATTCTCTTTAGAATCTCTTGTTTTTCATAATTGTTAATTTTCTGTGGAAAGGATAGTTCTATTTTGCTTGGACTTACCCATGGACAGAAGCAGTTTTGATATATTGTTGGAATACAGAGTACTGGATTGGGTAGGAAGTCGACTAGGTAGATCTGTGTAGCCAATATGTGTCACTTCGTTGTATTTGTACAATTCTCCAGGCCTGGTGGTCTCAAAATTTCCCCCAGCCTCTGCTGCTAGATCCACTATCACAGAACCAGGCTTCATTCTATCCACCACAGCCTTCAAACAAATTAACAATTTCATAAATTACTTTGTAGAGAAATCGTTTTAAACTTATCAAATTATTTCAGATTACTGTACAAATTTAAAAAGCAATGCTATCATCTAAGTTTTTGTTTGGTTTTGTTTTTAAGAATATATCAAATGTTTTCTCCACACTCTAAATTATAAAATGTAGTTGGTAAAAGAATCCTTCCACACTTTACCAGTTCATGACCTGATTTTTAAATCACCTTTGACACCAGTTTTGGAGCAGGTTTGCCGGGTACAAGGGCGGTTGTTATGACAACATCACACTCCTCACACTGTTTGGCGTACAGAGCCTTCTGGGCATCCTGGAACTCCTGTGACATCTCACTGATGTCTTTAGCATATCCACCCTCTCCAGCTCCTGATTCCTATCCAATCAAAATAGGACATATTGATCCTGAGACATTTCATTATACAAACAAATTTATATGCATTTTATTAATTCTTTAATTAAAAAAAAAATTAAAACATTTAATGTTGAAAACAAATGTCCCATGACTTTAACCTACAAATCTTCCAAGATATTTTGAAAATTAAAGATACAACTTCATCCTTTTTTTAACAGTACCTGCACAGACACTTCTAGGAACTGGCCACCAAGAGATTCAATTTGCTCACGAGCTGCAGGCCTCACGTCATAGGCTCTAACAATGGCCCCCATTGCTTTGGCTGAACCAATAGCAGCAAGACCAGCCACACCCCCTCCAATTACAAACACCTTTGCTGGAGGTACTTTTCCTGCGGCAGTGATCTGACCTAAAATTGGGCAAAATATGTCAACATCATATTGTTGATATGTTATGAAGAATGTTTACAATAAATAGTAGGAATAGGATCTTATTAATTAACATATTTTATGGAAAACAAATGTATGTTTATACAAATCTTCCACAACTTCATCCTTTTCTCAGCAGTACCTGCAACAATTTGCTCACGAGCTGCAGGCCTTACATCATAGGCTCTGACAATGGCCCCCATTGCTTTGGCTGAACCAATAGCAGCAAGACCAACACCCCCTTTACAAACACCTTTGCATTTTGGATTCATTAAAATTGCTTAGCAGCTGATATGTTATGTGTATTATTAAGACTTTTTTAACATATTTTATGGCGTTATCTAATGCACATTTTTGGATTCAATAAAACTGCTTAGCAGCTAGAGTGTGTCATTAATATTTTCAAGTTATGACTACTTCTTGAATACTTTAAAATAGCCCTTTTTACATCTACAGAGTTTGCAATTCTACCTGTAAAGAACCTTCCAAAGTGGTTAGCTGCCTCAATTACTGCCTTGTATCCAGAAATGTTAGCCATGGAACTAAGGGCATCAAAAACCTGAGCTCTGCTTATACGAGGAATCATGTCCATCGCAAATACATTGATCTTTTTCTCAGCCAGCTGTTTGACAAGATCTGGGTTTTGCTTGGGGTAGAGAAAACTGACAAGGGTTGATCCACTTCTGAAATTGGCAATCTCTTCTGTTAAAGGCGCCCTGACTTTGAATACTATGTCAGACTGGAAAGCGTCCTTTTTGGAGATGATCTTCGCCCCCGCCTTGGCATAATCCTCATTCTGGAACATTGCCTCTGCTCCCGCATTCTCTTCGATGTTTATCGCAAACCCCTTCTTCGTTAGTGTAGTCACGGTGGCTGGTGACATTGCCACTCGGCGTTCATTTTTGAAGATTTCCTTTGGGACTCCAATTGAAAGCTTGCTATATGGAGTTCCCTTTGGTGCTTCCTATCATAAATTGGAAGTACATGTATTTTATTATTAGCATTTTTACAAAAATAAATTGCAAAATCACTGTATTTATATAATTTAAATTTAAAATATAACTATTATCTTTATCTTCAAGGTTTTCAAGTTTTCGTTATTTCAGGGGTGTGCAATTACCATAGCCCGACGCCCGGGACTATCAATTTTAGAGGTCGGGCTATCTTAAATCTATACTGCATTAGTAAATCTAAAACGAAAGTAAACATATATTGACCTTGACTGAATTGAGGTACAAATTAACTTTTCTGTAAAATCAAAATCTTTAATTTGTTTTAACCTATATGCATTGTGTGTTCCTATCGCTAGTTGTCTCAGTGACAATTATAGTCGAAATAAATAGGGGGAAGTACCTGACAATTACAAAGCGCAAACCATTATTTGTTTTATTTATTTCAACTTAAATGGGTTTTTTTAACCTTTATGTTATACTTATACATGTATTGTTCAGAAAACACCCTTTGGTAGTTAATGGGCTAGTGATGTTTTGGCAAATAATCATGGCGATAGGACTTTGTTACCGCCACTAGCCTGTCGGGCTAGTAATTTATTTTTGTAATTGCACACCCCTGTGTTTCTATGTGTATCTTCCCAGAATATTTAATTTTCTTTATTAAATTGACATATACATCTAATGGTAAATTGTTAAAAAACATGGTGTAGATAACCATGTAAACATATTGCAAGCATCTAAATTCCAACCTGTTCTGCTTTCTGAGAGAAAGACCTCCCTGGATTCTTGAGTCCTCGACAGCATCGTAATGAAAGACTTTTCACACTTGATCCTAAATTGACCAATTTGGCAGAGGTATGAAGTTTAAACAACATGTTGAGTCCAACACCAGTACGGTGTACCTGTATAATAAAAGATTTTTAATGTTTATAGATATTGAAGGCATTCATGCTCTCAACCTCACTGAGGTCTATCTATCTGTCTATCTGTGGCAATGGGACCCCCACAAACTTGTTTAAGAATTTTACAGACTGACTTCAGCATTGTCATTAAGGGAAAATAAATTATGATATAAATTGTGGTGATTTCCAATTTATCAGTTTTTGTGCTAATTATGTTACTATTTTTGTGTGCATATTGTAATCAATTTGCATTCACATTTTCAAGTATTGACAATTTTGCATTCATTGGTATAAAAAAAAATCATAAATTCAATAAAAAATGGAAAAGGTCAAGACTAAAATTTTGGTCTGACATCTCTTTTATATTCTTTTTGTTTCAATATTTCAGTCCAAAATTTTTTTGTTGTATTTTAAGAAAAATGAATGGAATACAGATATATTAGCTCAGCTAATCCTCCCATTTGCTTAAGAGGTCAACAAATTTCTTTTTCCTGTGCCTTCCACCAGTCAGTATGTAACTAAACTTGCAAGCCATCACATTCAAGACTTCATTTAATTATTTAAATACTGCTATGCTTTTAAGAAAATATTATTTATATAAAATGCAATGCAAATATGTCATGTTTCATTTATACAATGCATGACAATAAAAGGTCAATATGATGTGCTTATTAATTTTTAAGTGTTTTGATAATAGGTTTTGACACGAATGAGTGCTAAAAAGCAGTGCTTGTTGCACAATGACAAATAATAATAAACAATCAAAATACAAAGGGGGCATTTTTATTTTGACATCTAACTAACCACCTTGAAAGGTCAAAAACTTTAGCAACAAGCAGACCGATGAAGTTTTTTAATGCAAACACATAAAATATGACAGCATGATGTGACATTTTGCGCAGAAGACAAGTTAGTAGAACAATGAGGCTGACTGACACATCGATCACACTTACTCTCCACGATTAGAGGGCCATGCTGTCCCTTTTCTTTGGCACCTTGCAAACTGCCGGTGTTTTCTGCAATGGCCGCCTCCGTGGAATCGTCTTGTCTGAAACCAATGAGATTCCGATAAAAAGTCACATGTTTATTCTTAGTGAGGTGGTACCCATTCTGCAAAAGGTTGTTTAGCTTTTATAAAAAAATAATTCAAACTCGAATATTTGCTACAGGATTCATTTACTTGTGGTTTTAAGATTTGATTCAACAAAATCAATGATAAATTTTAAGTTAATTGAAGTTTTAGATTTGAGTTTACACAAAACGTCAAAATTACGCATCAGCGAATATCCTATGACCCCCTTTCAAATGTAAAGTCCTGTCGCACTTCCTGTAGTAGTTCTCTTGCTCTGGAGGAAAATGGCAAGTTCAGTCGTAAACGCAGGTCGTCTCTTTTGGCGCTCTGGTAGCAAATTACAGCGGTTTGCAGCGCCTGTTGCTTTAAATGCAACACAACAGAGGGATTGTGAGTGTTTTAATATGAAAATTTGCCATTTATAAATCGAATATAGGCTGCAAGTGCTATGTCTTCGATAAGTCAGTTTGACATTGGGATAAGAATAGGGGAGGTCATAACGGTTTTCTTTTGCAAAAATGATTGCTTAAAATGCTTTTTGAAAAAGACACTTCTATCATGTTTCTGATGCAAATTAAAAAGCTTATTTCCAATTATTTGAAAATGGTAAATTATGATATATAGTGATTTTTTCCTCTTCTTAATTTAATCTACTTTTTTTTTTTTTTAGAATTTGAAAATTACCATGCATATCACTTTTAAAAGTAGTATGACTGTTGTGAGGAAATAAATATGTTAAATGAGGGTAAAATTTGCATAATTACGGTTTAATTTTTTTGTTTGAATCAATGCAGATGGAACCAAAAGAATTAAGGTGGCTAACCCAGTTGTTGAGATGGATGGTGATGAGATGACCCGCATCATCTGGGAAAAGATTAAGGAAACTGTAAGGAGACATCCTAAGTTTGACATTCCCTTTTACAAAGAAAGAATAATTTTCTGCGATTTTTTAGGTGTCTTTTATTCAGACTTGATGAAATAATGTATAATGACTTTTCAAGCCTCATGAATAATGAATAAACCAAGTCACCATTTCCTAGGGTTGTCACTAAGATATTGATTTATTTACTCTGCACTTACAAACATTTTCTGATTGAAATAGTTGATCTTGCCATACGTTGATGTTGATCTGAAGTATTACGATCTGGGCTTGCCATACAGAGACCAAACTGATGATCAGGTCACCATTGATGCTGCCCTGGCCACCAAGAAATACAATGTGGCTGTCAAATGTGCAACAATCACTCCTGATGAAGCTCGTGTAGAAGGTAGTTTATGTGTTTTGTTGGAAGTTCTTGTGATCTTTTCTCAAATATTAGCTATTGACAATTAAAAATGATTTTTTTTAATGTTTAGAATTTTGTTTTTGATTTGTAGAATTTAAGCTCAAAAAGATGTGGCTGAGTCCAAATGGGACCATTAGGAACATCCTTGGAGGAACAGTATTCCGAGAGCCAATCATATGTCAGAAAATTCCTCGCTTAGTGCCCGGATGGACGAGACCAATTGTGATTGGTCGTCATGCTCACGGTGACCAGGTCAGTGAAAATTGCTGCTACATAGAAAAGGCTTTATGCAAAGAAGGATAACTCTGTAAAATTGTTAAAAAGCTGCTTTTCCTTTCTGGAATTTTATCTTATAACAATAGCTTTTGACAAAATTGTGTTTTTCACTTTGATGTACTAAATGTGCTTACTTTTTTCTTTTTTTTTTATGGAATTTGATTGTGTGAGAGTTAAAGAAGATGTTTTCTGACCTCTGTAAAGAACATGTATTCTGACCTCTTTGTTTCTCTTTGACAGTACAAAGCCACTGACATGGTAGTGCCTGGAAATGGTAAAATTGAACTAGTCTACACACCTGAAGGAGGACAGGAGCAAAGGACAACCGTGTTTGAATTTAAAAATGGTGGAGGTTGTACCATGGCCATGTACAATACAGACGAGGTTAGCAATTTTATTGTTTGTCATTTGCTTGCCAGATTTTTTTTCATTTTCCATGAAACAGTGTGACTTGATATCAGTTTGTATGTTCAGTGAGTTTAACAACACAAAATGGATGTAGAATAGATAATGGTTCATTGTTTTCTTCTTTCACTTCCAGAGCATCAGTGACTTTGCCCACACATGTTTCCAGTATGCCATTATGAAGAAATGGCCTCTTTACATGAGTACAAAGAACACCATTTTGAAGAGATATGACGGAAGATTCAAGGATATCTTCCAGGACATCTTCGAAACCAAGTAAGTTGAACATTTTTCAAGTTTTCATCAATAGTATTCGATCAAACCTTTGAGCAGATAAATTTTGAAAGTAAATGTGATACTCTGAATTAGAGCATCTCTCCATGTTTTGTATGATCTGTTTGACAGAGGCTACAAGGAGAAGTTTGATGAGCTGAAGATCTGGTACGAGCATCGCCTGATTGACGACATGGTGGCTCAGGCCCTCAAGTCAGATGGAGGATTTGTGTGGGCCTGTAAGAACTACGACGGAGACGTACAGTCGGACGTAGTCGCCCAAGGTAACAACTACGACATGTCATCTTTCTAATGACATAGAAGGAGTTTTTGTTACCTCTACTAGTTTTGTACCAAAAAATCTTACCAATATACATTTTGAAATCATTTAATTTATTTCATAATACTCCTACACCAATATTTGTCTAATTTAATTTTTATATTTTGCAAATGCAGATTAAATTTCGATGCGTAATTCTGTCTATTTTTGATATGTAAAATATTGTACTGAATACCAGATGTTATATTTTTGAAATGATTTTTTATAGATGCTTAATATTACTATTTAAAATAGTTCAATGACAGTGGTACATGTTTAATTCATATTTCAGGTTACGGTTCATTGGGTCTTATGACCAGTGTACTTGTCTGCCCTGATGGAAAAACTATTGAGTCCGAGGCTGCTCACGGAACCGTGACAAGGCACTACAGGGAACATCAAAAGGTACAACTCCTGATATATACTTTTTCTACCTGATTTTTAAAAATGTGAATAAGTAGAATAAACCAAAAATGTTTATAAGAATGCCAGGGATTGAGATTATCATCATATCGTAAATATTTCACAATATAGTTAAAAGCCGGGGGGAATAATAACCACAACGCTTTATGTGTTGATTCATTATAAGCAAGTTCACCATTAGTGTAGTTAATGGATAAAAAAGTCCTTTTAATAATAATTTAAGTTAGAAATCCACAGTAAATTCAATGCAAGTATGTTTGTGCAGATCTTAAATGTCATTTTATGAAAAGATGTTGATATGTATAATTAAAATAATATACATGCATCTTTAGGGAAACCCTACCAGTACAAACCCGGTGGCTAGTATTTATGCCTGGACCAGAGGATTAGAACACAGAGGCAAACTGGATGGAAACCAGGACCTTGTTGTGTAAGAACATTTATTTTATAAGTTGACATATGTTACATTTGTATAAGCTGAGCAGTTTTATGATTATATTAATGAATATGCAGCTGTTACCTTGTAATGAATGTTTTGTCCGTGCAATAATGTGTAAAATACATGCCATGTATGCTTCTGAAAAAAAGAAAAATCAATGGATTTCATTACAATAATGTAACAAATTTTTGTTCAACAGCTTTTCACAAAAGTTGGAAAAAGCCTGTGTAGACACTGTAGATAGTGGAAAAATGACCAAGGATTTGGCAGGCTGTATATATGGGCTGAAGAAGTAAGAGGATTTTATTTATGATATATTTAATAAAATATACTGAAATCACAGTCTCTAATAAATCTCTTTAATATCATTGAGATTATTGAGGTAATGTGCATGTTAGGGAAATACATGCTTGATTGCATGTATGATGTTGCCTGTGTAATTTCCTTGTTTTGTGGTAATGATTGTATTTGTTTTTTGCAGTGTTAAGCCTGAGCATTATCTCAACACTATGGATTTCCTGCAGGCCATTAGGGAGACCCAGGAGAAGATGTGATGTGTGTGACGTGTTAGAGCTCTAACAATCAAAGTCTGTGATCCATAAATATCAACACTCACTTCAGTGTACCTCTTTTTTATAGTCTAATGGAATTATGGTCTGATTTCTTACAAAGGCAGCACAAATTTCTGGTCAAGCCTGATTGTGAGGAATAGAAATCTGAATTTTCTCCAGATCATGGCCAAAAACATTTTTAATTAGTATAATCATGTCAAACTATATATATCTCCAGTCATTTGTTGATGGTTGTTAACATTTAATATGCAAATTTTTCTGCTTTATTTATGGACATTGACTTTATACATGTCTTATTATTGCCATTATGTAGACATGTATGGAATTTCCTAATTTTTATTATTTTTTACACACACCAATGTGCCAATACAATTAGAGTGCTAATTTTCTACACAAACAATGATACACTTTTCCTTCCTGTGGCTTTGTTGTTCTGCAGGCAGGGGAATTAAGGATATGTGCAACATTCCATCAGGAGTATTAAGTATTTCCTAAACGGACCACTGACGGTTGTAAAAGTTTGTCCTTTTGAGTGAAATAAAAATTAGTAATACATTTTCTGTTCTTCAATGTAATTATGAATTTGAGTTGCTAAGAAAAATTTAATAAAAAGGTGTACCTTTTAGTCTATGGCTGTAAAATCCATCAAGGCCATAGTGAAAACATAATTTTTGATGACCTTAGTTGGGAATATACATTTTTGAACTAGTTTGCTAGGATTTTAAATATGCTCAACTAGCAGTAACAACCATTGATTCTGAAAGTGCATGTCATTCATATATACATATATCTACCCTAGCATCTTCACTAGCTGCTACACTAATGAATGCAGCCCTGGAAATTGATTAAAAACCTTGGGGGCATGAATGATGTTAATGTTCCCTTTAATCAATGGTGTCCCATTGAAGATCTTATCCCAAGAAATACACATGCAAATTATAAACTTCCTAGCACCAACCCTTTAACAGTTATACCCAAGGTTAATGTTTTCAAAAAATCAAACTCCATGGTCAAAGGGCCAAAATGTTGCTACCCAAGCTAAGGTCTTGTCCTCAAGAATTACACTTGTGAAATATAAATGATATGAAATCGGATGAGACCGTATAAATCGAGGTCCCATGTTGCAGTAGGTGCTGGCATGAAAAAGATCCTTCCCTGCTCAAGCGCCAGCAGTACCAAGGGGAAAAATTTGTAGCTTTCCAACGGTAAGTGGTGGCGTCTCCACATGAATGTTCAAAAAATTCTCAAGAGGGACGTTAAGTAATATACAATTAACCAATCATGTGCGAAGATTGGAAACCCTAGCACCAGCCGTTCAAAATTTAAAACCAAGGTTAAAGTTTGGTTAAATTTTGCAGAAGTAGGCCAAACTCTAAGGTTAAGAGGTAAAATATGTTGCTACCCAAAGAAATGCGGTTTCAAGAAATATACATGTGAAATAGGAAAGACATAGCACTAACCAATCAAAAGTTAAGGGCAAGTTTAGGTTAAAGATTTTGCAGAAAACAGTGAAATAGACGGGTCTTCACTCTTCGATAATGGGGGCATAAAAATCTGCATTTATTATGCCCCCAACAATCAAAGATCCATATATACTTTTTAGCTCACCTGAGCTGAAAGCTCAAGTGAGTTTTTCTAATTACCCGTTGTCCCATGTACGTCTGTCCGTCCGTGGATCCATTTGTCTGTTAACTTTTCATATTTCAACTTATTCTTAAGAACCACTGAGCCAAATTTACCCAAACGTGATATAAAGCATCCTTGGGTTACGGGAGGTAAAATTGTAAAAATGAAGGGCCAGGTCTCCTTGCAATCAGAGATAATTTTAAAAATCTTCTCATAAGAAGAAGGTCATGGTAAAAAGAAAGGCCTTGTCACAAAGAAAATTCATGTGAAGATAAAGGCAACAAGAGATCCATGGGCCACATCGCTCACTTGAGTAACTTTGGCCATGCTCTTCTTGACCAAATTTCCCCCTTGTAATACGTATTGTGACCCCACCCTATCCCCGGGGGTCATAAATTGAACAATTTAGATTCTACACTACCCCAGGATGCTTCCACATATGTTTCAGCTTTTCTGGGCCAGTGGTTCTTGAAAAAGGAGATTTTTTGATAACCCCACCCTATTTTTGTCTTTGCTTGATTATCTCCCCTTGTAAGGGGACTTGGCACTTCATTATAACAATTGAAGCTCCCCTTTACCCAAGACTGCTTTGTACCAAGTTTGGTTAAAATTGGCCAAGTGGTTCTTGAGAAGCTGTGGATTCTAAAATGACTAGAGTAAAAGAGGACATCGACGAAATACATCAGAAAGAACAAAATTCTTATAAGACTTCTAGGAGAAATTAAGGCAAAGATGAAGAGGTTAGAGGGCATTTAGAGATTGAGGCAATTTTGGAGACTCCTCATGTAGTTTAGTCCTGAATGATGGTGGTTTACTCTGTTGAAGATGTGAACAAGTTGGTCCTGTGATGTATAGTTGTCAAGTTACTTATAGATTGAATTGAAGGGTTTACAGAACTAGAACTGATTAGGAGACAGATTTCCTAGTTGGGGATGCTAGTATCTACCATAAGAGTGTATTTTAGTAATTACAACCGCTGTTTGAGAATCTTGATGGAGATTTAGAAGAAAGACTTCTTACCTATAATAATTCCAAAAAACTGTGTTCAAAAATTTGCAAATGGAATAAACTTTTTTAAATAGACAATAACCCTCATATGACCAATAAGTCATCAACTCCAAAGGATTCAGATATTAGCCCATATTAAAATTTTAAGTCTTAGAATAAATTTTGTATTTACAGCCACCCTGTAAATTCAAAATTTACAGCATGACAAATACATCAGGAACCAGTGATTGTTACAAAGAGTAATGTTACAACCATGTTTCCGTTCATAAGGCTATTGTGGCAGTGATGAATAAGTCCCCATGGAGGTCATGAACAAGACTGAAGCTGAAACCACTTCAACACAGGAGGGAGAATATTAATAGGTATATAATGTACAGGATGTCCATTATTAGAATACCTTTAAACGAAATTATTATATCGGAAAAAGGTATTATCAACGAAAACATAAAGATGATTAAAGTATGATTGCAAGGTAAGAGATTCTGCACAAGATTATAGAGGGATTAGGGGAAAAGCTAACAAGATCTCTAAAACACCGATATAGAGATGTCCTAGACTTATACAATACACGCAGAGAAGAAATATACAGAATACAGAATCGAAAAAGGCCTTGCTGTTTTTGGCGAAGAAAACTAGCTTGTCATAAACATGTACTTGTACTGACATTACCATTCCTCACTACTTCATGAGATACTGAACACAGCATTAAAGAAGGAAATACAGAAGAGGGATGCAATATCACAAGACTAATCGCAGATCAAGTGTAGATGAAAGGGGTTCGTTCAGTTAAACATGGAACATAAAGAAGGTGATACAGTATAATGTAATTTAATGTACAAATTCATACAAATAATTAAAGTATGCACGTATCACATTACCAGTGGACGTTGAAAAGGAAATTTTTCACATATTTTATACAAAAATGCTATAGAGCAGATTATTCGAAAACGTCTGCAAAAATCCTCTTCTAATATGTCAAAAGAATACACGTCGTGCAAATTTAAGTAGAATTATTTTATTTGGTTGTGGATATAATGCTGTTATAAGGTAATAAATAATTCAGGCTATGCTCACTCTGCTGTATTAAGAAATACAAATACATTTCAAAGGAAATGTAAAGATCGGTCAGAGAAAAGTAAATTTACGATACAATCATCTCAGGTATTTTGTTGAATACAGGTCTCCAGACCTGGTACCGAACCATAACTGATTTTCTTGATCAACAGCTGTTGAGACGATGCCTCCATTAATACCAGTGGCTATTTCATGCATATACTTCAGACTTGGATTAATAATAAAGAGGGAAGTGTTTGATGCCATGATAACGTTCCCAAACTTGTCCACTGAAGCACTCGCTGAATATGCGTTTATGTTTACTTTGTTTATTTTTCTTGAGGAAATTTCACTGGTTTCCAAAGGGATGAATTCGCCCCCAAAGGTGCGAATGGCAACAAGTTGACCATTTAAGGAAATTATATGATTGATATCATCTGAGGATTTCTGTGTGGGGTATACGCTTTCAACTTCTCCATTCTCCCTTAGTTTGATAATAAAGTATTGTTTACCCTTTGCTCTATGTGCAACAACAAAAATTCTTTCATCTTGGCATAAAATTCCACACAGATTTGTTGCTAAGGAGGAAAGATCGGCTAACACTTTTTCATCTCCTTCTCTTGATATTGAGGTAATAATAGGTTTAGTAGCACCATAACCCTGTGTCACTAACACATCACCAGAAGGTGTACAGCAGTTGAATACAGGTCTGAAATCTAATTCAAAAGTTCTTATGACTTCGCCTGTTGTATTTCGAAGATGTACAGTGTTTCCCAAATGATTTACCCATAGTAGGTTGTCTTCAGATACACTGATTCCGTGTATGCATCCCTCCTTTTGTTCTAGACCTACCATGGGATGTTGTTTAACGGTAATTTTCGTTAAAAATAATTTGAAAAATTCTTCTTCAGATATTTCGTCTGTAAATACTACTGTATTTTGCATCTTCTCAACCAATACGCGTTCATTCTTAGGCAAAGTTTGTTTAATCACCTTTGCTTTTGACTTTTTACAGCTTTCAGCTTTAGAATTCAGGTTACTCTTAGTTCCTAATTTTTCTTCCTTTAGGACTGTGCTACTTTTATGAGAACTTTTAGCAAAGGTCGGACTTTTTACTCCAGGATTTGTTGTCCTTTCCTGCCTACTTTGTTTTTTCAAACTTGCTTTCTGATTCCTACGCGGAATTCTCTTTTTACCCCTGTATTTCTTTACTTGTAGGGACTGTTTAGAAGTAGCGTGCTTATTTACTTTTTCCTTCCTGTCTTTGGTTTGTTTAATGGAAGATCGAAGCACTCTCTGGGTCCTCTTCGTTTGAATTCCTACATCAGGAAGGGTGCCTTCTGATTTCTCCACGGTTTTTCTTTTCATTGGTGCTTTTGTTTTGACATCTTTGAGTTTTTCCTGTTTTTCGTTTGATTTACCTACACTTGTAGGATGATTTGAACGTCTAGCCGAAGGTGTTGGACTTCTATCTGTCTCTTCCTCATCATCCTCTTTCTGGATCCGTCTCTTCTTGTGATTTAGGATTTTTGTCGGTCTTTCATCTGAAAGTAAGTTGTACTACTACATAATTAAATTACTAACATGCTTTGTATAGTTAAAAAATGACTTAACGGGAATCGTTCTTTATGATAGAGAAATAGCTAAAATAGGATTAGCATTTTTTTTCCATAGGCGCTCCCCATGTAATTCTGAAAATGGCAAAAGATAAATAGGTCTACCCCTCTATACTATAAAATGTGTGATTTTATAGTATAGAGGGGTAGACTTACATATATATATATATACCGGTATACTTATCTTTCGTAATTTACAGAAGTACATTGGGAGCGCTTATGTTTTTTTCCTGATAGGAAGAACTAGGCTTAAAGATGTAATTTATTTTAAGATTTACAGCAATAAAAATAACACACTTTTTTCATATCAAATTAAAATATTGTCTTTATAATATTTCTTGATAGAAAACAAAAATCCAAGACAAAAAGTAAGATATATTAATCACCCCAATATATTAGATAAAGAGTGAAAATAGCGAACAATGGTCGGTCTATACGAGTACGCGATAAGGGGATAAAACAAGTATCCCCGGAATTTCCAAAGGTGGGATAAAAAATACCAGGGGTATCGCTTTGATCGGTAACACTCGCCGTCAACGCTAAGTATTGATCAAATAGCCAAAAATTATGCAATCAAATTTAGTATGTAAAAAAAGCCTAACAGCTTAACAACGTCAGAAAATGCGAAAACGACTGGTTATATTAGGCTTCATAATTCATTACATTGATAATAGTTGAAATTCACGTAATATAAACTTTTTTTGTCAGTAGCCTGTCTCGACCGTTCAAAAATTGGTCGGAATCAGAGCATGAATATCGAATAAGCTGATTCGACATATGTATGAAAAATTATTGAAAACATTGTCAGTATATACAGTAAGTAATCTAATTGATAAAAGTGATGACCCACCTTGTCCGTGTTGTTCACACTCGTACTTTCTTTTCCGGTGGGTATACGTTTTCCTGGGTTCCGTCCCTTTACCTACAGACCTGTCTCTAGTGGCAGCTTTAGTTTGTCTTTTATGTTTCTTCATTCTTACTTATCTACAAATCACACATACATGTACGTCATTTTTAACATAAATGGAACAGGAAATTTAAAATCTAGTTGCTATAATCTCTTTTACAGTGAATGGTGATAAGTCGATGTATCTTCCTTGAAGTCGATTCATTTTACTGAGGCCTAATTAAGCTATGTTGATTGAGTTCCACCCATTATCCATCCATGATCAACATCCATTTAAAGTGTATGAACTAATTACTACTTAATTTTATCTTGAGATTCACCTACTTTCTTTTTCTTTACCTTTCAGGTCCACCAAATATTTATGAAATGGGAGGAATGTCCTAAATCCAATATCTACTCCGAGTTGTCGTTCGTCACCCAATTTAGAACGATAACTCTTGGTTGATTTTGTTTGATAGACGATATGATATTGTTTATGTTTACACAGATTACAAATATCTTTACTGCTTTATAACGAAGATAATAAAATGACCCCCACCACCACCATAGGCTTTAATTTAAACTCTTTTTTTTTCAGAGGAGCTTTCTTTACAAAAGGTAGCGAGACAACATGATTAAATATAATCCGTAAATTCATAAAATTCATTAAAATATTTTAATGAATTTAATTAATTTATATGACAAAGTTAATTTCACTTATCACATAAAAATATACATAAAAAAATACTACTGCACTTAATTTACATATCACAAGTCGAAGTTAAAAGAATAAGAAAAAAATTCTCAAATGCATATAGTATTCAGAAATGTTTTAGAGCACGTCTATAAGAAATCTTTTCTTAAAATGTAAAACGTAAACATGTAGTTCTGAAATAAGAAATAAAACCTAAATATCGTTTAATTTCAACTGGAGGAGCTGTGGATAGAACACAGTTATAAGCTTAAAATCATAATTCACACTAAGCGCGCTCGGCTGTAAAAAAATGGAAAGTGCATGGTCAGAGAGAAGTAAATTTTTTAGTGCGATCATTTCAGGTATTTTGTAGAATAAACGTCTCCAGACTTGGTACCAAACCACAACCGATTTTCTTGATCAACAGCCGTTGAGGTGATCTCTGCAGATATACCAGTAGCCATTTCATGCCTGTACTCCAGACTTGGATTAATAATAAAAAGGGAAGTGTTTGATGCCATAATAACGTTCCCAAATTTGTCCATTGAGGCACTCGCTGAATAAAAGGTTATGTCAACTTTGTTTATCTTTCTTGACGAAATTTCATTGGTTTCCAAAGGGATGAAACCGCCCCCAAAGGTGCGAATGGCAACAATTTGACCATTTAATGAAATGATATGATTGATATCATCTGAGGATTTCTGTGTTGGGTATACGCCTTTAACTTTTCCATTCTCCGTAAGTTTGATAATGAAATATTTTTTACCCTTTGCTTTATGTGCAACAACGAATATGTCTTCATCTTGGCATAAAATTCCACACAGATTTGTTGCCAGGGAAGAAAGATCGGCTAACACTTTTACATCTCCTTCTCTTGATATTGAGGTAATGATAGGTTTAGTAGCACCATATCCCTGTGTCACTAACAAATCACCAGAGGGTGTACAGCAATTGAATACAGGTCTAAAATCTAATTCAAAAGTTCTTATGACTTCGCCTGTTGTATTTCTAAGCTGCACGGTATACCCAAAATGATTCACCCATACTAGGTTGTCTTCAGATACACCGAGTGCATGTATCCACCCAAACTTTTGTTCTAGACCTACCTTAGGGTGGTGTTCAACGTTAATTTTCGTTAGAAACAAGTTGAAAAAATCTTTTGCAGATGTTTCTTCTGTGAATGTTACAGTATTCTGTGTCTTCTTATCCAGTATACGCTCATTCCCTTGCAAAGTTTGTTTGATCACCTCTGCTTTTGACTTTTTAAAGCTTTCAGCTTTAGAATTCAGGTCATTGTTACTTCTTAATATTTCTTCTTTTACGACAATGTTATTTCGGTGAGAACTTTTATTAAAGGTCAAACTTTTTCCCCCAGGGTGTGTTGTCCTGCTCTGCTTAATTTGTTTTGTCAAACTTGCTTTCTGATTCCTAAGACTTTCTTTCTCCCTGTTTTTCTTAACTTGTTGGCAGTGTTTGGAAGAAGTGTGCTTATTTATTTTATCCTTCCTGTCTTTAGTGTGTTGAATGGAAGATAGATTCACTTTCTGGGCTCTCTTCGTTTCATATCCTACATCAAGATGAACACCTTTTGATTTCTTCAGAGCTTTTCTTTTCATTGTTTCTTTTGTTTTGACATCCTGAAGTTTTCCATGTTTTACGTTTGATTTACTAGTACCTACACTTGTAGGATGATTAGAACGTCGAGCCGAAGGTGTTCTTCTACTTCTGTCTGTCTTTTCCTCATTATCCTCTCTCTGGATTCGTCTCTTTTTAGGATTTGGGATTTTTGTTGGTCTTTCATCTGAAAGTACATTGTACTTCTTCATAATCAAAAGATAATACGGTATGAATTACTATACGGGATTTTTCCTCATTAGAAAAACTAGACTTACGGTCAAGATCTAGCAGATGACTTTAGATTAATGTTTGGGTGCTAGATCCACTATGACCTCATAATCAAGTAGTGGGAATATTACAGTTATATTTGTATGAAAAACTTCCGCAAAAATACGACACAATGATTGGTTATGTTTGCTTACAAGGTGATTACATAAATAAAAGAAATTACGAAATTTTGAATTAAAACGAGGCTGTTGAAATTCCCCTAACATAAACTTTTTTCTCAGTAGCCTGCATCGACAGTTTAAAAATTGGTCGTATTCAGAGCAGGAGCATCGACAAGGTTGAAGTCAAGATATGTATGAAAATGAAATAATATAATAATAAGTAATAAAGAATAATATTGTTAATTGATCAAAAAATTCGTTTAGGTCATCATTTCGTAGGTTCTATGGTCGATTCAATGACCTTGTCAGCAAATACAATTTATCATTGAGTCAAATGCTGACTGACGTTTTTCATACTAACTGTTAGTCCATAATTCATACGCTGAATTGATGACGGAGCACACGGCGGGTGTGACCGATCGTCAGGGTATGCTCAATCCTCCATGGCACCTGATCCCACCTTTGATGTTTTTGAGGTCCGTGTTTGCTCTGCTCCTAATCGTTTTGTCTTGTGGACTTTGATATTGAATACTGTTCGTTATCTCCATATCCTTCATCTCAGTATACAGTACGTAATCTTATTAATTAAAGTTTTGTCCCACCTTGTCCGTGTTGTTCACACTCATACTTCCTTTTCCGAAAGTTATACGTTTTTCTTGGTTCCATCCCATTTCTTACAGATCTGTCTCTTTTGGCAGCTTCAGTTTGCCTTTGTTGATTCTTCATTCTTAATTTCTCTACAGATCACAAATACATGTTCTTTATTTTTTACAGAAAGTTCAAATTTAAGTTGCTGAACTTTTCTCATATGTAAATTCCTCGATTCTTATTTTCATTCTTCTGAGACCTAATTAATAAACTATGTTTATTTAATTGTCAACATCCATTTAGAGATTCTGAACATGTATTAGTTTATCTGAAGACTCACCTGCTCGCCTTTTCTTTTATCAAGATTTTTCAGGTTCACCGAATATATATGAAATGGGAGGATGTCCTTGTCCTAAATCCAATATCTAATCCGAGTTGTCGTTCATCAGTCAATTCTGAACGATATCTCTTGGTTGACTTTTGTTTATAGACGATATAAAATTGTCTATGTTTGCACATGCAGACTTATAAATATCTTTAGTGCTTGATGACGAATAAATAGGATGACTACAAAATACCTTGATAAAAACCTTTTTTCAGAGGGGCTTAAGAACTAAAGTTCTTAAGAATCCGCTAGCCAAGGATATTCGGTCCACGCCCTTTCCGTAACCATGGATAGGACAGAAAACCTCTGCTACAGTGAACAAATTTGACGCAATAAAACTGTCGCTTTCTTTCATGGTTACCATGATACCGAATCATTTAAAATGAAAAGGTATTGTATATTACAGCCCTTTAACTCGTCATTACTGGAAAAAAGTACGCAAGTTACTGTTTCCAAAATTTTCAAAGATTTGAAGTCTAATTTGTATGGAATTAAGTACAACTTTTGCATATTCTTCCCTAGAAATGAATTATTAATATTTTTTATTTTTGATATCGATATTATTTTTATTTTTTAATATTGCACAGAACCAATTACAAATTTCAAGATAACAAAGCACGTAAAACAGGAAAGCAATTTTCAAGGCAATTATGTGGTCTTAATCCCTACTTTTCATTCAAATGTATCATTATGTCATGCCGAACGAATTCGGGGGACATATTGCTACTGTACGCATGAAAAAAATTATTTACCGACTTTCTCGCAAAATGCTTGGGCAATGCTGCGGGGACTCAGTCTCTCCATAGATGATGACCAGCTGTATTAGTGTCTTAGTGTGGAATACATTTTTAGTTTCAACATGGCTACCGTTGTCATGGAGACGTACGAATAGAAATGATAACAAGTAATTGCAGTTTTGTAATCGCACTTTAAATCTTCAGATTGACTATTTATGCCATGGGAACAGATTGAAAAGTAAAAATTGCTTAACTTCGTTCTCACGAACTGCTCAGGCAATTATATCAGAGAATTGTTTGAAACTTGTAAAGATTGTTCCTAACATTTTTTGTCAAAGTAATTTCTATTTTAAACAAGCTAAGAATTCATGTCCCCCGCTTAGGGAAAAAATCGGATCCCCCTGACTGAATTTGTCTGTATACTGAAGCAAATAAAATACATGTATGTCAATATGCATATAAAGATTTGATTGCTTATTCTTTATTATGTGTATAGAAGATTCTTTTTATATGGAATATTTATCACACTGTAATGATGATTTTATAACCTCATAAATTTTTCATTTCACATGCTGAATACTATTTTAGTAAAAAAAAAAAGTATTTAAAAAAAAAAAGATAGGATCGGCCGAGATTCGATCCCGGGACGTCTTACAATTGAAGCGAGTGACATAACCACTAGACCACGGAATCGCTTTACATGAAATAAAGTATATGCAGAACTGAAATCACATACATGTTATATATTCATATTTTCATGTTCGGTATTCTAAAAATTTTACACAATCCATGGTGTTTTATTTATTTAGCCTTTATTAAACAGTTCTAATAGATGTAATAAGAACATAAAGTCCGCACTTTAAAACTCTCCTCAGAAAAATAGCGACATGTAATACTATTACTATGCCATTTGAGAGGGGCGAGAGACGTCCTAGGGAGTTTTGGTATAAAATTACATTGCATAAGCTCCAAAATCTTTTTGAAATCATGATAGTGTTACACACAGACAGAATGTATAAATTTACGACCTTGAACTTTGACCTTTTGACCTCAAAATCTATAGGGGTCTTCTTTAGGCCACAAGGAGTTGTTATGTAAAATTTCATTGCAATAGCTCTAATGGTTCTAGAGATATCGTGTGGAAACGAAAGTGTTTTAACAGTATTTATGACCTTGATTTGTTTTGACCTCAAAATCAATTTTGTCAAAATTGCTAATTTCATATTTTAAAATATAAAATCTTTTGAAAATAGTTGTCTTAGGAATTAAAGAAACAGAAATGGGTTCAAATACGCACTTGTTTTCCGAGGTGGTTTGGACAATTGTGATGGAAATTCACAGAAATTATGAGAAGACACTGTTTGTTCAGTAAACATTCAAAAAATTCTAAATATCCACCGTTACCATTGAAACAGGAAAATGGTGATTTTTTAAAGAAATTTCATTTTTCTCATTAAATATCAAAGCAAACTTTTCAAATCTTAATTGGTTTAATCATTTCAATGTATCATGGTGGTTTCTGTATAAAATTGAACTGATGGTCAGTGGAAGGAATTCGAAACGACTTTTTTTATTCAGCTTACTCTTGTCTTGGAGCGTTTAAGTAGAAGGCTTAGAAAACCGTTGTCAATATATCACAGAAATAGGTCAATTAGAGTTCATCCTTAGATGTATCATCTATGCAAGTTTGCTTAACATAGGGCTTTACCTACAGTGTACTTTAGAATGAAGCTGCTTCAAAAACTTTAACCTCTTCACTCATCCGAAAAATGGAGGTCAGATTCAGCATCCGAAGCACGTTTATTAGTGTGCATCCTTAGATGTATCATCCATGCAAGTTTGCTCAACATAGGGCTCATAATTACTTGGAAATGAGACCTACACCAAACACAATTAACCTGTTCACTCATCTGGAAAATAAAGGTCAGATCCAGCATCAGAAGCCAGCCTGCTATTATGAATCCTTAGATGATTCATCCATGCAAAATTGGTCAACATAGGGCTTATAATTACTTGGAAATGTGATCTGCATCAAAAACTTTAACCTGAACCAAAAACCTGAACCTGAATCAAAAACATTAACCTGGTCATTCCTTTGCTGAAATTGCAGCATCTGAAACCTTGACTGGGGCAATGAAACACACTAGAAGCATCTTCCATGCATATTTGATCAATGTAGGGCATAGAAGTATACTTTTCATGAAAACTGCTCCAAAAACCCTAACCTGGGACGCTGACACCTAGGGTATTAAATAAATTCCTCCAACTTTACTGAGGTGAGCTAAAAATCAATTTCTGCCAATTTTCGTCCACGTCAAATAAAATATACTGAAACGCAACATCCTATTTTAGAGGGAAAATTAAATATATGATTTAATTTTGTATCTAGAGTATAGATATCTTCAACTTTATAAATATCGATAATTTAACGGTTGAATGATTTTTCAAGCCATAACCGGAAGTTAAGTTTGGGCCTGCTCAACAGAAATCAAAATTTGCATGTTTAATAAAACATTTGACTCAGCGTTTGTATCTGTTCATCATACGCAATTCAGCAATATTCCGCAAAATAAGATTTCCTTTCGTTTCCGGAAAGAATGCTTATAGGCTTCCTAAAAATGACATAAGTACGTATTTTCATTACTTTAGCTGAAAAATCTGAAAATAACGGTGATGGAGAGTTGCAGATCCAAAAATACACCACAACACGCCTCAACAGTATCATATGTATCATTAGCATTTTTTTCCTCTCAGATCTCGAGATTGATGAACCTATTGCATCGTGGAAATCAAGCTGCAATTGTTTTGCATGGCAGTCTTGCAAGCTGTGATGGAATGGCTGAGAAGGAGGTGTTTTAACAACAGTCATGTGTTACTTTCTAAAGTTTAAAGATAATCATGTTACACTTTCATCAATCTCTGATGTTTTTAACTCGAATTTAACCTAACAATAATCATTTTTGAAAATCCTTATTCAAAAAGTTCATTTGCTTGTTGCGTTTCTTTTGCTCTGCTTTAAGAAAAAAAAAAGAAAAATAACATTTTGAAGGAAATGTAAAGATCGGTCAGAGAAAAGTAAATTTTATAGTACAATCATTTCAGGTATTTCGTAGAATACAGGTCTCCAGAGCTGGTACCGAACCACAACTGATTTTCTTGATCAACAGCTGTTGCGACGATGTCTCCAGAAATACCAGTATCTACTTCATGCATGTACTCCAGACTTGGATTGATAATAAAAAGAGAAGTGTCTGATGCCATGATAACGTTCCCGAACTTGTCCACGGATGCACTCAATGAATATGAAGTTACCGGTATGTCAATTTTGTTTAGCTTTCGTGTGGAAATTTCATTGGTTTCCAAAGGGATTAAACCACCCAAATGATTGTAAACGGCAACTATTTGACCATTTAATGAAATTATCTGATTAAAATCATCTGAGGATTTCTGCGTGGGGTATACTTCTTCAACTTCTCCATTCTCCGTAAGTTTGATAATGAAGGAATTTTTATCTTTTGGTCTACGTGCAACAACAAATATTCTTTCATCTTGGCATAAAATTCCACATAATTTTGATGCGAAGGAAGAAAGATCGGCTAACACTTTTACATCTCCTTCTCTTGATATTGAGGTAATGAAAGGTTTACGAGCACAATATCCCCGTGTAATCAACACATCACCAGAGGGCGTACAGCAAATGAATACAGGTCTGAAATCTAATTTAAAAGTTTTCATGACTTCGCCTGTTGTATTTCTAAGCTGCACTGTGTATCCAAAATGACTCACACAAACTAGGTTGTCTTGTGATATACTGATTCCATGTATCCATCCAATCTCATTTTCTAGACCTACCTTAGGATGGTGTTTAACGTCAATTTTCGTTAGAAACATTTTGAAAAATTCTTCTGCAGATGTTTCGTCTGTCAATCCTATAGTATTTTGTGTCTTAAACAATATGCGTTCATTCCCAGGCAAATTTTGTTTAATCATCTTTGCTTTTGACTTTTTAAAGCTTTCGGCTTTAGAATTCAGGTCACTGTTAGTTCCTAATTTTTCTTCCTTTAAGACCATCCTCTTTTGATGAAAGCTTTTATTTGGGGTCGGACTTTTTACTCCAGGATTTATTATCCTGCTCCGCCTACTTTGTTTTTTCAAAATTGCTTTCTGATTTCTACGCGAAAGGCTTTCTTTCTCCTTGTTTTTCTTTACTTTTAGAAACTGTTTAGAATTAGTGTGCGTATTTACTTTTTCCTTGCTGTCTTTAGTATGTTTAATGGAAGATCGAAGCATTATCTGTGCCCTCTTCGTTTGATATTCTACATCAAGATGGGTACCTTTTGATTTCCTCGCAGTTTTTCTTTTCATTGGTCTTTTTGTGTTGATATGAAAATTTCCCCCTTTTTCGTTTGATTTATTTACACTAGTAGGATGATTTGAACGTCTAGCCGAGGGTGTTGGACTTCTGTCTGTCGTTTCCTCATTATCCTCTGTCTGGACCCGTCTCTGTTTGGGATTTGGGATATTTATTGATCTTTCATCTGAAAGTACGTTGTACTAGTTTATTGTTAAAATAGTAGTTTGATATGTACAATTCAAAATTTACTTTACAACATTTGTATCACACATAATTTTTTTTTATAATCGACAAAAAGCTTGCAATTGGGCTGGAATCTTTTCGAATAGGTGATATCACCTATTCCAATAAGTGATATCACCTTTTCGAATAGGTGATATCACCTATTGAAAATGAATAGATGATATCACCAATTTGAATAGGTGATATCACCTATTCGAATAAGTTTGCAATTGGGCTGGAATCTTTTTTAGATAGGTGATATCACCTATTCGAATAAGTGATATCACCTTTTCGAATAGGTGATATCACCAATTCGAATAGGTGATATCACTTTTTGGCAGTAAATACCAAAACGGCGCCCCATAGCAAGCCCCCCAAAAAAAACCCCGACCTAAAGGAAGGTTATATTTGCTTGCAAAATCAATGCATACTAAAATCATAGAAATTTCAAAATGTTGAATTTTAACAATGCTGTTAAAATCCCCGTAACAAACACTTATCCGTTAGTAGTCTGTCTCGACCGTTCAAAAATCTGTCATACTCAGAGCACGAGTATCGATGAAGGATATGGAGGATATGAAGATAACTAACAGTATTCAATATCAAAGTCCGTAGAACAATACAAAATAGGAGCAGAACAAACATCAGAGGTGGGATCAGGTGCCATGGAGGAGTAAGCATCCCCTGCCGACCGGTCACACCCGCCATGTGTTCCTTGTCATGATCGGAAATAAGGAAATTTTCTGTATGAAAAACATCAGTCAGCATATGACTCAATGATAAATTGTATTTGCTGAGAAGGTCATTGTATCGACCAAAGAACTTACGAAATGGTGACTTTACACTAGACTGCTGATATTCTTGTTTCATTAACTTAATTGTTTGTCAATAATTTAATCGTTTTAGAAATTGTTCATACGCAGAGCATGCTCTTGCGTATCGAATCAACTGAGATATAACACCGTATGCAGGCGATGAAGGTGTATTACTGCATATATTAAGTTAGGGAAGTTGACGATAGAAAAGTTAAAGTCATCACGTTTATCATGGAGTTTGGTTGTTAGATTTCCATTACTAATAATAAGTTGAGACGTAAAATCCATACGTATAGCTGACAGCAGAATATGATAATTATATAAATGAGGAAAAATTATGATGGAAAAGCTGGTCATCTCGTTTGTCGAACAATATAGTTGTTAGCTAGATCATATAAATCTATATAGTCTATTATTTGTTAAACGTACATCCTAACAGGAATCAGATGTTGAAGACCGTTTATTGTCTTTTACCCAAATTTATTCGACATATGAATGGAAATAACAAATGTTGATCGGGAAAACTTAAGTAATCTTATCAATAAAAGTGATTCCACACCTTCTCCGTCCTGTCCCCACTCGTACTTTCTTTTCCGGAGGTTATACGTTTTCCCGGGTTTCGTCCCTTTACCTACAGAACTGTCTCTGGCAGCAGTTTTAGTTTGTCTTCCATGTTTCTTCATTCTTAATTTATCTACAAATCACACATACATGTACGTCATTTCTACCAGATAAATGTAAAAGAAATTTCAAATTTTAGTTGCTGTAATCTCTTTTACAGTGAATGATGATACGGAGTCGGGACAGCTGAACTTTTCTCGAATGTAAATTCCTCGATTCTTATTTTTATATACCTTAGTTACGCTCTAATGATCGAGTATCAACAACCGTTTATTTCTTTAAAATTACGTATTTTTCTATTTGGTTACTGAATATGAACAAACTATTAAAGTTTTTAAATAAATTACAACATTCTTATATTTGGAAACTCACCTGTTCACCTTTATTTTTTACCAGTCTTTCAGGTCCACCGAATATGAAATTCAATATCTAAAACGAGTTGTCGTTCGTCGCATAATTCTGAACGATAACTCTTGATAGACGTTATATTTGATAGCAAATATATACATGGAATTTTGTAAAATTCAAAATGGCTCATGGAAATTAAGAATATTTTATATGATTGTAATTTGGACCTAATGTGGAATGCTCAGTATGTTGATAAATCATGCAAAATTGGTGCATTAGTTAAGAATACATTAAAAAATAATTTTATCCAAGACTGGAATCTGATAACGAACATGCCACTTCATTTGAATGCATTTCCGCCATTTTACGTGTATCTTAGAACCTCATGTACCATTGCTTAGTTTGAGAATTGAATTTGAGAAGATACATGCCACTACCCATATATTATTTAAAAAAAAAAAAAACCTACAGAAAATGTATCTTAACATTATGATGTAGATATGACTGCAAGCATCGAAACTTCAATTTTGAGGCTGTATCGAAAAATAATATTGAAACTTATCAATATCAATTAAAGCTTTACTTTTTATTGTCTTCTTTCACTATCTATACCACATGAACCAAATGTTTGAGGAAAACTTGAAGGGTTAGAAACTTGGGTGAACTGCATCTTCAACAGTGGAGACTCAACACATTTTTTTTTTTATCAAATAATATCTAGAATACATTAGCTAATTGAAAATAATTTTGTGTATCATGTCTACATTTCTGGATTTTAAAATTCAAATTTTATTTAAATGATATGGACAATAATATATAAGCAAATATATCCTTCCAGTAAATAATAAGCCTCTTACGAATACAGAGGAACCTTCAAGAAATATAACAGATTCTACTTTTTGATGAAATATATGAAGATAACGAAGAGTATTCAAGTGCAAATTCCATCAAGTAGAACAAATCAGGAGCAGAGCAAACACGTACCTCTTTATCTTCAGAGGTGGGATCAGGTTCCATGGAGGAGTGAGCATCCCCTGCCGCTCACTCCGCCATGTACTCCTTGGTCGGGAAATGACAGAAAAATTCCGTTAACAATTCAGTGTATGGCCAAAGCATTAGTATGAAAAACGTCAGTCAGAATTTGACTTAAAGTCATTGTACCGACCATAGATCGAGCAAAATGGTGACTTTAAGGTTTCAACAAAGGCCAACTTGTCCAAAAATTTATTTTTACAATGGCTATAAAACTTTGTGAAGTATAGAGTTAAAACTTTTAAAGTGTTTAAATGTATCATTGATTAACAGATAGAAAGTATCACTTAAAAACAAATATTTTAATTTTTTTTTTTTTTTTTGAGAACAAATATATTTAAAACTTTGCACATTTTCAAAAAATGCACCTGCTTAATTAATTCTGTACTTTTAATGAAAATCACAATAGCAACGATACTCTTTGTTTTTATCAATGAAGGGCAAGTTGGACGTGAATGGTCTCTGAAAGGCTGTTATTGAAAGCATGAAATGTATGCAGACAAGACCCCTATAAAATCTGCCATTTGCAATGTACATTCGGTTTAATATCTTAACATTTCGACAAAATAAACAGGGAAAACAACTTTTCAGAGGCTATCGAAGTCCAACTTGCCCTTCATTGATACACATATATTGTTCTGCAATGATGTCTGTCTTTCACTAAAAGTACGGAGTTAATTAGGTGTATTATATAAGCATTTTTGTAAAGAACTTTTCTCAATAAATTTTTAACGCATTTCTTATCAAGTGATACTTTCTATTTGTTAATCAACGATATATTTATAAATTGTGGAAGTTTTAACTCTATAAACCAAATAGTTCTGAAGCTACTGATAAAATAAATTTTTGGACAAGTTGGCCTTTGGTGAAACCGTAAACGAGACTGTTAATATTGCAGCTTTATCATCTTGTTTGTCAATAACCTACCTCGCTTTGGAATCTAATTGTACAGCATTTATAGACCTGTTGGGAGATATTAACCATGTATGTAAGTGATAAGGGTATTTTGCTACACAAGCAAGGGAAGTTGACGATTGAGAAGTTAAAGTCCTCGCGTTTATCATAAAGCTTTATAACTTGATTATCACTGTCTTTTACTAGTAAATTATCCAAAAATGATACATACGCGTCAGACTGTGATTTATCCTTTATTTCAAGCCCACTGGGATATATCGTTCGCATTAACTTCACTTGGTACTCATGGGCTACTATGTACACTCACCCGAGTCCCTTTTTTCCTACTTTTCCCTACCTTTTCAGGGTTTAATATTGTGCCACTTTATCTTTGCCCAGTTTCAATTTCGTCCCAAGTTTTGTTGAAATAAAAGAAAGATAATTTTCCTACAAACCGATTTCCAGAAACCCTTTCTGTCCCTTACCCCCACAAAAGAATTCTTATTCATTGACAAATCATATCTTTATGTTTATGAGGATTCTATATTTTTCCTTCTTTCAAATCTACTCCACAAGTTCCTTTTCTTTGCTTCCCTTTCATATCAACTTCATGCAATCGAATTCTTACTTTCTTAAAGTATTTTCCCACATATTAATCGTTAAAGAAGAATTGATCATTTAAACAAGCTGGTTTCCGGACATATTGCACCATGGACATAAAAGGCTTCAAGAAGCAAATATCAAATTTTTATTTCAGAAGAACATTACATGTACCTTTATAACTTTACAATATAAATATACCATAGTCATAAATACAAAAGAAATGCTGAAGAAACATTTTTTTTTAAATTTAAGCTTACAAATCACTTGTTTAACGAAATTAAAAACACATAGGGACTTTTATTTATTGATTGTCCTAACGTGCATAGAGCTTAAAAGAAAGAAAACATTTGACCAGAATTAAATTTGTAAATTAATATGTGTGCAGGAAATATATGGGGACTTTTCTGTGTTAATAAAACGCTGTATCACAGACAAAAATAAAGTTCTTCAAAAATAAACTGGACGGAATGTGATAAATTCTGGTCTCTCTGGCATTTGGACGTACAAGCCTTCACAACTTGTTGATATTGTGCCATTAGATCCTACAGGTTCAATACTCTGAATTCCGAATAATAATAACGTGTAAAATGATATGACGTTTTAAATAACCCAATGGTTTGGAATGGATAAATAATCTATGACAAAAAATATAATACTCTATCTTACTCCATGACGAAAAAACAAAAATATATCAATTTGTTTCACACAACAATTACTGCGGGTGTTGTGGGTATAATACAATATGTAATATGGAAAATATCGATAAAAATAGGGCAATAGGTTGAGCATTTGTGATACAACCAAGAAACAGGGACTATATACATATCACAGTTCACATTAAATATTCTGTATAATGGTCATCTACAAAGTTGTTATGGGAACATGTAAATATGATAGGTAAGAGAGATATCTACACAATGCTACAAATTATCCACCTCCTCTTTTATGTTGGATTTTAATTCCTTTCTCCATCCAAGCACACCAACATAACTCTATTCTTTGCCACTCAAAATCGGTTTATAAATAAAGTCTTGTACACTAATACAAATCATGCAATTATATATACTGAGTAGGGTTAGTAAATAAAAACAATGAAATTCTCTGGAAGTCATGGTGATAATATCCCAGCAACCAATGAAAATCCTCCTGTCACCTCATTTCTGCAAAAGAAGCAAATGGTGTGATAATTCATGCGCATGCCCATTCAACATTTACCAGTACGTATGCAGTCAAAAGAGAAGTTCTTTTTCTAGAGTTAAGTATTAAAAACTTTGCTGAGTAAAAGCTTGGTTTTTAATATTATAAGTACAGCCAGATTTCTAATTAATGAAATATTTTTTTAATTTTTGAAAAAGAACTTCAGCATTAAATAAGCAAGACAAACAAAGAAATGCACACATATTAATGCAAAAGCCTGCACCATAGAAACTCAGTGTAAGATCTACTGCACCATTGACAAATACAAGGCCAGACAGACAAATTATCTGTTATCTTTTATCAGGTTATTTGTACTTCAGAAGCTGTTAATTTCAAGTTAGCTATACAGTCATGCCAGCCTATCATCTCTTGGAATGTTGTGGTGTATAAAAACACACAGTAAATACATAAACTAGACAATGTTCCCCAATAACAACACTCTTTACTAGTTAGTCTTATCCCCTCCTGTTGCGGGGCCAGTATTGCCCCCTTGAGGGGCCGATTGGTCCGTTTGACCCGCTGCTGCCGGCGGTTTGTTAGAATCAGCAGTATTTGGGGGTTTGTCTCCCTTTGGAGTGCTATCATCGGTTTTCTGAGTAGTTGGTTTGTTTGAATCCGCTGTATTTGGGGGTTTATCCCCCTTTTGAGCACTGCTATCAGTTTTTTGACTTGCAGGAGCTTTGCTAGAATCAGCAGTACTTGGGGGTTTGTCGCCCATTTGAGCATTACTTTCGGGTTTCTTATTTGCATTATCTCCCTTTGGGGCAATCTGATCACTTTGAGTGGGTGCAGGGGGTTTGTTCTGTGCAGGAGGTGCATTTTGTTGCTTTTGATCTTGTTGTGCATTTGCCTTGTCATCCTGTCAACAATAAAATAAAAGCATTCATTTAAAATGATTGCAAGTTAGTCAAGTTTGCTTGTAATTTTTCATAAAATATATATCAATTTTTGATTTATTTTCAAATTAAGCAAGTAACTAATATCTGCACTCTAAATGTATTAGCTTTTATCTATTTCAACGCTTTCTAAAGCAGTTATTCTTTGCATCCAAAAAAACATTGCTGAAACTTAGAAAGACATTTTAAAAATATTGAAGTCTTATCAATTTTTACATTATTTTAAATGAAACTGGATTTACATTCTATATATTCTGAAATTTGAATTGACATATGTAAGAGATTTTGATCAAACATTGCCTTAAACAATATAAAAGAAAAATTTGCATGCATAAATAACATTAGCATAGGTACATTTTTTCCAGACATGAAATCTTGACAATGGATGACACACAAAAAGCAGATGATGCTAAAGTGCAGAAAACACACTGGACATACCAACCACACAAGTGATAGATCCCCATGGCAAAAGGTGGGGGTAAAAGGTCATACAAAACGACCCAACGTGACCTTCCACACTCTTATCAATACAGCAGAATATTTTTTTAAAAAGACTACATAGTACTTTACAAAAATCATTTCATTCACAATAATGTACAATATTAACTTATGGGAATATCTATGGGTAAACATTGATATCAAACATGAGATACTACAATACAAGTGACATTATTAAAACATTCTTAAACATTAATTTAACTGTCAAATTAAAATATTTTATGTGCATGGTCCATACTAAAGGAGGTTTGCCAAGAACTATATTGTAACAACATTACTCAAAAGCAATTTACAGTGTGTCATGCTTTATTTTAACCAACATATTAGTTGCTAAATCTAAATTTAATATGGGTTACAAAGACATCGCTATCCATGCAGTTAAATAACACTAACATTTAAGTATCATTCATGCCTATAAAATATACATGCAATATCTTATCAATTCAACAAGAATAAATTCAACATTTTATACAAGGAAAAAATGTAGATATACAACAATTAAATTTTTTAATTTAAATTTTCATTATTATCCTACATCAAATTACAGAGCAAATCATGATCTAAGATAAATTTTGTAAACTAAACTACTGCTAGTAAATAAGCAACTAATATGCGGGTCGTCTACAGGCAAACTACTATGTACATGTATACCACTGCCATTCTACCCAATATCCAGTAAGAGTCCAATTAAAGAAGTACCTCCAAATTATTATCTTCCTTAGATCATGATTGCTTCTGAAATATATAGTTATGCTGGTAAGACAAAATTTATATTCAATAACATTTGTTTATATAAAAGTATATAAAAAGCCTAGAATTAACGAAAAACTTTACAAGCTCATGCAATCTACAAAATACCATATTAAAATTACAACATAAAAATATTAAAATCCTATGTGTAAGTTGAGTTTGTGCATAAGTTGCAGAAAAAACAAGGTGCAATTTGCAATCAAAATATCTCAGAACATTGACAATGAAACAAAACCCTATAAAACTCATGTAAAACTATTTTTTGTAAAGCCATTACTGACATACAAAATAAAAATTTAGAAAGCAATTTGTACTTTTTTTGGGTCACATTTGAGTAAGGCTGTCAATAGCATCTACATCATACCTGTCTTCTCTTTTGACTGGGATAGGTACATCTTGAGAAGGGGTGGGATGGGGAATGATGGATCCTTTAATGCCCCTAATTGTGATAGACCTACCCTGAATTGCCCTTCCATCCCCATCATCACTATGAACAGGGGTCCCACTGCTGATTCTAGTCCCACCTGACATATCAGCACTTATCTGTTGAGAATCCATGGATTCTCCACTGACCTTTTCTGGAAATCTATTTCCAATTCCAATTGCCTTAACCTTGGCCTTTCCATCCCCATCATCACTGAACAATGTATGACCTGAATTTATTCTGAGACTTTTTGAATTAACCTCACTTTCTTTGTTCTCCTTCTCTTTCTCAGTCTTACAATCAATAACAGTATCATGGATTCTTTTTCTACTCCCATCCCCATCATCAGTTGCTGTTGGATTGTCACCTTTTACTGTACAATCATCTAAATTAACATCAATAGGTCTATCTTTTTCTTCCCCTACAACACCTGCATTAACTTTTTCTACTGTACCACTTTCGTCAACATTTAATACTGGATTGTCATTGTTGATTATACAGCTCTCTGAAGTTACACCAGACATCTCTGTGGGTCTATTTGTGTCAGATTTTTGCAACCCTACCTCATTAATTTCTCCAGTCTTCATACTAACTCTCATTCTATTCATACTACCATTGCCATCATCACTAAATACAGTTTTCCCACTATTGGATCTGTTAGAATTTACAATACTACTACACCTAGATTGAAGATTTTGTTCTTCAGTAGGGGTTCCCCTTGCAGTTGTCACACTAGCATTCTCTCCAGTTTCAATCTCATTGTCAAATTTCAAATCATTCTCACTTTTATTTCTACTTACATTTCCCAAAACGTCTGCATCATCTGATCTTGCACTTTCTCTAGTAGAACTTACCTCTCTGTCATTTGTACTGGGTTTTACCACAATCGCCATTTCATTCTCTTTCATATCATTTAATTCCTTTCCGATAAAGTCTTTCACTTTCTCACTTTCCTCATTTTTGTTTACACCATATTCATTTTGCTTTCTTACCAAGTCTGCATTTTTATCTTCATTCTTTCTTTCCTCAGGCAGATGAAACGAGACCTGCTTATTTCCCAGATTAGATGTAGAGCCCTTTTTAAATTCCCCATCAAGTTTTTCCTTTGATGGATATTTAGCCACAGGTTCTGAAATTGCAGGTGATGCCTTTCTTCTACTGCATTCCTCATTGTCCTTAAACAAGTCAGAGTTATCGAAGTACAGAGACCTACTAGCACTTGATTGAGATCTTGATTGTATACTTGGAAGACTCTCAAAATCAGGATCATTAGCAATTAAACTTGTTCTCATTCTCCTTGGAAATGAAAATGCAACCATTTCCTCTGAAAAAAATTTCCTCTCAGTTCCTTTGCAGTGGACAACTTCCGTTTTGGATCTAAATATCAAAGGAGTTGGAAGAATGGGTAAAGTTCTTTTCAATTCCAAAGATTTTGGACGTTTTCTATTTCTGTATGTTATGTCAAACAAATGACTATCCAAGTAATCTAAAGAGGCAGATTCAGAGTCTTTGTCATGTGATGTGATGACAAGGCTTCTTTCACGGACAACCCTTACTGGGCCTGTGCGTTTCCTTTGATATTGCTCATCTTTAATTCTGTCATTTTTGTCATGAATAAATTCAGCTGTATTATCACTTAATTCTTTTTGTCCACTTATTTTAATCTCTTGAGTACACATTCCTGTTGTTGCTGCCTTCTTAGAGTCTTCTTTTAAAGAAAGTGATGAAAAGTTTCTTCCATCACCATCATCATTTCTCAAATCCGAGTTCCTTTTTCTCTCCAAAACATACCCAATACTCTCTTGCCCACTATCAACATACACACTACATTCATTCTTTACATCTTTCCCCTGTTCTTGTTCATTACTCCCTTGATCTCTTTCTCCATTCCTTAAACATTTACTGTAACCAAGGTCACTCTCAACATCTCTTTTTATGTCACTTTGACTACGTCTTATAACTGAAGTTGTAAACGACAGATTTGATTCCCCTGGACTTGTACTGTCTTTCCTTTCCTCCTGATTTAAAATAAATGTACCTGAATTAAAAATGCCACTGTCAATTTTCTTTGCATCTTCTGGGATTACTTTATCCCTATTCCAAATCTGCCAAGTCCCATCTTGAGGTATCCATTTCTCCACTTCTGGATTAGAAGTTCTTGTAACAATTCCTCTTGATGCAGACTGTATTAATGTTATATTCACATCTCTCTGTATTATTTGAGGAACTGTCATCTGTCTTTTCATTGTTTCATTGGAGTAGCTACTGGTTACATTCTTTATAAGCTTTGGAGGCTCGTCCATTCGTGGAGAGAATGGTGATGTAGAGAAGGAGGCATTGTCAAAAGTATCTCCTTTGATTTTTAGGACACCTTTAATACTAGTTTGTAAAACAGTAATGTTTTTGTCATGCTCAGCATGTTTCTTTGTATTTCTTGTCATCTTTCTATACTGATATCCTTTATAATATGCCTGAATTTTGGAAGCTGCTTTTTGCTTGATGTCCATGATGTCAACAACATTGATATCTTCTTCAGATTCATGTGAGACTTCAGATAGAGCTGGAGTTACTGCTGTTTCATTTTTTGTACTTACCTTTTCATTTTCCACCATGGAAACGTAATTAAACACCTCTGGAACAGACCCTCTGGGATAACTTTCTAACTGGTCTGCAGATCTGTATTTTCTGACAACGAATCCCCTGTAACATGCCTGAATTTTAGTTGCTGCCATGTCCTGTTCATATTGCTTCATTGCCAGGGGTCTAGCCCCATGCTTTTTCAAGCTGGATCCTGCAGATTGTCTATGTTCAAACCTGCCATCACTGTCATCTCTAAATACTGAGTCATTCAGACTATTAGTACTTTTTTGCTTTTCCTTGCTGTATGAATTTCTACTCAATGTTCTCATTTTATGAAGACTTCTTCCATCTCCATCATCTTCAAATTCTGTATTTTGCGAGTTGGTGACTCCATCTTCGTTTTCTTTAAAATCGTTTGTGTTGTTATCCTCACAGTTTTGTTCTTCTAGAACTTTCTTTCTACAACTGTACCTTCGGTATGATGCTTGTATTCTAATAGCTGCTCTCTCCATTTCAAGTCCCTTGTCCTTTGACCTATCTGTAATTTCAACATTGTTCAACAATCTTTTCCTAGTTTGGAATGATCTGAATGCAGATTGAATTTTTAATGCTGCATGATCTCTTTCAATTTCTATCTCTTCTAAATTCTTATTTTGATTTTTTTCCTCAACATTGTCCAGTTTTAAAGAAGAATCTAAAGTATTGTTTACATCCACCTGAAAGAGACTTTTCCCATCACCATCATCTCCAAGGTGGGCACTTGCATTACTCTGCCTGTCCCCATCATCTTTTTTCTCAGTTGGTGAAATAGGTACAGTTAAAACACTTGCACCATCTCCTGCATGTCGTTCCTGTTCTTCAATTGGAGAGTTTATCGAAACAAGTTCTTTCTCCAAAGGAGCAGAAGCAATATTTGATACAGCACCATCATGATTTTCATTTGGTTCCAGTTCATCAAACACTATGGAAATACTCTTTCCATCCCCATCATCTCTTCTTTTGATATTTTTCAAATTTACCAAATTTTCTACATTATCTACAGTGTGCATAACCATTCTGTTTTGTAAAAAACTCTTTACACTAACTTGTAAGAATGTAATGGCTTCAAAATATTTTGCATCAATGATGTCCCTTTCCTTGCCTGATTTTTTTCTTTGTATTAGAGGATGCTGCCTTAAAGCACTCTGTTTTCCACCCTCTCCAACTTTATCAATATTGTGTGAATCATCCTTTGTCAAGCTTGTTGGAACAGACATCTTATTGAAGCTCTCTCGCACCTTCATTCCCCTATACCCTGCCTGTATTTTCATCACTGCTGTCTCCTTCTCTTCGATGGACTTGAATATATTGAAAACTTCTTCTTGTGCAAAGGATCTTACCTGAAGGATTTCTTTTCTGATCAATCGGTTTTTCAGTGCTAATCTTGTAAGACACATCCTAAAATTTGACTGGATAAAAGTCAAGTCCTTAACAATTTTATTCATTCTATAGCTTTGTTCATCCTGTGAATCTTCCTTTGTCAAGCTTTGGGAAATTGAAATTTTTACTAAGCTTTCTCGCACCTTCATTCCCCTATACCCTGCCTGTATTTTCATCACTGCTGTCTCCTTCTCTTCCATGGACTTGAATATATTGAAAACTTCTTCCTGTGCAAAGGATCTTACCTGAAGGATTTCTTTTCTAAGCAATCTGTTTTTCAGTGCCAATCTTGTAAGAAACATCCTAAAGTTTGATTGGATTACAGTCGAATCCTTCACAATTCTTTTTTCTTTATGCTTACCTGTGTTTCGCATTGTAACATATTCTTTGCATCTTCTCTGTATTATTGCAAGAGAACTTATTTTCTGACTACTCCATTCAGACATATCTTTCAAAAGAATCTCTTGTTCTTTGGTCTTTTCTTTCTGCAAACTAAGAGTAACTAAACTTCTGCTTGCACTTTGCATTAAACTGACAGCTTTCTTTCTCCTCTCTTCAATCATTTTAATTTCTCTCTCTTTCAGCATTCTTTCATTCTCACTCTGAGCCTTTCTTACAAGGGAAGCCCTAAAAGAAGATTGGAGAAAAGTAACAAAGCCACTGAATATCTTTTTAGCTTTAAATTTTGCCACATCAACACTATCTCCATCAAAATCTACTTCTCTTTGAGAAAAACCAGACCAACTCCTTGACCCCAGAGACAGACAAGATGCTGATGACAACCTAGAATTTTGCTTCAAAAAGGCTTTTACACAGACCTGAATATCAGTAACAGCTTTACGCCTTCTCTCAATTAATTTCAATTCATTTTCTTCATCTTCTATTTCAGTGTCATTTCTATTAATGAGATAATTTGATGATTTAGGTTTAACAGACTTAACAACAACTGCAGTTGGTGCTCCTGGGTAACATACCTGTTGATTTAATTGTTTTCTAGTTTGATGACCTCGAAAGCCAGCTTGGATTTTGGTTGCAGCCTTTTCCTCCTCCTCATTAAACTGATTTGTCTTGGTGGCAGGTGCTTGGTTCTTTTTCAGTTCTTCCCTTGTCTTGTGGCCTCTGTAGTTGGCTTGGATCTTGGTTGCAGCTTGATTTAATTCCTCCTCTTCTGCCTTCTTCTCTGCTAATTTCTTTCTTGTTTTGTGTCCTCTGAATCCAGCCTGTATTTTTGTGGCTGCTTTGTCTTCTTCACTCTGTTTCTGTCCACCTTTAGAGGTGGTCTTACCTGTATTAACTGAAGAGTTTTTAGCATCCTTTACCTGTTGATTTCCTTGTTGTTTCTTAAGGTCTTGGCGAGTTTTGTGTCCCCGGAATCCTGCTTGAATTTTCGTTGCTGCTTCATCTTCTTTCATTTCCTTTTTCTTGGTATCTGCTTTCGGTTTCTGATCTGGCTTCTTATCATCCTTTTTGGTATCTGCTGGTTTGTTCAGAGCATCTTTTTTGTTGGCATCCTCTTTCTGTTTGGCAAGTTCTTGCCTTGTTTTATGGCCTCGGTAATTTGCTTGTATTTTTGCTGCAGCCTGAACAAATAGTACACAAGTATTAATTTAGCTTCCTTTCAAAAAAATAGACTTAAATTACCTTTTCCACAGGTTTTTTTTTAAATAAAATAGAAAAGAATATTTTACTGCATTTATCTGTCATCTTTTCAGTTAATAATATTCATCTATAATTCTATACTATAATTTTAAAATAATAAAACAAAAACTAAAAGAAATATTACTTCTCGTTCACCCCTATTGTCTGTGGCATTCATCTTTACATTAATTCTAGGAATATCACAATTTGTGATGTACCTGATCTTTCTCTTTCTGAGTTGGAGACATTTGACCATTTCGTCCCACTGGCGTTGAGGACCTGTTTTGCTGCCCTATGTCTGGCAGAGGAGACACATTGTTGAACTCTCCTCTCGTTCCTGAATGTTTTTTAGGGGTAGGATCCTTTGAACCATGTGAATGGTCAGCTGTTTTCTGATTTGTATTAGATTTATTGTTGTTGTTGTTGTTGTTTGTTTTGCTGTTGGTTTTTTGGGTTGTTTCCTAATGTAAAATTGGATGGAATTTATTGCATACTGCTATCAAGTTTTAAAAGTATGTATGATTCAATCTCATGCCAAGGGTTTTGTATTTGATGGAAAATGGGGCTGGAGTAAAATTGCTCCTTTTTTGCTTTGCTTTTTTTTCTGTTTCTACATCACTTCAACACCAAGCATATTAGTAGCTATCTACTTCAAACAAATCTGCAGCAAACATGAATTAAGAATGTGTTAAGTCAAGATAATTTCTGCTATTGACAGGAAGAAGAAATTTTCACTACTGATAAATTCAAATTTTCATCATAAAACTGATTTTTTTTTAAAAAATCTCCTTACTAGATCTTAAATAATAACTTTAAACAATTCATCTGAATATATTTTTCTATGTGTAGGATTGAAAATGTACTAATTCAGGCAGGTACTTAATTTATTTAATCCTTTTACAACAATAATTCTGATAAGTTATCAAGTTCATGTTCTTAATCCTTTCTTAACCCAGAAATGAGAAAAAATGGAATTACCTTTTAAATTTAAAATGCATGCCCGATATAATACAAATAAAGCGTATCAAAACTTGGTTACAACCAACACCAAAATAAAATGTAGAAAAGTTAGAACTACAGCATTATTTCTAGCTATAACTTCAAACACTTTATGGTAAATATTTTCTAAGCATCAATTATCTTTTCCTTTTCACACACCCTCAATAATCATTTTCTACAGGAAATTCTTCACAAGAAAATCACTGTAATGCTGAATTCAATTTGACAATCTTTTCAAAAAAACTGTAAAGGCCAAAAGTTTAAAGCTTTAACAGATAAATATTTCCATTGTTCATGCTTAAGACTGCACAAAGCAAATTGAATTCAGAACTTAAAGAAAAGGTGACATATTGATTCACTTTTTCATGCAATGAGTCCTCACCATTTAGTAGTTAAACTGTTTGAAAACACTTACAGGAAAATCATGCAAAATTGTCTCCCCTTCCAAAAAATCTGGGATTGATATTTTATGGATATTGCAATGTTGTATGCATGCAAGAAAAGAGAATTAAGCAAGTACTGAATGCAAACAGAAGAAATAAAAGCTAACTGACCCAGAAATAAAAAAGAAGAAAAAGGAATTTCCTTTCACCTCTAGGACATGCATAATGTTCTGGGAAACCATGCAAGGGTGAGATACTAAGTACTATCATGCATTTCATGCTAACCAACATTTAGGTTTCTGGCCGTGGGTAGTAGTGGATGTAGTAATGAAACACTAACTACATCAAGGTCTGAGATATTTTTATTGATTCAATAATAATTCATGCATTGTTACTGTTCTACGACATGCATACATTTGTTTATACTGCATATCACTGAAGTAACCCATTGTTTACAACTCCTACCACCCTCCATAAACTAGCTTCAAAGGTTTAAAACTTAAATTTATTAGCTGCATATGCAGTAGGAATTACCCTTACCCTCTATCTAATAAATATTCATAATTTAAAGGCCAAGACAAATTTGTAAAGAATAAAAGCAGAAAGTAGAAAAGGAAATTACAAAGAAAGATGTGCAAATTGCTTTTACATTTAAAAAAAAAATTACAATATGGGATTTACGGCAAGTTACAGACATTGGGTTACTTTTACAAGACATGTAAATACACAAATATTCGAAACAGGAAAATATACTGAATTACACATAAAAGAAAATATTATTTTTATTATTAACCTAATAAAGCAACCATGCACTGCCTAACCAAATTTGCATAATTTTCCTGCTGTTTCTAGTAAGAGTGTGGTTTTAAAATTACGAGGTAGTACAGATTAGTAAATAGGCAGAGAGTGGGGTGCCTGGTGTTGAAGATTTCAACTTATAAATATATTCCAGGAAAAATTTATCTAAAATCTCTTGACATGGGAATGAAATGGGAGATGTTGTGACCAGTGAAAGTAGGGTGAACCTACAATTTCTTGTACCTTTACTTTGGTGGAGCAATTGTTATATTCAATTCCAACTTATAAGACTGTAAATTATAAAAAAAGCAAAAATATTATATAATTGCCAATAACTGACTTAAAAAATGCCATTTGTTTACCAATTACACAGTATATAAAAAGCAAACCTACATCTACATGGAAGAATGAAGAAATCTGGGAGGGCATTGACAAAGAAATGTTTAATAGGGTTAATGTTGGGTCACAAATCTCCATATAAAAATATAGTGCATGTGGACAAAATAAAAGTCAAAAAACATAAAAAGCAATGATGATGTGATTTTATAATGAAAGGCACTGTGAATAACTTAACGTTGTTAGATCCTTTGTATTAATTTATCAAAAAAGATTTGCAAGCTGTATAATCTTTCCTCACTTGTGACTTATTCTTTACCTTTTTGTCTGGTTTTGTACTAGATTTTGCATTTTTATCTTTCATAGAATTCTGGGGTGCCTTATTCATGATATAAGAAAAGAAGTATTTTATTAGAAATTTCATCTTTTAGTTAATTGATACATGTTCTGATTAAAATTGAACATGAAATGAAAACAGCATGATACATGTAGATGACTGCAGCAACAACAACAAACAGCAATGAAATCAATAATTTATGAAAAATGAGACCCTTAACAACACAAAATGAAAATGAACAGCTCAGTTTGTCTCATGTTTGCTCATTAGTCTACTTCTGGCATTCTTTAAATTCAATAGATAACTGTTAAAGGTTTTATGTCAAAAGAGTCATGCTGTTTGCTTTAATAGTGGACAGAGTAATAAAGATGGCAAAACTAAAAAGTATGTCAAGGTATGACTTTATTAATATTGCAACATAAATCAAATAACAAGAGGTTCATAAACCCTTTTTTCTTCTTAATGACTTGCACTGAAGTCTCCAAAACAGGCAATTACTGCCATTGAATTGTTCAACAAAAGCTAATTTGATTCTTCAAAGTATGAACCTAGATAGTGGATAACATATTAGTGTGCATGATTGATGGCCAAAAACCCCAATGCTTAGACAGAACAAAATGTGTACATGATTTGCATGAAACCTCAATGAAGGCATGATTTGCATGAAACCAATGAAAGCATGATATGCATGAAATCTCAATGAATGCATGATTTCCCTCACAACCTATTGAATGCACAATTTGCATTACAACCCAATAAATGATTTGCATGAAATCTAAATGAATGCATGATTCACAAGATACACGATATGCATGACAAGGTCACTGAAAAGATGATATGCATAACAAGGTCACCAAAAGCATGATATGCATGACAAGGTTACCAAAAGCATGATTTGAATGACAGAGTCACTGAAAGCATGATTTGAAATGACAAGGTCACTGAAAGCATGATTTGCATGATAAAACATTTGTGTAACAGTCTAATGACAGCATGATTTTAATAACAACCCTACGAATTTACAAAATGTCCAAGAGATGATAGAATGGCGATGAATTATAAACCACACACACTACACACGCTTACTTACCTTTGGTGTTCGCTGACTTTTGATCTTTTCATCCTGTAAAATGAAGCAATTGCAGCATTATCAAACAGTGGTCTAAATATTCAAGTATATTCGAAAACATTTCTTTTAAGAATAGACCAATCTTTAAGCTTTCATCAAGTTGTTATAAAAGTCAAGGCAAATCTACAGCATGCGTAAATTCACTGACTACAGAAAAGTCCTTCTTTCAGCATGGATGTATTTTTGACAAATGTGCATGCTTCCACATTGTTGTAATTAATCCAAAACAAACCAAATTTACTTATACTCACATACTCACATGAAAAATTTCCTTTTGTTGGTTAACTTAATCATATGATATTATTGGTGAACACTGTCTATTCTTATTTAAAGTTAACCCACAGTAGGTAATGTTAATCCATCACAATTGTATTTATAGTTTATAAACTGGGAGAAAAATGATTCCATAGAAAGAAGGACTTTCACTGCATATTGGAAATTAAAGTACACATAATATATGCTGCTAAGAATATACAGTCATAAGCACAAATATGTTTACATAAGCAAATGTAGTGCGCAAACACCAAAAACAAAGAGGCTATGTTATAAAAGAGACAAGCAGTTAGAATGAAATGAAAATGAAGAATGATAATTTAAAACACAGACAAGATCAGTTCTTTCCTGCACAATATGACTAGCTTTCCTATACACTCAATTATCTATGGATCACATTATCATGACATCAAGAACTAGTTCTTTTGTCATCGCCTGTCTAACCTCTTCATCATCATCATCATCGACATAATCAACGTATTCATCTTCTTGGTCACCTTCATCTGACTGCCTGCGACTTAATGTTATTTCGCTGGGAACCTTGGCTGTGTTTTCTTCTTCAAACAGGAATTCATCCTATGCATGGTGAGAATGAATGAAGCATGAAGCACACAGAGGTTAAAGACACTACAAAGTGTGAGAACAGATCTACAACTACATGTAGTTGTGCATGGATAGACATAACAAGTACATATATACACCCAACAGACCTCAGCTACAGTCAAGACCCATAGTCACCATTAGAAAAAGAATAGATGGGGAGGTTTTGACATTAAAATACGATATAAGATCCCCTCTTATCTTATCAGAATTGATGTTGTGCTTGAAGCATTTTGTCATTTTTATTTCTATATCTAACATGGGATATTACCAAAAAAGACTTTTGAACTGGCAGGGTTCCAAGCTTTCATTCAATATTAATTCTTACATTACTCCCCCACTACCCAAATGATTTCATAACTGCTCTTCCACAATTTTTTTTAGCAATAATCAAAAAGACTATTGCAGATATGAGTCAAAAGGATCTATCAGATTCATATTTCATAAATGCTCTAAATATTATGTTCTACACCAAAAGCAGGACAGTTAATTGCATTGAACCTAAACTATAATATTGTTTTTAAAAATTTAACTTCATGCATTTTAGTCTTGAAGCATTGGTTAATTTGCAGATCTATACTGAAGAAATAGAACTGGGGGGTGAACCCCTGGGTCTGGGATACCTTCACCTCCTCCGCGGGGACCTGATCTATGGGGAGGTCTGTCCGTGTATCTTTTGTCTCCCCTACCTCCTTAGCTCCCTTTGTGTGTTTGTTTGTGTCCTTAGCCTTAAAGACACCACCATCATCTGCAAAAAGAATGGTTGAATTCTTTATTGCCAGTATATTCATTTCTAAAATATATACTATAACAGAATTGTTGTTTTTCAATTGCAAGCAGTAACTTGGGCTTATCATGAAAACAAGATCTTACAACATGAGATGGAAAAAATAGTTTGGGAAAAATGCAAATAATTTGTTCTTCTTCCAAAACGCTGGACAACATTCTGAACATAAGTTGACCTCTGACCTTTATCATAGTCTGTCTGCTTGGGTTTCTTCTCTGGGGTACGTTTATGTTTCTGTGGCTTTGTGTGAATTGCACCGTTAGCTTGATTGGGTTTCCTCCTGTTGTCAAACAAGTTTTAAAGTTAATATCTACTAATTTGATATAATTAATTGAGATACAACAATTGAATGTTGACTGTTTGTTTGCTACAACATTTGACTCTGAGCTGTTTGGTGTCTATAGCTTGACCACGAATGTGGCAGGTTTTGGTTTGTTTTTTTTTTTACCTATATTCTGGGTTTGATGCTACTGAGTTGTCAGGGGAACCTTTGTAGTTTTTGGAACCAATGGGAGGAAGGGTTCTGTAATAAAATACAACAAACTTCACTTGACATGACCACTCAGGGATTCCCTCTCAATCACACATCAATGTCAAACATTTTAAAGACACGAGTATACATGTGTTAAGTAGGGTTATAAACAAAGACTTTTTATGAAGATTATCTTTGCACAGTCATTCATTTCCACAAAATATCAACACAAAGCCATAAGGAATACACAGTGTTACACAATTAAAGCTATCTTCTGGAAGAATAAACATTTTGTAAAGTTCAAAGAAGCAATAACAAAATAACTTCTGACCAATTTGTTCAAAGCTTTAAATTTCGACAGTAGTTCAATGCCAAAAGATATAATTCTCTCGCTAAGGTATTCAGAAAATTACGAAGGAGCTACTATAACAAATTGATAATTTTGTCTCTCTCTTTTGGAATAGTAAATAAAAATCCTTCTTATTCTGTTGATAATGAAATAATCACAAAACATTTAATACAGATACAGAAATTACAAATTTAGAGATGTGTTCAAAATAAGTAAAGGCAATTTTGATGAGATCTACAGCATTTAAAGTCCATTAAAATTACATTCTCTGGGTAAGAGACAATACAGTAGCTAAGGTAGCTTGTCCTTGGATACAGATAGATAAGTAATGTCAGAACAACATTTTGAGGTGTTTTACCTATACTTTCTCCTAATCAGGGATCACTTACTGCTATCTTAAAAAAAATTACTCTCTCATTACTTATCATCCCTAGAATATAATTTTAACAAGGTCATACATGTTAATCTGTTGATTTTTCCACACAGATTTTGAAATGTTTTTTTTAAAAGGTTGCTTCATTTTTTCAACTCCTTTGAAATAGGTTGTATTTAACCATTTAGTTTGTATTTAAACATTTGAAGTATTTTAGCAAGGCTGCAATTTGCGTTTTTTTAATGTAACTATATATTAAGCTTATATACATGTTATTGGTCACATAAGACAGAACATGTTGTTATGTTCAAAGTTATGTCTGTTAGGAAATGAATGATGAGGAATGCAGCATTGTTACTATATTTGGTAGTGAAGCAGAGAATGGGTAAAATGATAATGTTAGATAATGATAATGAATTGTTAGATATGATATACCTTAATGTATGAAATTCACTGAAAATGAACAAAACAGTAAAACAATGAAAAATGTATGCTTAAATTTATTTATGTTTTGTTTTTGTTTTTGTTTTTTTTTTTTGCATTCAAAGTACACATAAGTACTGGGTTTAAAATGTCAGGGAAAAAAATGAAAGTTTAATAATTATTGCATTCAATAAATATATAATGCCCCTCACCCTCCATATATACTAGACTATAAATATGTTCCATATATATTTTACATGATATATAATAGTTTATTTATGGTAAGGCTATACATATCCCGTAGACCTTATAAAACTTAATACAGTGCTATGCATAATAAAGCAAGCTGATATAAATCTTGCCCAGCATGATGGGAATTTTGTCCTGTTTGATTAACTTAACTTACTTATTCAAAATCCTAGGATTAAACCAATGATCCATGTAATTGAGGTGCATGCAATATATTTAATTCCTTTTTATTTATCGTATTAACATCCTAATTGCCCTGACTGAATAAAAAGGACTTGGTCTAACATTTACCCACATACGTTTTCATTAAAAAATTTTAATTAAATTAAGAGATGTTGAAAATAAATGAAGAAAGGATCTGACGACATGTGTTTTTTAAATTTTTTTTTTTTAATCAAATTTTAAAACTTTCTTAACATTAAAGAGCATCCCACCCCAACCCCCTAAAAACAAAACAAAACAAAATACAACACCATTTTAAGACTTGAACAAAAACTGTGTGATGTTAAAAAGATATCACAAAGTTACAATGAAAATGAAATGGAGAAAATGAACTGAGAATTAAACATGAATTATTTTAAAATGAGATGAAAAATTAGACAAAAACCAAGCATGCTGTTTTTGCTGATAATACAAAAATAGGTAATATATTACAGTATATTTATATGGCCACCCATTTATTACATGGTGACCATAAAAACATTAGAAAAGGGGGAAAGTGGGAAAGGCGTGCATGTATAAAAACAAAACTTCACTGCAGGATGTTTACCTAGGTCGCTTGTTTTCCCGAGAACCATTCACATTTGAGCTAGAACAAAAGTTTGATCAAAGACAATATTATATTGTTCTCCTAGTCAGCTTAAAACTTTAATTTCATTTCTTCAATTGAAATAGCTTTCTGTTATCAATTGCAGAAAAAAATCACTTCAAATCAAGTGCAAGTCTAGCAGTACATGTACAAATGCAATAGGAAGGACTTAAGACAGCTAGAGCAATATGATTCTGAATACATAGATGGTAAAAGAAAATAAAATGGGTTTTTAAATGAATATATTCAGTACCTACAGTTATCAGTAGATAAAAATGGGGTATTATAATTAAATTTTCTAATGACGGCAGACTATACATTTTTAACTGAACAAAATGATACAAACATGCAAATAACTGTACATGAAATCGACAAGAGACTCTACAAGATTATGATATATTTTTTCTCTCCTATATTATCTATAACTATTAAGTACCATGCATTTTTGACAACATATACAAAATCACTGATTAGAACTGCAAATGAAGAATTAGATGAAGTCAAAACCAAAGTACACTGGTACTGAGCTGACAATCTAAGTGTTTCTATAAACCTCTTGGTGTAACTTTTCACTAACTCTTGTAGTGTTTTATCACTAACTCATGTGGTGTTTTATCACTAACAATTGTGGTGTTTTTCATGTTTCACTATAACTGCAGTCAAGTGTCAGTGCAGTAATTACAAACCTTTTATGTCTGTTTGTATAAATTTTATAATGTTATAAAAGATATGATGCAAACCATCAACCACAATGCACTATATAAAGCATATTTGTATATTTATGCTTTATGGTATTGTATATTGAAGTTACATATAGTAATCTGTTATATTTATTAATTAAATCCGTTACATTTTGAAATCAAAAATATTCTCAAGATCTGTTCATTGGGCATCAATCTCCTTCTAAAACAAGATTTAGATGATATGTAATCTATGCAAAAAGGAAATATATTTTATTTAATTCATAAAATTTCTTTATTACACCAAATTACAAGGATCAAAGTGTCTTAATTGTCAAAGAATTTAGTGAAAAAGGACAGTTTTTCTTTTTTTCCCCCTTTGTTTTGATGGGAGGGGGTTGGTTATGGGGGAGCTAAACAACAAATAAAAGCATTTTCTCATTTTAACTTATGATTTGTGTTTAAAAATTTTCTATTAATTTCAAATAATGATAAAAATATCCATATATAGAAAAGAAAAATAAACACACTCAATGGAGCCAGTGACATAATAATGTGACCTTTAACAATTAAGGATGTACAACACACCTACCCCAAAAAATTCCTGCAATTTTCGTTATTTTTGTATATTTAGTACATGACTATATCTACTGCATATATGCACAATTTTGACAAAATCGTTCGAGTGGTTTTTGGACAGGAACTAAAAGTTACCCCCCTTTATTGTTTACAAGGAGAGAAAATGTTTAATCAATGAACTACTTAAACCTTGATTTTCAAAAAAGCCAGGTTCGATATAAATGTCAAATTTCACTGGCTTATTCCCTTAACCATTTAACACAAAAACATTGTCATCTTTTTGATATACATATCATCAAAATAATTTTTAGAGACCTTAAACTGAAAAACTATGAATTATTTAAGCCTTGAAAATTGCGTATTTTTCAAATTCAAAATTTTTTTGTGAAAAAACCTGTCGTTTAATTTTACTAAAAAACTTTCTTTTAGGTAGCTGGTAGTAAAAATAATCTTCATAATTTTTTGTATAATTTTTGTACGATATATTTTGATTTAATAGCTAAAACTACCCCCTCCCCCTTTCTCAATAAATCACGTTCCCTCGCGTCTTTCAGACGGGGGTCGATCACTTTGTTATATGAATCTACAAATACACATTAAAAAAAATTAAATTGGAATATTGCTTTTGCTTCAAAAATATATTAACTCACAAATTTAAAAGTTCTCATATGTAAAGCGTATTTAAATGTAGATTTTTAGGCAATTTTTGAATACCCCTGCTACCCCCACCCCTTCCTTTTTTGCGTCGCAGACCATTAGCGTTTGACGAAACGTCGTTTACAGTGCAAATATACTGGTATTTTCTAGGATCCCGGAGGTATGCATTAGTTTTTAAATTCATGAATGCAGAATAAATATTGACTACTCTTTTTATATGTATCAGGAAAAAATTACTGAAAGATTTTAGTGTTTAGTCCATATACGTATGCGTTATGCATTCCATATCACATGAAACCTTACAATTCATTTTGTTGAACTTGAATATGTTGATTTTTAATTTTATTTCTTTAATTTTATTCATTATAAAAATGGTGTATGTTCAACTCTCCTGTGATATAAATGGAATAATTGTAGTTTCTTTCATGTCATAATTTCAAACGGGACAGTATGTGGCCGTGGGGATACATCGACATTTGCGTTAGATGTACATACACCCCTCATGATATTGTACGCATTTCTTTCAATGTCGTCGCTTCTAACGTTAAAATGAAAATTCCGTATTCGTCCACATTAACTTCAAAATATCAAACATTCAACTCTTCATTTATTTCAATTTATATCAAATCCCACATTGATATTTTTTTAAAAATCTTATAGGCTACGTTTTGTTTTGATTCGAGGAAATGCGAACCGACATTGTTGACAGAAAGTCAAAGTTACGATTTGCTGCAATAAGATATTCATAGATGCAGATAATTTCAGTACAAGTGAACAATTCTTTTCAATTCTATACTTACATTGTGTATATGAGGTTTATAGTATTCAATTCTCGGATTTATCAGGTCTTGCTGTAAATGTATCTGATTCTGTGGAAAACCGTGAATAAAGGGAGGAAAATAAACATCTCCTACATTTTCAGAGTTGTTCCTCTTTGATCAGTAAGGGTCTGAGAACAACATCGATTTTACATTGTAAAAAGTTTATTGTTTATTTATTGTTGTTTTTATTGAATTAAAGAAGAAAAACAATATTTATATCGTGTGTGCACAAATTGTAATGAAGACCATTAATCGGAATGTTATATAGCCAATTGTACATAATGAAAATTTCGGCAATGTAAAATAAAATTTTCAGAATAAAAAAAAACGCTGCGCTTTGATCAAAAATACAATTTATTGTACATATGAAATGAAATGAAATAAACATTAAGGGATGGTATTTTACGTCTTGCTTTTTACGGAGTTTAATCGGGTTAATTAAAAAAATACTTATTGATTGAGTATGGTACGCACAATCACAGCCAAGCCCCGTATCCCAATTTTCTTTCAAGATTGATATACATCGGGATCGTTTTACTCGTCGTTTTGACGCTTTATTTTTTACGTTAATTTGACGTCACGTCAAACGTTCAATTGAAATCGCAAGAGTTATCTCCCCCAGTGTGTTGTACGTCTTTAAGTACTAGATTTATTAACTTCTGCAATGTTCTATGATAGAAAGAATTATTTCTAAGCAGTTACTACATGAAATACTGTGATATATTTTCATGCAAAGAGTCTAATAAATCTAAACAAAATGTCTAATGCAAGGGTTTTATCTAGAATATAAATGGATTTTAATAGCTTAAAATTGATCTATATACAAATACACTCTGATAAAAAAAAAACTCATTGAGCTTTGCAGATGAAATCTATGCTAGCCTGTAAAAACTAACAAATACAGCTAGAAAAAAATCTGATATAATGGATGGTCAAGTAGCATATATGATGATTATGCTATCTCACCTTTCCCAGATAAATTTAGGTCTCCTGCAACGTTATAAAAAAATTCTCCTAAGTATGGCTATTTTAGTTTCATTTTGTTTTAAAATACGATTTTTACCTTATGTTAGAATAAATATTCTCAACTGTTAAATTTTCAAAAGTTTGATTTATGACTCTTAAATTTGATCCATAAAAACATTTAGGTTTAATTTTGATATTTTCATGAGGACAAGAGGATCAAAAGATCAGTGTGCAAATTTTGATGTCACAGTGTCAGGAAGTAACAAACCAATGTAACTGTTGCTAAATTCTAAACCTTACAATATCTTAGAGCATTCTACATTTTTCATCTGCATCAATATAAAATGACTACACTAGTAGTTTTACCATTATGATACTAGAGAAAACAACCTGATATTTTGTTAATAAATAAGCTTTTTCTTTCCTAAACAATTTATGCCTTTATTTGTTTTTGTGGTTTTTTCTTGTTTTTTTTCTCTGGTGTATCAAAGCAATAGGTGAGTTGAAGTAAGCAGGAAGGTGTGTTGTTTTAGAGCTTACACTGATCTTTTTGTCCAGTAAGATCTAACAAGCCAGGTACATAAGGAAAATTACTGAATTAATAACTGTACCAAGCCAGATTTTTTTTTCATTTAATAAAAGATATATTTCCACTGATAAGATGCTATAATAAAAGATAAAAGATATATTTCCACTGATAAGATGCTATGCAGAATGTTTTGGAATTATGTTTTTTTTGTATTTTGATTAAAAAGCTTTAATCAATTAATATTTCATATAATAAGCCATCTACTATCATAATACCTTAAACTCAACTGTGAATAACCAAACAATAAATTGGCATACCAATATAAAAGTCCACTATAGATAAAGGCAGGACAGGCAAGAGAAAGAAATTAATATGGACTACTCAATACAATATTTTGTGTGCATATTTTGAGTGCAATGGTTGGATAGGAAATATAAGCTCTATACGTACTGTAGGGGGCGTGGTGAGGGGATGACTACAAAGTTTTTCCTTCCGTCCCTGGTGTATGTCTTGTGCTTATATCGACTGGCTTTGTTACAAGCGACGTATATGTGATCCTCAATGATATCATCAGCATTTGTACAGACTACCTCAGAATCTGTGTCCACTAAACTGTAATCAACAGAACCATTAGTTGAAGTACAAGGTTACAAACCAACTGTTCCAAATACAGTCAAACCTCAAAATGTCTAACTCAATGGAATCAAGATAAAAACTTTAAAATAGCAAAAGATTTAAGATATCAGAGATAAAATTCCTGAAGAATATGATGTTGGCACATCAAAATTCAGGAAGAAAATGATGTTGGCACATCAAAATACTTCAACATATTCACAATATTGGAGATATTAGTGTTACAGATGCCAAAGTTCAATTGTACATTATACATCTGTAAAACATATCTGTCCACAAAATAAGTGAGCTAAGAATGTCTTTTTCCACTGTAATGTGTCTATATATATCCACTTACTATTCGACTCGGTGGTGAACACCCCTCTCCTCCAGGTCTTTAGCCACCGTTTCTATGATACTGGGGAGATCATTGGCTTTCTTGGCAGGGATTAATATAACATGAGGATGATCAATTTCATCATTGTTAATAGCAACCCTGTCAAAAAAATGTCCAAACAAAATTACAGCTTTATCACTTCTGATTATTTCAATATGTTCTTCAATAAACAATCAAGTTCCTCAATAAATTTTATCGAAGAAATTGCAAATTGCAGACTTTATATTATTGAAAGGTATAATTATACTTACGTGATACGCTTGGCTTTGCTAGCGAAAGATTGACTTTGTCTAAATCTGGCATCTTGTCGTATTTTGCTGTGAAAAACTGGTTCAATCCTATTCTGTAAATGTAAAAAAAAAATGCATTGCAGTGTTTCCTTTACATCAAATAAGAATGAGTACAGTGTAAACTAATAAATTTTTTTTTTGTTATAATGAAGAGTAAACCAAGACTATGTCCATGTATATCAATATTAAACAATTCAATAAGATCTGTATTATTAAAAAAATGTTCATTATGTCCAATAGAACATTTACCAGAACATGATAGCATTTAGTTGTTAAAGGTCTTGTAAGAACTGTTTTGCAAAATCCGTTTGCTCTTTGACAAACTATGAACTCTGTCATATTTTCTTTTAGTTGCCTAAAGTGTATCACAAAAAATCATATTGTTCGTTCTGCTGGAATATCTACACAGAGACGGGATGCTGCACTTTGTTCCACAAAGTTATACCATACTCAGTGTATTATATATGAAAATATCGAGGTTTATTTTATTGGTTTGTTTGACATTGTTCCAGTGAACTTGATCTTCGCTTACCCTTTGGGAATTCTTGTGTATTATTCTATATAGACAAATGCAAACTGTGTGGTTTTTGTATTACATATTTAGTTCTTGCATTAATATACAATAGAATCACTGGTGTAATAATATTTTTGTCTAATTTTAGAAAAATGTTTGTTTTATTGATGACTTAATTGTTGAAGAGGTTTAAAGCAGTGAATCAGCTTGTCTATTGACAAAAATTCAGTCATAGAAGAAGACAGTTAAGAGGAAACATTCTGCATTCATTCATAAATTCCATTAACCAAAACCATAAATGTATCCTGCTCGTAATACCCAAAAGAAATGATCAATATAGTTTTCTTTCCATTTTCCTTTTAAAGCCAAAGTACTGTAAACCAAGTATTGTACGCGTGCGTATTAATATACGCTATGTACGCGAGTAACAGCATTTCTCGCGGATATTTATCGTCCGAAGCGTTGTTCATTATATATATCATGATTTATTTAGAGTTATTTGCCCTTTTTTCAATACCGATCCCGACGGTTCAACAAGTAATCACGGAAGATCTTTACTGTTAGTGTACAAGAAGCAGTTGAAATTTAATTACAAACATTCAGAAAAAATAAAAACGAATGGCAAATCTAAAACTATTTGTCTAAAAATGATTAAAATGTCAATAATAATTTCAGCTTGTGTTTTTATTGTTCATTTATTGTTAAGACGAGTCAGAGATAGCCTGGTTAATTACGGTTAATTATTGCCCAGTCCTGCTCTATCCCAACCATTTATAAAAATTGCCCCTTGGCTATGTAGATCTTAGAAAGCGTCGATTAACCAATTAGTATGAGGCACTTTTACAATTGAGAGTTTTAAATCAATTTTAATCTCCTAGATTTTTTCCCCCGATTTTCATTTGAGCTTTGTGAAATGCGTATGAAGTATACTCATGGTAAACATTTTACCCACTTTAGGGGCGGATATAAGAATTTAAATGGATGCAATGCACAGAATGTCTTGAATAATGCGTAAGCAGACCTCACGCTACCATTTTACCTAGTTTATGGCCGGATATACAGGTGACTCTCGATCTCTCGAAGTTCAAGGGACCGCAAGAAAAGTTCGAGAGATCGAGGGGTTCGAGAGATAGAAAGTTAAAAAAAATCCGGAATTTTCAGTTCCGATCACCGAAATTCTACTTTTATAGATACCGGAAGTATATGTAAATAAAGTCATTGCACGTTTTCAATCGTATTTGACAGGTAATTTACGTGATATCAACAACAATGATTGTATTTAGAATAAATAAAACGAATTTCTAAAGTTTCAGTATTTATTTGTTCTTATTTCATGTTGACATGAAACCCGAAAAGCAACGGTTTGGCTTAACCCGCGGCTTGATCGGGACCTTCACCAGTGTTCACCAGATTTTTCTTAATCGGTATTCAGTCCTTGAGAAAGGAATTTTGTTGTGCAATATTTGCCATGCTGCAATTATTTAGACTCGATTTAATCATAATAAAAGTTCATAGTCTATCGGAACTTACTGAAACGAACATCTATAAATTAAATTTCAAAAAATTATCGTCTCGGTTTCAATTCGAAATAAGTTGTAAATTTGTTTATAATATACCCTGTAATTAATAACCAATTAATTATATCAAAACAAGGACGACCCACAGGTGTAGTATCATCTATGTAAACACCCAATTTACACCTCCATGCCAGCCCAAGGCGTTGGTTGTTTCCAGTAAGGTACATCAATTTCACACTTGATTGCGTGTATATACACGCAATAGAGATAGAGAGTAAAATTCAATGAAATATGTGTAACGGGAAAAATTTTGGTTTATTGATGACTTAATTGTTGAGAGATAAAGCAGAGATCAGCTTGCAGTAAATTTGCTTAATTATATAGAGGAAAAAAACGGAAACATTCACATTCAGAGATCAACTAGAGATTCCATTAACCACAACCATAATTTTAATTTGATTCAAACATACTCGTGGAAATAAAAAAAAAAGTATGACCACTCGTTCGCGGAAATAAATTCGCATTTTCCTTTTAAAAAATGACCATAATACTTGGTTTACAGTATACAGTCCCTAAACTTGTGTCAAATAAGGTGAGCTACGTAGTACTATGTTTTATATAGTTGCATTTTACATCAAATACACAATACATGTTATATATGAGTTTGGGTTAATATTATCTGACCATGACATTTGACTTGTCAACCTTTTTCATTCTCATTTGAAGTCCTTATTAATCATGTTGAGTACTACATTGCCATACTACATAGTAAATAAGAAAATTTGACTTTGGAAATGAAAATTAATGTGAATCTACATGTATATGTAAAAGGAAATCGGATTCACCTTTTCAAAGTGGAATTCAGGCAATTACTATTGGATTATGAGATTTCTAGTCTAGACAGGAATTCTGACATTTGTTAAATTACATTCCCATGCTCTTTGGTTTAATTACAATACAGGACTGTCTTGAAAATAAAAGTACCAGATATATCCTTAGCAATTATAAGTAATTGCATAAAAACAGTTATTTAAATGCTAATGCCTGACAGCAGTCTATACATAATTAAACAGTTTGGTATTAAGTCATGCTTTGCAATGTCTTTACTATGATAGGACATGTTTAAAGACTTCCAAAAGGATAGCCATTGCATACCTTTAAACATGCTAAAATATACTTTCCAATTAAATTTTGTTAAATGGGCATGGGCTGTCAATAATAAGTAAATAAGGTAACATGGAATCTTTAAAAGGTTTCAAACAAATGTCCAAACCATTTTTTTGGTTAAAGTTAAACAAAAAGGTACCCTGGTACTTTAAAAAACACATCTATTTTGTGGACACAAGCTAGAGCAACATTGAATGGATGTTATATTGGCCAGCCAGGATATAAAGTGCATGTACTGGTTATTGCCTCTCTCTCTGGTGGTGGTAAATGGGAGGGGGCAAAACCTATGTTAAATTGTAATCTGTTGTCTTGTATATTTCTTGACCACCTGATACAAGACCCTGCTACCTGAGTAATATACCAGCGTATGGTTGCCAGGGACAATCCTGGAATGACAACACCAATGCAGTGGAGGACAAGTAGACAGGTCCTTCATGCAACAAAGGTAAACATCACAGAAACCCTTATATTGAGATGTTTGCCTTGTGAAGTTTAGAATATACACCTGACATTTAAGTGTTTGCTTTCCATTGTAGCCGGAGATTGTTAGTCAATCGTTTCTCCTAATCTGACAAACACAGATCAACACACTGACAAAACAGGCTTCAGAGGAGACTAGCAACTGGGAACCAGCCAAGATCTGATGCACAAACTGCACAATAAGAAACTTTTCCATGGAAATATATACTATGCACCTGCAGCTATATATTTAGTAAATTTCTTTTGCTGATCTAATAAAAATAATATGTAAATCAAGACTTGGATATTTGTGAATGAATGACATCAAGACACCTGGTGAAAATACAAAATTACATTAACAGTTTCCAAGAGATGTATGGATTTACAATCTCAAACTTCATTTCAATTATTTTCTCATAAAGTAACAGCATATGCATATCAGAATACTAAGGCTACGTAAATGACAATGTCAAGTCACTTCTGAATCTAACATGATAAAAAAAATTAGAAATCAAACCATAGCTGGCTCTCTTACACAGGAGTACAAAATCTGTAGATATAATTGATTTTTTTGTGTGTTTTCTTACTTGCTGTTTCTTGTCATTGGTTTCTTTGTGTGTTGAGTGGGGGAGGGTTTTTTTTCCATCTTATTGAACACATGTTCCAAAGAGAGACATTAGAGTGCCAAACAGTTCAATTGACATACCTTTGATCTAATTTTTTGTGCCAGTTAAAGCCTTGTCATATTTAACTTATATCAACTTAAATATAAAGCTATCATTTATAAAATCTTTTCCGAAAAATTCGATACATTTTGGTCAAGAGGCCTTTTAAATCAATTTTCAAAATTAAATATATAATTCAGCAGATAAACTTAAATGATTTTAAATCTTCTGAAGCTTTCATTATATTACCTAATGGTATCCATTTATAGGTAACAAAAATATGCATTTCATTTTCAACAAGAGCACAAGAAAAATGTCTCCTTGCAGGAGACCATTTATTGTTGATCTTCGGGTCATTTTGATGAAGAGGATCAGATAATATATGACCAATCAAAAAATTTCTATCTTCCTCACGTCTGGGATATTCCAAAGTATCTTATTGTGGTCTGGAATTCTTTTCAGAAATACTTTGCAAAAATAAACTTAATCAAGTTGCCTGATACCTTGTTGGAAGTGTTTGCATTATTTTTTTTCTCAATCTTTTTTGTCTGTGTGTGTTGTAATCCCTCTTTATGGACTGTCCCAAGTGCAAAGTAATCAAAGACAAAATCAATAAGATAAGATGATTTCATTCCCTATGCAAAAATAAAAAAAAAACTTTCCAATGAAGATTTTGCAATATACAGTAGAACCATGTTACAGTCCATTTGCTGTCATTACAATGTGTTTGGCAACAGGACAACTATCAAAAGTACCTACATGTTGTCAGAGGGGCTTAGGGTATTTAGCAAGAAATTCTGGAACATTGTGCCAGTCATAATCCAACTAAGTACTTCATTAATACAATAACACAAAATGGAACATGAAGGGAAATGAAGTTGATTTCAGAGAATAAATAGTCAAAAATTAAGTAATAGAACTTTCACTTTATCAACATGGACACACAATGCCAAATTGAAAATGAAAATCTTTATTACAAACAATCAAACTCATATTGCAATGAAAATGAATTTACCATAAAAGAACTAATCCTCCTTTACTAACAAGTCAGTAAGGAAAAAATCAAATGGGCAATTTAAAAAGCCTTAAGCTTTCAAGAAAAATTATTAAAACCAACAAGAAGCCATTGCAAATGTGAATGTCAGTGTCTTTAAAGTCTGAAATGAATCTGGAAGTTAAATTAAAGCAAAACATTTGAGGGACCTTAAGTAAATAGTAATTAAAAGGGCACTGTTTGGAATACCCATTATTGAGCATGTTTTGGGCCATAAAAACTGATTTAATGACTTCTGTAAAAAAAAAAAATTGAAATAAAGAGGGTCAAAAAATGTTTAACTTTATTTAACCTGTGTAAGGAATTTAAACTGAACTTGAGAAAATAATATTTTACAACTGTCTCATGGCTGTGTCCTGAATGATGTCCTTAGATACCACTAAGGGTGTGGGGTGTTTAACAGGCTATAAACTGATTTCTATGTGTGTACATGTATACATAACAAATACCGAAACCTATTGTTAAGTAAACCAATTGTCTTCTCAGTTACTCATGTACAATAAAAATTAAAATCATAAAATTAAAGTTTTGACTTTTGAATAGATGGTTTAGGACTGTCTATACTGCATTGCACTATGAATGTGAAGTGAAACATTTTTAAGAGTTTAATATTATATACCAGTCCAATATCAGTCAAAACAAGAAAACTTTATCCAAGTTTCATCTCAAACTATATTGATCAACAGTCAATTGCACTTTGTGAAATAATAGTACTAACATGAACAATCTACTTTAAACTGTGGGCAAAGTCTTTCTTAGATAATAAATGCATCCACTGGTTGAACATGTTGAAGATCAATACAAATAAATCTGCAGATGTGCTTTCCAGATTCTAGTTTTTATCCTTGTTGATATCAAAAGGGACCCCCTAAAGCTCTGTAAAACACTTCAGCAAAAAACTTCTTTTATCACAAACAGATGACATCCTAAATCTTTATTCTCTAATTTTTCAGCATGGTTAAGGTTTTCATGAGTGTTTCTCTAGAGAGATAGCTGGTGAGATGTGTAAATGAGCTATTCCATTTTATAGATCTGGATAAGACAGCCATAATAGATTACCCAGCTAATCTGACCTCCCGTATCCCCCATAATCAAATTATCCCCAGCCAGTCTTTATAAGGACACTATTGATTATGCATTTTATCATCTTTATCTCCAAATCTCTCATCATGACATTTAAATATGATCATTGATGAGAAACATACCAATCAATGTTGGTGACTACAGGTATTCCAATACCCAAGAAACACAATATTGCTCCTCCATTCAAGAATTCAATAGTTACATATTAGTCTACCAATTGCTACATTATAGTTTAATATCATTAAACACACTGATTATTTTTTAATCAGTGATGGATAATAAATATAAATTCTATTCTATTGGAATTATGAAGATGCCAAATATTGTGTTCATTATTGCATTAATGAAAAGAGCCTGTTCATACTCAATAACTCAAAAATACTGGTATATACTAACCAGTAGCTTAATAAAACATTTCCTAGATGGGCTACAGACTAATCATTCAATCTTAAGCAAGGTACTCTGGAGTACAAAATCATAGGAAGAAAATAGAGAACACCAAAGAAGGAATCCCTGTATGATGCCAAATTTCTGCAGTATGTACTTGTAATTTCATGGGTTTCCTACTTCCAACTGAACACAACTATTGACTCCAGATAAATCACAATCTAGCTTCAATCAAAGACATTTAAAACAGTCTTATCCTTCTCTCAATATTTACTCCCATAAAAAGTAAAGAATACTTTTTTGTTAGTTATTTTCATTTTAAAGTTGAATCTAATAATTTTAGGAAAGTAATCTTTTGATATGGAGGTTTTCTATTAATAAAATGAATATTCAAGGTTTAGAATGCCCAAATCTCACTACCAGAATACAAGTGGTGGACAAAAAATCTAACCAACTAATGATATCAATTGAAGAAGTCAGGAATAATTAGAATTGGTTTTGAGCAATGTTGAAAGAGGAAATTTTACTTTTCTTATATAGGAGGAGGGGGTTAATAAATTCTAATAATGTATTATTTAATTTTTTCTGACCTACTGACCTAATTTGGAAAAAAATGTCTTAAAAACAAGTTATTAAAGTGGCCTTAACTATACTGACTATACATCAGAACCACAATAAATAAAATGTTTCACAAGGTTGAAAGTTAATTTCTCCCCCTCGCCTATATTCTAACTTTAATATATGTATTGGTAGGTTCATCAGAATACACATTGTTATTTTGAAATGGGCCTTTCTATAATAACTCTGCAGTTTTTTATATTTAGAATTTAATTATTATAAAAATGCTATAAAACTGCCAACATTCTGAAAAAAAATTTCAAAAACATACATTTTGATTTCATCAAATTAAAAAAAAAAATTTGAACACATTTGATTACATGTTTCAAAAGTAAAAACATTGACATGAATGCGATCGGCCATGCTAAAATGTGAATGTGTCAACGAACAAGCAACCAATGTAAGGATTATAAATATTTAATTATAATAATAGAAACTGCAGACGACCAGTTATGAAAATCCATATTATAAACTTTGATAGAAAAACTCTAAGAATTAGAGAGAATCGTAAGGCGTATTTTGGATGCTAATTTCGTAAGACTTACGCCAAAATCGTAAGGGTTGGCAGCTCTGAAAATAATGTAAAACTTGTCTTTTTTTAAGTAAAATTTCAGAAACATACATTTTGACCTCATCAAATTAAAAAATTATTACTAGCACATATGATTACATGTACTCAAAAGTACAAATCTATTTTCATATGATGGAAAGGCATTCCATGCTTAAAATGAGCACATGTTATAAAAAGAATTTCTACTTTTAGATCATGTTAGATTATATGAAACATGATCATAATCCTTTAATCCTTCAACCCCAACTTATTAAGCTCTATTTGTATGTATATATACTTAAAGTCTCTAAGGTTTACTTGGCTGTATTAGATATGTTCATGATGTTTTGGATTTTTTGTACTATACATGCATAATGACCTAATCCAACTCTTTCTTATTCTCATGCTAAAAAACCAATATTTACAGACAGAAATCACTTAAAATATGTTATGGTTAAAAAACTTAGGCAAAACAACAGTCAGATGGACAAAATTTAACAAAAAACATTCTTTCAAAGAATGACCTTCTTGTTGAACTCCAATTGAAACCTTGAACTGATATAAAACTTTGACCTTCACCTTTATATAATATATCTCTAAAACGTTTTCTAAAAGTTTAAAAGTCATAGACAACCTGATATTTGCTACCAAATTCATACAAATTAAACATTGCTTTTCACTACTTACATTAAAATTGGTTTTATTTATTTTGGATGGCCTTGGACTATGACCTTCTATGGCTGTGTATCTGAAAATAAAAACATAAATGTTTAACTACATGTACTGATATCAAGAAAGTATTAGGATCAAATCTCTACAGTGAAAAGACCTACATATTTATACCCCCTCAGTGTTCAAATACAGTGATTCTCACTTGACCACAAAATCTGCAAATCCAAACTAGCATATTTTTTTTCACGAAATTCGTTAAAAATAGTTATTTTACAGAATCTTTTGAGTGTATAGCATATGTTACAAAAAATTGAAAATATACCATGTATACTAAGTTTAGATATTTGATATAGATTTGAAATAGTGATTACCACATTTACACATCATATTTCCTCATATGTTACCAAAGTGTTTTCTTAACAACCTTCAATCAAACAAAAAAAATTATGGAAATCAAATAAATTATTATTTATTATAGAAGAGCCAGAGTAATTATCAGCATTTTAACACCCTTGACCAAGTTTCATTTACCTTGCTCAGTAATCAGGGATCAATACAAAAATCCTATACTTTTCTTTTGGGCACTAATTCAAGAGGTTTACACAACATTTCAATTACAGTCCTCTTTTACTCCATCACTGTATACATTACTTGCCATCAATCTTGTTTCAGTACACAAACATGGACACAAATTAAGATGGAGGGGGGTATCCAGGTACAAGTAACAATTAACCCATCAACTATACTCAAACATGCTCAGGGGGTATCAATTCATAATCAATTTTTCTTAGCAATTCAACAGGAATGGAACAGTATTTAAATTTACACTCCGCATGAAACAAACATCCTGAAAAAATGTCTATAGAAACTTTTGCTTCATCCTTTAGGACTGTTGATTTCTAGTTAATAATGCTCATCAAAAGAATTCTATAGCTATGCTCAAATGAGTAGAGTCTCATATTTTGTAAGTCTTTTAATCAAACACTGGAACAAAGTGAAAGTAAATGCTTTCAGAGTACCATGGTTGTAAACGTTTCAGCTTCTGAAAACAAACTGCAGGAACTGTGAACTTCACACAGTTTTGATATTGATACATTGTACAGAGAACTTTTTATAAGCATGCTTTTTAAAATTCCTATATGAACATATTTCAAAATACAGTAAAACACACCTATAGCAAGCATACTGCTTAAAGCAAAGTGATTTATAGTCCCCTTGACTTTAAAATTTATTGAACAATTAGCGTATATAACATATTACACTTAAACCGAAGCAAAAATTGTCGGACCCTGCCATTATAAGCGTTTTACTGTAAAAGTTTACGTTAAGTACTCCACAAAAAAATCTCACCAAATCGATCCAATCAATGATTAGATACATAAGATGATACTATCCATTATAGCAATAAATTATTTATGATGCTTGGTACTGAAATCTTTGTTGTGACGACATTATCACAAAAAAATGTCTCCCTGAAGAACAGGCTAAATGTGTCATATTTGTACACAGCACACTGATCTGAAGAAGATCTGAGAAGATGCTGAAGGCAGTTATTTTTAGGCTACATTAAATTATAGACATGAGCATTTGGTTGTGATCCATTCAGGAAATTTTCATCTTTACATGCATTCCTTGTAATGAAACAGTAGTGTATTACTAAGCTATTGAAATGTTTACACTTGATCGAGCAACTCAAAAATGATGCTGCTCTTATGGTTTTTGTTTCCAAGCAAAAATTCCATATGTAATTCTGGGGACATCAAATTTACACTGCTGTAACAAGAGACTACTAGATAATACACTATATGTGTCCATTCATAAAATTGAGTTTTGTCTATCATGAAAGGTGTGGCAACTATTCAAACATGCTACAGTTCTTTAAAAAACATTCTCAAGGCCATGTTTAAATGACTGTTAGATAACTCAATAATTATGTATGTATACAATAACTTTACATATTCAAATGTACATGTACCTAGTGCCAATATGTCTCTGTGAGCAAACATTTTCTCCCTCTGTACATTACATGACATACTTTTACAGATCAATACCGTTGCAGGAGGTGGCCAATTAGACAAGTTTCCAGTCACAGAAGCCAAGCTAGCTTAACTTTTAAAATATGGATTGATTTTTTGTCTTCAGCTACAAACTGAAGACCAAGATTTCAGTGCCTCAGAGTATGCTAACAAGAAAAAACAACTTGTAATTATGAAGAAATCAGTTGAGAAAACACTGGGATATATATACAAACTTAACCCTCATATTTATTTTTATTTATGTACTCATTTATTCAACTCGGGGATGTGTTAATTTACAAGGTAAAAATCTGCTGTTACTGTTGGTAAGTTAGGTCATTTTACAGAATTTTCCTTGATTACGAAAGAGGAGGCAGCAAGAACCATATACATATACAACTCCTGAATTTAATAACCTAAGAGGAATTGTAGCAGGTTTAATTATTCAAAAGGGGATGCTTACTCCTCCTAGGCACCTAATCCAACTGCTGGTATTTCCAGATTAAGGTCCATATTTTTGCTCAGTTTGCTTTCTTTGCTCAGTGTACATGATTTTATAACATTTATCACCATCCAATATTATACTGTTTCACAACAGCAAGCACTGATGGAATTAAAATTACATCTGGTCAACAAACTTAATAATTTCCAACTTACATTCATTAGGTTTGAGATCTGCATTATATTCAGATCAATAATTAGTTTCAGGGATTTATCTAACTTTTTTGTTTTACTAATATAAAGGGGAAAAATGAGAGCCGCAGGCTGATATGTATTCTAGGGGGGTCCGGGGGCATGCTCCCCCGAAAATTTTTTATTAATAAATAAATGGAGCAAAATCCTGCATTCTTAGAGAATCTGGGGCCATTTGTAGAACTTTACAAAGGCCACAAAAACTTCACTTTTTAGACAAAATATTAAATAACAAAAAAAAAATTAAACCAGGTCAATACTTTATTTAATTTTTTCTCTCAATATCTATCACAAATCAATTCTGTTTTTCCTGTTTCACTACTAACATTGTTTTTGTTGTTACTCCATTCTTCCGATCCATAGTAATATAAACTCCGTCTTACTCATCTACACTTTTCTTTTTAACTCTGCAATCCAGACGTATATTTTGACATCATGGCCATGGCACATGTTTACCGATCAATATCAAATAGAAGCTTGAATATTCTACTCTCTCTTTTAAAAGCATTTGGCGAATGAATGACTTGGATGGTAAATTAGGATATGCTGTTAAACTTCAATCGGACAAAAACGGAAAATTTCAGTACGATGTTTTACATATTCTCTGGTTAATCAAGAGAATTTTCTATCTGTAAAGGGGAATTTTTTCACTTTTTCAAGAGGGGAAAGGTACCGTTTACCGGTAGTAAAAACAGCCTTGATAAATCCCTGAGTTTAAACCCCCCATTTTACAATGGGGACAGGATTCAAATCTTATATTAGAGGCGAAGTAATTTTGATACTTCTTACAGACAATTGTGAGGTTATAAGCAGACTTTAAAACCTGCAACAATTAAAATAGCATTCAGATTTGCACATCTAAATCAAATATTCCTTGGCACACTTCAAACTACTGCTTAATTCTATCATTAGATGAGATTTTTAGGATAGGTTCCAGCCTTGTGTATTGGTATTTTGTCACAGACCACTTGCTCTCAATAGTATTTGGATCAACTCTAGAGATCTTAGCAGAAGCCTGACAATGTAGTGTTAGGCATTATAGTATTTAACAAAACAGAGCTTTTTAAAAAAAATCATCTGATAATGCAGTCTCATAATATTTTAACAGTTATCACTCAAACTAACCTATTCAAAAATACTACATAGACTTCATCTGTGACTGCATAGTAACCAATCTCTTACAGATACACAACGTTTATGATAGCGAGAGAAGGAAAAATTAAAATGAAAATTAAACTAAAACTGCAGTACTTAAACATTTAAAACACAATTTATTTAAACCTGTTGGGTAACCTGGACCCATCATTTTTCTGCATCCAAAATTCATATACTGATGTTTCTTGACAACCCTACCTTCAAAAATCTTTCAAATAATATTAATTAATCTCTATATTGACAACTAGTATTAACATTTGAAAGATTTTTGTTGTAAAAATGCCAGATCGCCCCCAGTCCTGTCAAAGACACAGCTGGACAATTCTGATTACCAGTAAGCATCATAAAGTCAATTTTATGGTTGTATTAAAAATATATTTCTCTTTTGGACAGGACACTACTAGGCCTAGTGTATATTATAATGCCATTAACACCTCTCTGGGTTATATAAGAATAAATTTTCAAAAGACATTTATAAAGATGATGCACTGTGTGTGGTAGATTTCTTGACAACAAAAAAATTATTTGACACCTCTCTTAGAACTTCATTACTTTTTAAGATTGCCAAAAATGTTAATCATTTAATGTTACCTATTATAATTATAATAAGTCTTATCTTAGATAACCATAACTAAGTCAGCAAGATACCCTAAGATACACTTTCAATCGTCCAATAAATTGTGAATAAATAGCATAGACCTTTATTTCGTGGGAAAGAGGTCTCGCTTAAAAATTCCCTTACCCCATAGGAAGAAATTTTTCTTTTCCAGCAACCACATAACACTCTCCTTCCTGAAAATGTTGCAAATCGGTGACTCTAGTTCCATGTCGTGGTGTGTAAACTCGATAAACAGAACCACCCGTGTTTAATTTAACATCATTTGTTAGCTGCTCTAGAAATTTTTCAAAATTCCTGACTTTCTTTTCATTACATGTGACCATTTTAGGTCCAAAGTTTTTGTCCCCATTTCTGCAAAACTTGAAACGTTTTGCATTTGTAACACTGCGTTCTTCGATTGATGGTAAGGACGAATGAGTCGTGTGAGCCATTTCGTTTGATGGCAAAATCTTATCACCAAAAGTCACAGAAATTTACCAACTAATTCCAGTTATCAAGACATTCTGTTAACCTCTTATTGAATCTTTTTGCTGTTCTAACATTTCCAATGCTGATCAACCTGTGGTGAATTGTGGGATACAGTGTGTTTACATGGAACAACCTTTGACCCAATAATCCTTAGCAACCACGTGTTCAGTGTAAATAAAATATAAAACATATGCCGGTGGGATTAAATCATTTCCGATATTTATAACAAAATAGTTTATTAAAAAACAAGTACGTCTTAAACATAACCATTATATAATCAGGTAAGAGCTGAATGGAAATTAATGATTTACAATCAAATCGCATTCACATTGTGATTTAAATTTCCTCAATAGAGAATTCCTGTGTAAATCGCGACAAATCGACTTTTAAACACCAATTCAGGCAGTTGAAGAGAAGTCAATTTGTTTACTGTTTTTCATTAAATAGAGAGAAAATATCACTAGATCTTATTCACAACTCTGCATTGAATATTTACAAATGGGTGAAATACAGAGTTTACTCTGTATTAATGGTCCATCTATTTTTTTTTTTACTTTTAGTAAAAAATATTGTTGTAAAAAAAGTCTACCAAGTATTTTTTTTTATTTTGATACTTTCATACTTATATCTATACTTATATAATAATATGTTATGTATAATATATACGTCTACTACAGGCACGTAGCATCGTTTTTGAAAGTGGGGGGTGGGGGGCAACTAGAGAAAAAAATTTTTTTTGCTTACCTGTAAAAGTTGACAAGCAAAAAAAAAAAAAAAAGGGTTAGTGGCCAAACTTTTAAGGCCAACTTCCTTCCACTTCCAATTTTTTTTGCATACAATTCTACATTTCCTTGATATCACTATATACTGTGGTAAGAAGTGAGGTGGGGGGAACCAACCTTTCAATGGACATTTTCAATAGTAAAGGTAGTGTTGGGAAAAAAAGTGGGGATGGGGGGCAGCCCCCCCCCCCCCCCCTGTTGCTACGTGCCTGTACTATCATTTGTTTCATATGAATATGAACAATATGAAAGATCGAGTGGGCAAAGTTAAATATCAGAGGATATTAGCCTAATATTGATATTCAAACTCATCTTTATCGAATACATATGTATACATGAAGGCTGACGTATGCATGTTTTAAATATATATACTTTCCCTAATGTGTATATTTTTGCATAATTCATGGTATTATATCTGTGCCTGAACATATTCATGAAAATATTACATAAAGTTTTTTTTTTCTTGTTTAGTTCCTTGCCGAAAAAAAGATAGCAATAAAAGACTGAAATTATGTACACGTTTAATTTTTTTTTGTTTTGTTGATGGTAAAGAAAATCCTCATTTCGTAGTCTTTACATGTACATAACATTGTTCTCGGTATTATACGTTGTATGTACAACCACCATAACATATCATTATTTGTATAGGGAAATTAGTACCGAGAATTGACATCGTTTGCCTGATCGCAGTGTTATAAATGATATGACTTTGACTTAATCATTTTATTTTAAGTTAAATTAAATTTAACAAAGTCTTTATTACGATTTATACGAGACTGAAAAAACTCTAGTCTGACATTTATTTATAAAAGCTGGGAGCTATAGTTAGTATTTTATATATAGGTCCATGATAAAAGGATTTGTTTTTTACCCTGTAATAAATTTTCAACCCATAGTATAATAATAACAGTGACATTATGGGTTGAAAATTTATTACAGAAACAAGTGCCTGTGTTCCAAATTTATGATCTGGGCCATATTTTACTTTCTCATAGCAAAAGTGACCACGGAGGTGTTAATATGTTTCAAAGGTCAAAATGTATAACTTAGATACGGTTTTTCGCGATCGACAGTCAGACAATAGTAGATGAATAGTTGGATAGATATATTGACAGCCGAGAACTATGTTTAATTCCATTTGGTGATATTTATCAGATTCAGGGACAATAACTGATAATACCATTCAGGACTGAATAAGTTCCTTTGAGTCGCTAATCAAATATTTTTAGAAATTCATTTTCAAAAATCAAAAACATCAATTAAAACCAAATAATTTAAACCATTACACTTAAAAATCCTCGATTTTCATAAAGAACAAAATAAAATTGTCAAGATGCTTATGCAAGGTGCATGGTTCTTTATATTGGTGAGATAAGGATGGACGTTTCCAAGGACAGATCTCGCGGAATCTCGTTGTCTGCGAGGACAGGGCGGTATATGATTTTGTTCATAGACACCCGACTGTCATGACCCTCCTCAAAAAATGGCAAATCAATAAAATTCGAACAAAAAATGCACCCAAGATTGAAACCGAGCAAATACAATGACAGCGCTTTATTTGGTTATAAATTCAATCACTCTAGAAGACGTCACTTAATTTTTCTTTTTAAATGGAAACACTTATCGGTCAAAGTATTTCACTAGTGTTTTCACTGCACCGAGATTGTAACAACCACCAATTATACCCTTCATTTCTTTCCTAGTGAAGATCTCATTGAATTTGACAGTTCTGCAACCTTGAGGACGCGAACAAAGGAAGAAGAAAATCCGTAAAGTGTCTTTTTAAATTTTTTCGATAGGTTACTAAAATTGATCATTAGATTTTAAAGTACAATTGGTCGTAAAAATAACACTTTCCAATTTAAAAAAATTTACAAGTCGATAGATTTTTTAAATTGATTTTTTTTCTCACATTACAACCAAACGTAAACTAACATTCTCCGATTTAAAATCGGCCGAATATAGACCCCTTAGTGTTTTTGGAATTCATTATTGGTTGATCAGTGGCATAATCTTGATCGGGTTCCACAAAAGCATTGTATGACATGAAAACCGAGAACCCATGGATCTAAGGCAACCCGTGTCTTTTGTTTACATACCACGTCAATTTCATTTAAAACTAACAGCGTGTAGACCACTTTGTTTTTAAAAAAAAATTAAATTAAAAAATCTCGGCACACATTGAAAACTGTTCATATCACTGTTCATTCTATCCCACTTTAAACAATTTTTTCGTATGCAGTTAATACAACATATTTTTAAAATGCAAAAAGCGATTTTCACATTTTTTTCTCTGTGTAAATATTATTGCATTCAATTCGTACACAAATTGCAAATCGCTTTCAGTGGGCATTAAATAACATGACCCAGACCTATATTTGATTAAGCCAGTGCAAATAAAATTTTACTGTAGTTCACGCGAAAAATGTAAAAAAAAAAAAAAATAAAAAACAAAAAAATAAAATAAAAATAAATAAATAAAAATAATAAAAATAATTTTTAAAAACTTTCCAAATTCAACTTGAAAGAGCTCTCTTTTAACTTTTTCGCCACAAAATATAAAGTCTTTTGCCACTTAAAGATATGCATTTTCAATATGCTATAAAACCACAAATGCTTTTCTACATAACAATATATCAAAACATTTGCAAACAAGAGAAAACCATTATCAACTTGTGTATTTTCAAAAACACCACTACTCAATTTGTTTTCCTCCTTACATGTAAATATTACTCTTAAATAAGTTCATTTTTCACCTAAACCAAGAAAATACAAAATATAGTCAATATTTATTCGAAAACTTCACCTCACGTCAAGCCTTGATTTTAAATTAATATTTCATGAGGAAGGCTTACTGCCTACATAAAAAGCTTCTTCAGAGGAATAACTTTGGAACTATGCAGTAGAAGATCCCAACAGCTAACATAACAGACTTAAAAGAAGGGTTTAAAAATGCATAGGTAAACATCAAATCCAACATGGGTTACCCCCAGAAAGAAATTGGCGGCCACCTCACCTAATTCTCCGAAGATGTTCGTTGCTGTTGAGAGAATGAGATGTGACGTAAACATTCTCCGGCTTAATCTGGTCATAATCCGTTATCCTGGTGCCATGGTCCGGTGTGAATAGTCTCCGGACCGCCCGCTCCTCCTTAAGGTTGCTTGTCAGGTAATTAAGGAACGATTCGAAAGTCGGATGCTGTCGTTGATTGATAACAACTCTTTTACCCGGAAACCAGGGATCACCATTTTTATAAACTTTGATCGGAGTACCGTGAACTAAATCTCTTTCCTCTATTGATGGATATTTTCCCCACGACATTGTTTAGAATAACACACTACATGTATGACAGAACTCCCCTACAACGGTGTCTCTACTTTCTCCGAGCTTTCACTGGTGGATTGTGGGATTGAAAAGAGACGTGGTCGTCATGACAACACATAGAAGTTCCAATGAGCTAAGAATTCAGAATGGATTTTTAAATCGTCTATTTTATAAATCTTTTAAATTAATTTGATTTGCATTGCAGTTTTGAAGGCATTTACTCAGCAAACTCAAAAAAGATTTTTCATTATCCGCCTTCTTTATTGAGAACTGATATTTTGGTACATAGAAATAATATGCATGCTTAGTTATAAAAGAATTTTATGAACCATGCATCGTTATTTTCAACAAAAAAGTTTTCAATTTTTGGAATTCATTCAAAGCTTTTACGTAAATTTGTATGGCAGAGCCACAAAGCTTGTCGGCAAATTTTGAATACACAAAAGTTAACACTCTTTCGTCACAAACACAACAATAACGGAACAGAATACACCTCTAGACCAATGATTTACCTATACACTGAGAATCAGTTATGTCACTCCACTCACTGAAAAAGGGTTTCCATAAAAAATAAATTCAAAGAGAAGTTTAATATTTCACAAACCCAGATTCCGTTATCATTCAAGTGCCAAAAGCTTATCAAAGATTAAACATGTAGAAGTGTTCATTGCCCAGAATTAGCTTCACCAGAAGCATGATCATTCAACACAATCCACATAAACTTGTCAATAATACCTAAAATATAGATGTAGAGTTTATTTATTCAATAAAGCTCCTTAGTTTAAAATTTAAGCTTTACTATGTATACTTATTGAATTTCAAAAATAAAATGGTACTGACATAAAGTCACTGGGACTTCATGCCATGGACCGCGATGAACGTCACTGCATGCATATTACTTGGTATGCAGAATAATTCAAGAATAAGTCAAGTAAAGGCATTCAATAGACAATGAAAACATTTGTGCTTTATAATTTGCCTTTACCACAAAGTTATAATGATCACCTAGGTCATAATTTTTATAAAGACCAATCCTTAAACAGTTAAATACCAGCTTCGCCAGTATGAAAGCTAAATTAGTGAAAGAAGTAATACTGAAAAATGACAAATTCAAATACAATGTATGCTCAACCTGTCCATAAAATACAAGCATGAGGCTAGCAAAATTCTGACTTCATTAATCTCTAATGAACTGCTGTTCTAAACTCTGCTAGCTATAGCTTTGTAACAAGTTAGCAATCTTCAAGGATAAATAAAAGAGAAGCTGTTTATTGTTGTTTTATTGGTTGATTTGTTATTTATGTATAGACGTGCCTTCAAAGAATTAAATTTTAAAAAAGAGACTAAAATGGAACCAGCAGATTCAAAACTGAGCATTTTCTCAATACACCCATCGTGTACAAAAAGACGAACAACAAAACATCTCCACATATATAAAAAAAAGGAATTAGTTCCACGCCAAAGATGAAGAAAAACACCATGGAAGTTTTACATGTTTTCGTTTGTATTATTTGTCTTACAAGAGAAGACTCAATCAACGACATGCAGAAGAAAACTTGAGATGAGAAAGTACTAGAAAGAAGGCCCAGGAACCATGTCTTTGTCCCGTTATAAACACTACAATAGTCTTCAGTTTCAATAACCTTTTCACTTTGCTGCAAAGATCATTATAGAACCTCTTATAAAAATGGAATCTTTTCATCATTATTTATCCCATAAGAACCTTTGAAAAGAGAAGTCAACATTTGAGGGATATTAAGTGACAACCATACTCTGCATTTCATTGCCGAATTTCAATTATTGGGTGGCAAATCAAGGGGACGATATTCAAAAGCTAATAGCACTATTAGTAAAGTGCTCTCTGTCATTTCACGTGATTTAATTTTATAAAGGCGGTTTCATATTCGATTTTTTAATTTATATATTTGAGGACTAAACATTCTTTGAAAAATTCTCGTAGCTGCTAAATGGTTATAAGGAGACGTGTCAAATAAAGGATATTGAGCGATGTCCAAAATTAAGCAATTTGCCCCTATCATTTCGCTCCTCGTGCAAAATTTCAATCATGCTAGTGTTTTTAGCACGATCTCTTCATATATAAAAGCTACAGAGCATGGAAGAATTATTAACTTGGTATTTTGCCTGATATTAGGATTTTTTTTAAAGAAGTCAAATGAATTACAGGACCTTTGAGTTTATATACTCTTGTAATTAATGGAAGATTTTAGGACATGAAGTTTTTGTTTTCGCATTCATCCATTTGTTTGTATGTTAATCTCTCTGTATGCTTGTCGAAAACTTTAACTTTGGCAGAACTTTTGAATGGTTGAATGTAGGGTTTTCAATTTTTACAGGTGTATGCCTTGTGGCAAAACATTTCTTTGCGCACCAAGATATTTGACCTCTTGACATGGATGTTTGAACTACTTTTGCAAAAAGTTATCAAACTTTGACCTTAAATTGCCATAATTTTTGCATGGTACGTCAAATGATTTTCATATTTCACATGCCCAGCCCGTGTGGCGAAGTGGTTAGAGCGTCTGCTCTAGAGTCGCGAGGTAAGGAACTATCCTTGCGTCGCGGATTCGAATCCCACTGTGGGACGTGGAGACCGGTCTTTTGGATAAGACCGTATAAACCTAGGTCCCGTGTCGCAGTAGGTGCTGGCACGAAAAATATCCCTCCCTGCTCAATGATCCTGATGCCGAGCATAGGATACAATTTGTAGCTCTCCACCGGCAAGTAGTGGCGTCTCTATATGAGTGAAAAATTCTCGAGAGGGACGTTAAACAACATACAATCAATCAATCAAAAGACCATTCTCTGAGTACCAACATTTTTTACCTTATGACTTTGACCTTGGAGTTTGACCTACAATGAAAAACCTTGGCTTCAACATTTGAATGATTGCTGCTATGGCTGTGTGTCGAGACTTTTCTTTGTTACCATAACATTTTGTCATGACATTGACCTTGGAGTATGGTCTTCCTTTCAAAAAAAAATTTTTTCTGAATAGTTGATAGTAGGGCTTTTACTTTCATATTGTTTGTGTTAAGTGCTTTCTTTGGATATTAACATTATTTGAACTTTTGACCTTAGAATTTTGGCTTGATCTGCCGTTACAGGTATCAGATTTTCACAAACCCATCTTGTTTTTCTTTAAAAAAAAAAAGATTTACACATTTAAAGAATACAGTGTTCTCAGACACCGTGATATCAAGAGAGTACGAAACGAAATTGTCAAAGACAAAACAATCATATCAGATCTAATTTCTTCATAAGACATTTTAAGTAAGCGTTAATACTGAGTAAGTATGCGAGGACAATGACAGTATAAAACTGATCAACCCTCCAGAGATGTGGACATGCAATAATAGTTAATTAGGTAAGCTAATTCCCTAGATTTAACAGTTTTTTTTAAAAAAACCTTTAAAGGCCTAAAAATTAAGATACAGCAGTAACTTAAGTAGTATTTCTGAACATCCCACCTCGTGACCAACAGCCAGGGGCCCGTTTTACGAAAGGCCAAAATCCATTAAGCTTATAACTTTCATATTTATATTATATTTGAATGGTTTTAAACTTTTTTTTTATAATTTTCATGTTAACAATTTCAAACTCAATCATTTTGTTTTGCAAACTTTCACTATCAACTTAATTAAGTTTTTGGTGTTAGTTTTGCAAGTTCTTTTGTAAAACTATGATGATGTTTTAAGTTTCTTTCAAACATAAGTTAACATACATGTGTATAAATGAAAGGAACACCGATACAGCTAGAAACAGAAAGCAGAGTTGGCTTCAAGACAAAAGAGCATAGCATCTGAGATAACGAGTATCTACAATCAAATTTCTCAACCGACACCAAAAAATATTGCTGCATAAGAGTCTCTGGGAACTGTAGAAGTAATTTGGCCTAGTGCCTAAAACTCATTAGAGCAGGTGACATCGTCTCTTTGTTACCCCATTAAACCTGCAATTATTATTAATTAATTGTTCTACAAGGGGCTATAAAACACAAGAGCCTGGAAACCACGGCAGTACAGACCAACAAACAGCGACCAGGCAGCGCCATGCCGGACTTTCATTCCTGACATTCTTACCTCAAAGGTACAAATTTGCCGGAAGCAGCGACGTACGCGTGGTCATCCTGTATCTGTTCAAAGTCGTATACCTCTGTTCCCCCTTCTGGGGTGTAGATACATCTTACTGGTCGATCGAACTTCAGTTTGTTCTGCACCGTGTCTAGAAATATTTCCCAAGTTTTCACATGATTTTCATTCAGAAGTATTCCTTTTGGTGTGAAAAATTTGTCACCGTTTTTGTACATCTTGATGATTTTTCCGAAGGGAAGTTCTCTTTCGTCAACAGGGGGTAACTCCGGTCGCTTTTTCTGTATTGGAGGAATAGGATTCGCTTTCCTCATAGTAAAACACGCTGTACCAAGTTTTGGGTCTTTTTTCTCTAGATTAAGGTCTTGATTCATTTAATCACAAATTATTTTATACTCAGACAAGTTACAGCAAATCTGACGCATTGTTTATAATCGTTTGTTGGATTCAAGATCAGATAAGAACTGAATATGGGGGAGTATGGCTCACATCAAAAAGCATTGGGACAAGATATTTCACAACCTCTTACGGACGGGTGGCAAAATTTCTATCTATTCATTTACATACATTTACAAATGGTAAGTTTATAATAATAAGTTTTTATTAAAAGAGTACTGATAGTAAGTGCATTCACTTAGAAACATTTTGCGAGGTTTACGGCACGTTTTGTTTGCATCCAATGTTGCTTTTCAAGCGTTGCTTGGCTTTAAAGAATTTAACAATCGCAAAGAAGGCAAACGCTTCGCATTGAAGGCGCTAACCTTATCTGATGGTGCGGTGCAAGCTGTATCAATTAATCAGTGAGTAAAATCTAACAGTCATTTAAAAATAAGAATTATATCTGAGGAATTGAATTCTGTCATCAAACACAAGGTCTGAGTTTAAAAAAGAGGCAATGATGCAGATCACCAATGGACACTGATTACCGCTAGGTGGCGATCGCTTCGCTGAGATCATTATGAACAGTGCTTTGACCTTAAAGAAAAAACTAAAATTTAAAAAAAGATAGGGAAAAAATGATAAAAATGCTGAAATGAATTCACTAGTGATTTCTTGGAGAATGTTGATCCCTTGACTTAAAGATCTTGTAAATGTACAGAATATGAATTGCTATATCATTATAGTGTGCATTGTGAAGTGTTCGAATAATCAATATATGTTTTGCGTTGCAGAATTGATAAGAAAGATTGAAGATAGATATTTATAGTGATTGACAATATGTACATTAAAACAAGGTGAATGGAATGTACTAATGGTTTATTTTGACCCTATGAGATAAGGGATTCATCAAACTATTGCAGATTGTTTTATCTCAAACTAGACTTGCAGAATATTTTGCAACTTTCACAATGCAACCATTTTTTGCAATAAGATAATATTATAAGAAAAGCCTCCTTAAAATAGATTTTTATTTCTTTTTTAATATTTCCAGGGGTTTTTGTGCGGGAGAGAGAGAGAAAGAGAAAGATTTCCAAATAAAGTAGCATAAAGTCCATTCCGAATTCAAACGTTATTGGAATTTTAAATCAAAGTTTATACATTTTTATATTTATACTACATAAATAATTTTTTATAGACTGCAATGTCCTTTTCCTAAATGTAAAACCAAGTTTGAAATTTGCCAGGACAACTAAATTTAATTTTTTAGGTTGCGTCCTTGATGTTTAATTAAAAAGTTTTTCTAGGGATCAGGTGAAATATCTCCTTTGTGGGTTTTTTTCCCATTTGTTCTTATAAATATTCTGCTTTCCCCCAAATGATGACAGTATCTAAAATTATTCTATCACGTTTTCATTGCAGATGCTTTCTGAATAAAGCTGCACCTATACTTTTCTTTCATCGACTCAAGTTTTCTATATAGAATTTCTTTTGAGTCGCCAGTGTTCGACACTGCAATAATTCTAATGCCCAGAGAGACGAACTCAAAAGCTTTTCATCTATTATCTCTTAGAAGTGAATACTAATGTATTTCGTAATCACATTAAATCATCTTCATAATAAACTTATTGAAATATCTTTTCCTGTCGAAACCTTTTTACCTTTAGTCTATGGGCTGTATGAGTTGAAATGATTTTCTCAAATGACGATCAATAGCATTCAATAGAAATCAACTGGGCACTCTGAACCATAGCAACAATCAACATTAGAAAAGCTCTTGTCTCAAGTAGCCAAACATCTGTATGCATTAATATTACTCAATATTGTTAAAAAAATTTACTTCAACCTCACCCCCACACCAAACACACACATTTCAAAAAGAAACCTTGAAATCAAGTTGACTACCTTCCCTCCAAGTAAAGAACTGTAACTCGCTTGTGGACTTTAAAAGGTCTATCTAAGTAGTCTCTCCTTCTCTTAAACTTGTCCAGTATCGATCAAGGCAAGGGTGAAAAAATATTTAAGACACATGAAAGTGTGTATTGTATTTAGTATATAACTGTTTTTTATGAAAGCGGAAAAGAAAAAAATACTAAAGCCAATTTCGACCATCATTTCAAACAAAGGAGGCATCTTTACAGATAACAAAACACATTAGATAATAAAGATTAACAGAAAATGAAACATCAAATGCTTCAGGTTTGATCTTTGGATTAGGATGCCGTGCAAGAAAGCATTTTATAGGACATAAAGACATTTCATCAGTTTACAGTATTGTGTAAATTTAGGTCAAAGACACGAGTCGCCTAAATTTCCGATGTTTGATTTACACTTGTGAAACAAGTCCTTCGAATGATATATACATGTACTGCTTTTATTGGAAGATGTACGATTACAATGGAGAAATCGATGATAATGTTTGAGGGGATGACTACGTCATTTAACTATCAGCTTCAATTGTTGACTTACGGATTACATTGAGTGTAAGGAGAGGGCTTGTTAAACCTAATCATTTGTGTATAACATCCTCTAGAAATTCCTGGATGTTTCTTAGCTATATGTATTGTGCAGTATGTTTCAGGCATGGAAACATAACACATTTACAAAAACAACCAAAATTAAGCCCAAAAATATTGGGGTTTTTTCACATTTGTTGGAACAGAAAACCCCACTAATGATTATCAATTACCTGTAATCTCAAACAGTTTATTAACTCCAATTGCATAATTGGAACTAAAACACCTTGTTTCTTTAGATGCATTCGTATGACAGCTTTTCGAGAAGGTTGAAATTTCTCAACTGCAAGTCAAATTTCAAGGTCAAGGGATGAAAAATCTTTTCCAAAGAAAGTCTTAATTCTCAATGAATATACCTGAGAGTCCAAGCACTGACCATTAAAAAGTTATGGCCAGGGTTAAAATTTTTAAAACAAGAGGCCCATGGGCCTTATAGGTCACCTGAGCATTATGCAACAACTTTCCAGTGATTGAATTTGATTCATGTTTTAATCCAGATGCTATGGCATTCACAATTTTGAAATAGGCACCATTGATCATCATAACAATACACTTAGCAGTTGCTTAGTTTGTTTACTTAATACCCATAGGCAGGGTAGGAACAAAACTGCATTTCAAGTAATCAGTAATATTCAGCATGATCAGTAATGCCCCAATCACACATGAACCCCTGACCCTTAGGCCTAGATCCACACATTGCACAATTTTTGAAAAGGCACCCTTGCTTTTCAAAAATATTTGATAAATACCAAGGAGCAGATTTCAAACAATTCATCCAGTTTCAGTATATAAGTACAGCCCCCCCCCCCCTCCTTTATGGTACCCTTGACCCTGGGGCCTTGAAATTCACAATTCTGGAAGATTAGGACCCTTATCAATAACACATAGGTAGTTCATCTGCTTAATACCAAGGAGCAGAGAAGATAACTTTCAAAGATTTAGTGTATTTTCATTGTATAATCAATAAAGCCCCACCCTATCACTAGAATCCCTGACCCTGGGGCCATAAAATTCACAATTTTGGAAGAAGCACTCTTGCTCATCATAACTATGCACTTATTTAGTTTATTTAATACCCAGACGCAGAGAAGAAGATTTTCAAAGAATTCATGTATTTTCACTATATAATCTAAAGAGCCCCCCCCCTACACCAGAACCCCTGACCCTGGGGCCATCGAATTCACAATTTTGGTAGAAGCACTTTTGCTCATCATAACAAAGCACTTAGTTAGTTAATTCAATACCCAGGAGCAGAGAAGAAGATTTTCAAAGAATTCAAGTACTTTCACTATATAATCTATAGAGCCCCCCCCCCCCCCTTACACCAGAACCCCTGATCCTGGGGCCATAAAATTAACAATTTTGGTAGAGGCACTCTTGCTCATCATAACTATGCACTTATTTAGTTTATTTAATACCCAGGAGCAGAGAAGATTTTCAAAGAATTCATGTATTTTCACTATATAATCTATAGAGCCCCCCCCCCTTACACCAGAACCCCTGACCCTGGGGCCATAGAATTCACAATTTTGGTAGAGACACTCTTGCTCATCATAACTATGCACTTATTTAGTTTATTTATTACCCAGGAGCAGAGAAGAAGATTTTCAAAGAATTCAAGTATTTTCACTATGTAATCTATAGAGCCCCCCCCCCCTTACACCAGAACCCCTGACCCTGGGGCCATAAAATTCACAATTTTGGTAGAGGCACTCTTGCTCATCATAACTATGCACTTAGTTAGTTTATTTAATACCCAGGAGCAGAGAAGAAGATTTTCAAAGAATTCATGAAATTTCACTATATAATCTATAGAGCCCCACCCTAACACCAGAACCCCTGACCCTGGGGCCATAAAATTCACAATTTTGGTAGAGGCACTCTTGCTCATCATAACTATGCACTTATTTAGTTTATTTAATACCCAGGAGCAGAGAAGAAGATTTTCAAAGAATTTATGTATTTTCACTATATAATCTATAGAGCCCCACCCTAATACCAGAACCCCTGACCCTGGGGCCATAAAATTCACAATTTTGGTAGAGGCACTCTTGCTCATCATAACTATGCACTTAGTTAGTTTATTTAATACCCAGGAGCAGAGAAGAAGATTTTCAAAGAATTCATGAAATTTCACTATATACTTATTTAGCCCCACCCTAACACCAGAACCCCTGACCCCGGGGCCATGAATTTCACAATTTTGGTAGAGGACTCAATGCTGATTACAATCATGCAAACAGTTTGACTGCTTGATGTCCAGGAGTAAAGAAGAAGATTTTTAAAGATTGCACTAATTTTAGTGGTTTTTGCCCCACCCCCCAGGCCCCAGGGGGGCAGGGCCCATGAAATTCACAATTTTTGTTCCCCTTCACCCATAGATGCTATATGCCAAATTCGGTTGAAATTGGTTCAGTGGTTTCAGAGAAGAAGCTGAAAATGTTCAAATGTTAACGCACGACGCACGACGCACGACGAAC